ACATAAACACTGAAAGAAAAAAAAAATCTTATGGGATGTTGAAAAAGCCTTTGGCAAAATCCAACACACCTTCATGATAAAAGTCTTGGAGAGAACAGGGATATAGGGGACATACCTAAACATAATAAAGACAAAATACAGCAAGCCAACAGCCAATATCAAAGTAAATGGAGAGAAACTCAAAGCAGTTTCACCAAAATCAGAAACAAGACAGAGCTGTCTACTCTATCCATATATATATTTAATATACTACTTAAAGTTCTAGCTAGAGCAATAGGACAACAAAAGGAGATCAAGGGGATATAAATTAAAAAGGAAGAAATCCAAGTACCATTATTCAAAGATGATGTGATAGTATACATAAGCAACCCCCAAAACTCTACCAGGGAACCCCAAAGCTGATAAATACCTTTAGTTAAGTGGCTGGATACAAGATTAACTAAAATAATGTAGCCCTCATATACAAACAATAATCAGGCTGAGAAAGAAATCAGGGAAACAACAAAGAAATCAGGGAAACAACACCCATCACAAAGCCACAAATAATATAAAATATCTCATTGTAATGCTAACCATGCAAGTGAAAGACCTATCTGACAAGAACTTCAAGTCTTTGAAGAAAGAAATTGGAGAAGATATCAGAAGATGGAAAGATTTCCGATGATCATGGATCAATAGGATTGACATAGGACCAAAAGCAGTTTACAGATTCAATGCAAGCCTCATCAAAATTTAAATACAATTCTTTATAGACCTAAAACGAACAATACTCAACTCCATATGGAAAAACAAAAACAAAACAAAAAACAGGATAGCTAAAACAATCCTGTACAATAAAATCTTCTGGAGGTATTGCCATTCCTAATTTCAAGTTCTACTATAGAACTATAGTAATAAAAACTGCATTTTATCAGCATAAAAACTTACAGGTGGACCAATTAAATTGAAGCAAAGACCCAAATGTAAATCCGTACATTTATGGACATCTGATTTTTGATCAAGAAGTTAAAATTACATGGTGGGAGAGCATCTTGAACAAATGGTGCTAGTCTAACTGGATGTCAGCATGTAGAAGAATGCAAATAGATTCACATCAATCCCTATGCACAAAACTCAAGTTCAAGTGGATCAAAGACCTCAACATAAAAACAGATACACTGAACCTAACAGAAGAGAAAGCCTTGAATGCATTGGCATAGGAGACAACTTCCTGAACAGAATACCAGTTGTGCAGGCATTAAGGTCAACAGTTAATGAATTAGACTTCAACTGAAAAGCTTCTGTAAGGCGAAGGTCATGGTCAATAGGACAAAACAGCAGCCTACAGAATGGGAAGAGATCATCACCCAATCCACATCTGACAGAGGGATAATTTCCAAAATACATAAAGATCTCAAGAAACTAGACATTAACAAAAACAAATAATCCAATTAAAATTGGGGTACAGATCTAAACAGAGAATTCTCAACAAAGGAATTTCAAATAGCTGAGAAACACTTAAAGAAATGTCAGGGAAGTGCATATCAAAATGACTTTGAGATTCCATCTTATGTCTGTCAGAATGGCCAAGATTAAAAAAATACAATGACAGCTCATACTGGTAGGGATGTGGAGCAAGGGGAATACTCCTCCATTGCTGGTGGGAATGCAAACTTGTACAGCCACTTTGGAAAACAATATGGCAGCTTCTCAGAAAATTGGGAATTAATCTGCTTCAAGACCCAGGTATACTACCCCTGGACATGTAACCAAAGGACACTCTACCATACCACAAGGGCACTTGCTCAACTATATTCATATCAGCTTTATTAGTAATAGCCAGAACCTGGAAACAACCTAGAGGCCTCTCAAATGAAGAATAGATAAAGAAATTGTGGTACATTTACACAATGGAATATTACTTAACTACTGAAAACAATGACATAATGGAATTTATAGGTAAATGGATGGAACTAGGAAATGTAACCCAGAAAGACAAGGTATGTACTCACTTAAAAATGGATAATAACTGCAAAGGATAACCATCCACAGACCCAGAGAAGATAGGTAACAAGAAGAGATGGGGGGGGGGGAAATGCATGAATCTCCCTGGGAAGGGGAAATAGTCATCACAGGCAGAGGGGGAGTGGGGGGGGGACCAGAACAGAAGGTATCAAGTAGAGGGAGGATGGATGGGAAGAGTACTGGGAGAGACAACTGGAATTGCGGGCATCTTGGGGACAAAGTAGAAACCTAGTACAATGGAAATTCCCAGGAATCTATGAAGGTGACCCTAGCTAAGACCCTAGCAATGAGGGATACAGAGCCTGAATTATCTATTTCCTGTAACTAGGCAAGACTTTCAGTGAAAAGATTCGGAACCAGACACTAAACCAGCCACATAACCTTCACCCTACAAATTGTCCTACCTACAAGATGTGCTGTGGTAGAGGTGGTGCAGAAATTGTGGAAGTGGCCAACCAATGACTGGTCCAGTTTAAGACCCATGCTACAAGAGGCAGCCCACCTGACGCTTGCCTGGAGGGCCAGAACCCAGAGGCTGGATATCCCAGAGACCTAGGAAAGAACCAAACACGACCGGGGGAAAAAAAGTTCATGAAAGGATTCCTAATGATATTCTGCTATATTGATAAATTAGTGCCTAGTCCAACTATCATCAAAGATGGAAATAGATATAGAGACCCACAGCCTAACATTAGGTGGACCTCGGGGAATCCTGCAGAAGAGGGGAAGGAAGGATTGTAGGAACCAGAGGGGTCAAGGTCACCACAAGAAAACCCACAGAATCAATTTACCTGGCTCAAAGGGGCTCACAGAGACTGAACCAACCAGGGAGCCTGCATGGGACTGACCTAGGCCCTCTGCATATATTATAGATGCATAACTTCGTCTTCTTATGGGAGTCCTAACAGTAGAAGCAGGGGCTGTCTCTGACTCTTTTTGCTGGGTTTTAGGATCTTTATCCTCATAATGGGTTGCCTCTTCCAGTCAGTCTTCTTCAACTTGATATGCCATGTTTGGTTGATATCCATGGGAGGCGTGTTGTGGAATATTATTTTAAGGTGTGTTATATTTGTTTACGCTCTGGAACATTTGTTTAATGATATAAAGATGTGTTGCTATTGTTTATGCTGCATTTGTTTAACTCTGAGAAACTGATTCTTTGCCTGTCTAAAACATCTGATGGTCTAATAAAGAGCTGAATGGCCAATAGTGAGGAAGGAGAAAGGATAGGCAGGGCTGGCAGGCAGAGAGAATAAAAAAGGAGGGAAACTCTGAGAAAAATGAACAAAGGAGCAAGGAGAGGAGGACAATAGGGGCCAGTCACACAGCCAGGCATGAAAAGAAAAAATCCCAGAGGCAAAAGGTGGTCGGGATAATTTAGGTTAAGAAAAGCTGACTAGAAACAAGCCAAGCTAAGGCCAGGCACTTATAAGTAATAATAAGTCTCTGTGTATTTATTTGGGAGCTAGGTGGTGGGCCCCAAAGAGAAAGAGCAAAGAAGTAAAAAAACAACCAACAAAAGAGGCCTGCCCTTCTCTGAATAGAAATAGAGGAGGAGTGGATGGGAGAGGACAGAGAAGAGATGGAGGAGGGAGTAGGAAGAAAGGAAGGAGGGGAAACAGCTGTTGGCTTGCAGAAAAAAAATTAAAAAATAGAAGAAAAAGAAAAACTTAAACTTACAAACTTTTGTCTAGACAGGTTAAGAAGAAATTTATAAAACACATATTAGCAACATTAACATGAAAAAGGAGATTTGCCACTGTGACTATTAAGGTATTAATAATTTTATTAGCATCTGCTAAAGGGTCTTACCTTCTCGAAGGAAGTGGGTAGAATCATTAAGATATAAGGGCTCTCATCATATATGAAAAGAATATTAGAAGGTCTCATTAAAACCTGAAATTCACAGGCTGGGCAGTTGTGATTTCATTCTTTAATTCCAGCACTTGAGAGGCAGAGGCAGGTGGATCTATGTGAGTTCAAAGCCAGTCTGATATACATCGTGAGTTCCAGGCCAGCCAGCATGTATAGTGCACACCTTTAATCCAAGCACTGGAGAAGCAGAGATAGGTGGGTATTTTTGAGTTCTAGGTTAGCCTGGTTTACAGAGTGTTCCAGGCTAGCCAGAGCTACATGTGAGACCTTGTCTCAAAAAAGAAAGAAAAGGGGTTGGGTGGTGGTAGAACTCTCTGAGTTAGAGGCCAGTCTGGTCTACAGAGTGAGTTTGAAGACAGCCAGAGCTACAAAGAGAAACTCTGTCATGAAAAACAAAAAGAAAAACAAAACCAACCAACCAACCAAAGTCCTATAAATTTAGATTAAGGAAATGGCCAGGGCTGGAAAGATGGCTTGGTTAAGAACACTGGCTGCTCTTCCAGAGGACCCACATGGCAGCTTACAATTGTGTGTAACTCCAGTTCCAGGGGACCTGACACCCTCACACCAGTGCACATATAAGTAAAATTTAAAAAGAAAGACTGAAATGGCCAGACACAGATCCTCATGAGTATTTATAATATGCTGATCTGTCACAGAACTGGTATACAGACAGGATGTATAAGAAATACCTGCAAACCAGTAAGACTCACTATTAATGATGGCCAAGATCTGAAGTAAACATTTCATCACAGATGTGAGAGAGGAGAGCCTGGTAGCACTCACAGAATGGTCCAAGTGGCAAGGCCAATACCAGCTGTTTAGAAGATGGTAAGCCTGAACTATATCTAAAACTAAATGTGTACCCATCTATGGAATGTGATTTTACTTCAAGGTATTTAGGTATTGGCCAATAGACGCGAACCATGTCTGAAGGGCAAGACCAGGAACCCATTGGATACAGGGCTTTGCCCTCTACTGCTAGAACAGTTTCACAGTTCTCAGAAGCCTTAGGACCCCAGGGGCAGCAAAATCTGGGCCTTCTCCCCTATCCCAAAGCCCCTATTGCCCTCTCCTTTGAGTAAGGCTGACTGCAAATGCGGAACACAAACGGTACAGACTATTTTCTTCTTTCCGATCTTCATCCAACGAAGTGGAAGACAGCTTCTTCCTTTCGCCATTCTCCATGCTCGCCTCGCCTAGCTGGTTCCTTTGGCCCCCAGCCCCTGCTGAAAAGGGTGGAGAGGTCAAACATAGCCAGGGATTCAGAGGCGGGTTTCTGAGGCCCAAAGTGTAAGAGGGAGGTCTGAAAGGGAGGTCTGGGGTAAAGGGACACGTCATGAGCTGGAGACTTGGGAATGAGGAGTCAAATAGAAAGAAAGAAGGGCCAGTGGGGGACAGGTCTGAGGAGGAGATGGATAAGTAAGAATAGGAAGACAGCTCAGGGTTAAGGAAATAAGTCCGGGGTTGAAGAGATGGGTTTGGGGCAGAGTTAGGAAGGTCCGAGAGGAAGAACAAGTCAGGGGTGGAATACAGGTCTGGAACTAAGAAGGGGAGGTTAAGGTAGGGAGACAGGTCACAAATTGAGGCACAGGTGTAGGGTCAGGGAGAGGAGGCGGTTACAGAGTTTGGAGGGAGGTAGGAAGGTGAGGGAAAGAAGGTTGAAAAGGCAGGGTGGGGTGAAAGTGGACAGGTGTCAGGGTCAGGCTGGGAAAGTTCTGCCGTTCTAAGCAGCGAAGTCTGGGGTTCCAATTGGAGGGGGGCGGGGTGGGGTTCGGAACGCGGGATGGGAGGGGGACCTGGGCGCTGGTGAGGACAGGCCTGGTGTGTCTGAGGGCTAACAGTGCTCACCTGGGACCCGCCCTGAAGCACGTGCTGTTCTGCTCCAGCTCCGAGCCCTGCGGCTGGGCGTCCTGTGGTCGCCCCTGGCAACGGGCTCCGGCTGCGCGGTGCATTGTGCAGACCCGTGGCGCTGGTGGCCCGGCTTGCGGCGTGCTGAGCGGCGCCCCACTCGGGGTGTGGGGCTTCGTGGACGCGCAGGCTGTAGAACCTGCTGACGGCTGCGCAGGAGGGGAGTCCGCTGGCTGTGGCGCGCAGATACCCGAGGAGCGGACTGAGTTCGAACGCAGATGCTGGCACTCACACTGAGTTTTGGCTCTGGATCTAGTCCCATGCAGTGGTCCAAGGAGTGGCCAGTGCCGGGGCGGGGGCGGGGGCGCGGGCGGGGGCGCGGGTGGGGACTAAGACCCCTGACAGTGCGGGCCATGTGTCAAGGTTAGCTCTCAAGTGTCTGCTACCTGCGCTGGGGTATGCGCTCCCCCTCCACATCTCCCACGCACCTGTCAGGGTCACACAGACAACCAAGGCACTCAGGCTACACCAAGTCACAAAGACCAGGGAGTCACACCCTGCCCCACCCTCGATTTCCTCCAGGCTCCCTTGCTGTCCACACCAGAGGTGGGGATAGAGTCCCAGGTCCTTCCGAGCAGGTGTTCTCCTCGGGTCCCTTGGTCAGCTGAGTGTCTCTCCTTGAGATTAGGGTAGTCAAAGTAAGCCCTCTGTGCCCAGAGGAACACAGAGCGGCACTCCTTATGTAGTGCCTTGGGCTGTGTTGAGGAAGGCCCATCCATCCACCCACCCATCCATCCATCCATCCATCCATCCATCCATCCATCCATCCAGTCATTGTTTTTAAACAATCTTTTCTATTTTACATACCAATCTCAGTTCTCCCTCCTCCTACTCCTCCCTCCCCCACCCCCAATCTCCATCCACTCCTCAGAGAGGGTGAGGCCTCCCATGGGAAGTCAACAAAGTCTGTCACATCAGGACCAAGGCCCTGCCCCCTGTATATAGGCTGAACAAGGTATTCCTCCATAGGGAATGGGCTCCAAAAAAGCCAGTTCATGTACTAGGAATAAATCCTTGTCCCACTGCCAGTGGCCCCATAAATTGCTCAAGCCATAGGGTCACCCACATTCACTGGGCCTAGTTCATTTCTATGCAGGTTCCCCTGCTGTCAGCCCAGAGTCAGTGAGCTCCCACGAGCTTGGGTCAGCTGTTTCTGTGGGTTTTCTTATCATGATCTTGACCCCTTTGCTCATATTACTGCTCCTTCCTCTCTGACTGGATTCTGGGAGCTTGGTCCAGTGCTTAGTTGTGGATCTCTGCATTTGCTTCTATCAGTTACTCTGTGAAGGTTCTATGATGACAATTAAGGTAGTCATCAATCTGATTACAGGGGAAGGCCAGTTCAGGTACCCTCTCCACTACTGCCTAGAGTCTTAGCTGGAATCATACTTGTAGATTCCTGGGAATTCCCCTAGTGCCAGGTTTCTCAATAATCCCATAACTGCATCCTATATCAAGATATCTCTTTTCTTGCTCTCCCTGTCTGTCAGAATTATCGTTTTAAAGCCCAAACTTCAGATCATTTTCATTTGGTTTAAAGCAGTAGCTCTCAGCCTGTGACTCATGACCCCCTTGCAGGGGTTACATATCCAATATTCTGTGTATCAGATATTTACATCATAATCCATAACTGGTGAAATTACAGTTAGGAAAGAACAGTGAAATAGTCTTATGGTTGTGGGGGGTCACCAAAACATGAGGAACTGTATTAAAGTGTCTCAGCATTAGGAAGGTTAAGAACCACTGGAATAAAGGCATCTTTATTTCACAGGTTTTCCTCCCTAAGTATAGGAGGCTTCTCCGTGACTGGTGATCTAGTCTTTCTCCCCACCACCAGTCTTTACAAATCAAAGAATAAATTAAAAATGGCTTTCCACTCTGAGGTAAGGCCCCATTTCTTACCCTGGTTTTGGTTGTTTTGTTTTGTTTTTGTTTTTTCAGAAGCATTTAACAGGCTATGACCACATTTGCATGTTAGCATTTATTGCCAAAGCATATTAAACAATACCAAATAAAAGTGTATTAGAGCCATTTTTTGGACCCCATTTATATGAGTTTTTTTTTAACTCTTTAAAATTAGAAAGTGCAAGCCAACAGCAATTCCCCTGCTGTGTCGTTCTGGTCCTGAATGTTCAAGCCTCTGGTCTCCTAGCAGATGGCTTGTTCACCACCCATCAAGGTGTGAGAGCTGCAGTAGGCCCAAAGCTTAGAGGGCTCTGCACTGCTCATGGCACTTATTTTAGGCCCCAGCCCTCTGGAGCTGCAGAAGATGAAGACAGGACAGGAACTTCCAAGGCTGGGGATGGAACTGCTTTGCTTGATACTTTCTACCTTCCAGGTGCCTTACTTGCATTTTTCTGACTAAAAATAACAACTGACCACACTTTTCTTAAATCCTGACAGTCTGAGTCATGTGCATTTAGAATTGAGAAGCCTAGGAGGATTTTCATCATCTCCTTGACTCAGGCAGCTCTTTGGGAACATACAATGCACCTCTAGTCTTTCCAGTAGCCTCTCTGGGACCCACTGATACACACCCCAGCTCAGTAAAGGAACACTGCTGCTCACCTCCCAGGAGAGGAACAAAACCACCCTGACAAACAGATTCAGTGACAACCTCAGTAGGAAAGCAATTCCAAAAATGGTTTCCAGTTCCACAGGTACCCAATACTATGGATTCCTTGGTGGTCTTATCAGTTGGGAGAATCCAGATGTTCTCTGAGGTTTGGGGAAATGGTATACAAACCATCTCTTGACCATGATTTTAATCAGAGCCAGTGTGATTCTCGCAAAGTATCCCCACACTGTGTCAAGCAAGCAGAGGCACAGAATTGCCCTAAGGCACTCACCTATGAGTGAGTGAGGAGCAAATCAGGAAGGGAAGAGGGCTGGAAAACAAGAATTACCCAGGCCAGCAGGGTCACCTGAGAACTATAGAAGTGACCCACTCAACAGGGTGCAACCTTCAATGTTTACCTGTTTCAAAGTTAAACTACTACAGGTAGTGAAACCACCTTTGCAGCCTGGGCTGTCCTCACAGGAGGGAAAGAGCATGTTAGCAAGCAGTTATTGCAGGACAGTTAGAGTCTGTATGATTGGACATGCTGGGGGTCAGACAGACACCAAGACTCAGTCTCTTTATCATGTAGTCACTGGGCCATTTGCACCACCACAGCTCTCCAGGCTTTCTCTTTGTCAAACTCCTTCAGGGGGCTTCTGGCCACCTGTGATAAGAGACAAGGACAGTGTTACTCATCAGGGCCAGACCTGGAAGGAAGGCAGACTCAGCTCAATCTGTGCAGCATCTTTGTATGCAAGCTTCTTTATGTGTCAAAGAACTGAGGGGAATGGATGTTAGAAAGGGGACAGAACATCTTAGAAAGGTCTACATGCCCTCCCACAGTGTCTATAGTGTCCAATGGGGTAGGTTTTTAAATGGGTGTGCACCTGGCAGCAAAAGAAATAGACGACTAAGGCAGATACATGCTTCCAGATATAAGATAGGATAATTCTAGCTTGCACAAGTATTTAGCGCTCCAAAGATGGACAGTTCTGGGAATCTGGCAAAAACAGTTTATCTGACTCTATGGCCTGCTGGTCAGAACACAAACCCAGGTGTACATTTTTGGCCCAAGGCAAAGATAAGACCTGCAGGGCAGGACCTGCCTGGATATCTCCTTGAGCACAGAACAACCAGGTACTTTGTGGTCCTTGATGGCAGTGGACAAGTTTGTCCAGGAAGACACTGCGGGAACAAATGACTCAAGGAGATATTAGTAGGCCCCACCTCAGTTGTGGAGGCATCAGAACTTAGGATGGTATGGGGGCAGGAAAGAGTATTGTCCAGGTAACTGATGACTGGCCACTCCCACCACACTGACCACAGAATAGGAATGTCTAGCTGCAGGCAAACCCACATGCCAGGCAGGGGCAGCTCTCCACTGCAGAGCATAGCATATTCTGTGGGAGTCTTTGGAAGGCTTTCTCTATATCTATGAAAGTACTATGACCATGATATTTTTTTTTCATGAATGGGTTTGTACTCATTTAAAATGTCATTTAAAAATAACCTAGTTCTTTATTTCTCCAAGATTTTTCTTGGGTGCCTAAAACTGCAAATGAAGGGGGGAAACCCACAAAATGTGACAACAAATATTAAAGGACTTTAGTAGAGGGGTCTATTACTTCACAAGGACCCTCTGAAGACCCAGGATGGGGCATCCTGGGAAGGCAGGCCACTTACCTCCCCTCCTGGACGTTCCTGGGGACAGGTCTGGGTGTCCCAGGATGCAGCCTGTAGTCGGGCACTGACCTTGAAGCTCACACACTGGATGGCTGTACCAGTGTTGAGGCCCCCCTGAAGCAACAGCACTAGCAGCAACAGCAGGAGGAGCACATCATAGGACTACAGTGAAAGACAAAGACATGAGCAGGTCCTCAGGCAGACTCCTGCAAGTTCTCCCCTTGTCTAAGGCTTCCACAGAGTCACAACACCCCCTGACCACTGAGCCCTAAACATCCAAACATGCTTTCTTGTTTGAGTAATCTGAATCAGAACATTTCAGTTCAACCAATTCTGCTGGCTTGTATTTAACAAGTAAGCATAAAAAAGAGCCAGACTGTGTTCCTTCCACCCCTCCAATCCAACAACCACAGGGAGGCTAAAGAACATGTGAGACTCCTGTGGCTCATGCTGAGGGTGTACAAAGGGCAGGGGTGACCGAAATTTTTCATTATATATATATATCTCTGCAGGAAACACACTCCTGAGATTGGTACAATTGGCTCTGAAGTGGCTTTGGCTGAAGGAAAGTCATAGACCAGGACCTACCAACAAAGAGACCTGAACACCAAATGCTGGTGAGAGAGAGGCAATAAGGGAGGGAAAGATGACAGGGCAAGAAAGAGTCTTTGTCCTGAGAGCCCAGGAGCCAATGGCAATAAAATGCACTACATGTAGCAAAGAATGCTTTGGAAATATCCACAAAGCAACCAGACAGATGCCTCTCAGCATCAGCCCACTACATTAGAACAACTAAATGTTAACACATAAAGGACATAGTGTGGATTGATTGGCATGATGATGTGAGCCTATGATCCCATCACTCAGGAGGCCCAGGCAGGAAGATCTCAAGTTCAAGGCCAGCCTGGACTACACAACAAGATCCTGTCTCAAAAATTAAACTAGAAATTCACACATAAGAGCAAAAGCTATGTGTGTCCCACAGTGAGGAACTTTCCTGTCAGGAAGAAAAGGAGGCAGGTCTACAGCCTCTACCATCAGCACAAGGTGGTCTCAGTACACAGTGACAGGAGGCTGGAGCAGATGTGAGCTATAAGGAAAGGACCCTCCAGACAGGGGCACAGCCTGTGAGAAAGTATGTCAAAGGACTGAGAGAAACAAGGATTTTCAGGGTTTCTCTGTGTAGCTTTGGAGCCTGTCTTGTACTTGCTCTGTAGACCAGGCTGACCTTGAACTCACATAGATCCACCTGCTTCTGCTTTCCAAGTGCTGGGACTAAAAAGGCATATGCCTGCCACCACTACTCAGTGAAACAAGGATTTTTATACAAAAGTGGTTTCCACAAGTGAAGCATCTTGAGAAAGATCAAATTTGTGATTTGTGACTCTGGAAAACCCATGCTAGGAAGGTTTCTGGAGAGGACAGAAGAGTTCAGATATTTCTGCTGTCTGTGTAGTCCTTCTCCCAGGTGATCATCCTCAGAGTCACATGAAATGTGCACATAGGCTGGTAACCAGAAGCTATTCATAACAGCAGATGGCTGGAAATAACCCTGTTCCCATAACTAGGGACCTGTCAGATCAGTGGGGCAACATTTGAACAGATTAATGAAAGAGTACAGGAGAGTTCTGATCCCTCTGGGTGTTTACCAAAATCTAGGGTAAGTTATTGTGTTTAAAAAAAAATGACCCCCAACACAGGGCGGTAGTGGTACATGCCTTTAATCATGGCACTTGGAAGCCAGAGGCACTCATTGGGGGGATATCATTTATCCTGGAAACAAACAAATGCCAAGCATCTAAGATGTAAATCCAGCTGCATTCACTTGAGCCTGAAGAAGTCCTACAATGTGCTGGAAGTCCCCAGAGGAATCTCACTTGGTGACATCCCATATGAAAGGTACAGAGTCAGAACACTTCCAATCCTCAGATCTTCCTATGAACTTAATGCAGGTCTGACAGAGATCCCAGTGTGCTGTAAGAGGACGGCTGGACTTGAGATGTGCATGGGTGCTTGGGCAGAGGAAAGCCACAGTCATGAAGAAGGAAGTAGGGCCTCACTAGGGCTGAACTAAGACATCGGAGGAGGGAGGAGCAACAAACAAAAACAAAGCAGTGGGCAGAAACCAGAGCAGAGCTGCCTAGCAAGAAAATCAGATCCTACCTCCCTTCACGTACAACCTACCCCACCCAGAGCAAACTGGACAAAGCCACTTAGTTCAGGTGGGTGCCCATTTGCCCTGACCATTGTTAGGAAAACAGCAGATGCCCCATAGCTATCCCCCCAGACTCTATCTGTAAGTGGCTGTTTCCAAAGAGTTCCAAAATCGAATGAATACGTACTTTGATAGCTGGTGGGTAATCTTTAAAAATCTCCACAATTCTCATCACGCTGAAGGACAGATACCCAGAGGCAGTGAAGAGCAGTGGGGATGTAAGGCTGCTGATGGCAATCAGTACCTCCACCTGGCAGAGAAGCAGATGAGCTTGGGTAGTAGGTGCGGCCAGCACCTGCCTGCCTGGGAATCTGAGAGGCTGGACCAGTGTGTGGCTCCAGACAAACTGCCCATTCACTCACTGCTATGCATGACTGTCAAGTTTTTGGATTTCACAGCGACCATCTTATCTGATGAAAAAAACTTCTCCCGCTCTTCCAAGCTTCCCCGTGTATCAGGGTCATACAACCCAGCACTGAACGCTCATTTGCACAACAGTTAGGCCCAAAGACCACTTGCTAACATCTAACCAGCCCTACAGGAGGCAGGATGAAGCTAAAGGACAGGTCTCTTCCTTCATTCCTTGCTCAGCAACAAGAATTTCTGGCTTCCAAACCTAAAGTGTTTACGTCTTGTTTTCAGAAACAGGGTAGCCAGGTCCCTGGGTTCTTTTCCAGGGCAGTGGTGCTTGCTCTGGCCCACTGGCCCCTGATGGCCTCTCCTTCTCAACCTGTGTTCAGCCACACCCAGAGTGTGAATCATGGAACCATAGAAGGGCTGGGCCTCACCTACCAGACACTTGCTGGGACACTCTGCTGTCACATGGCTGGCAATGGCACTTGGAAAACACTGGGGAAAGAAGAGAAAATCTTAGAGATGGGTGTCCAAGAAGTCAGCTTGTACTCCTGCTTTGATGACATTCACCCTTCTATCCAGTAGAAGGAGAGCCAGAGATGCCATAAATGGCCTAGACTTAGGGTAGCATCTCATGAGTTTGGTAGCTTCTTGTTCTTCAACTATTTGTTTAAACATTTAAGGCTCCTGCCAAAAAAAGCTGCAAAAATGGCAGAGTGGCATTTCAAGTCTCCAAGTTCCCTGCAATGACCTTGATGACATCTGTCATCTCTGTGCTCTGTGTTCTCTGCTGTCAGCCCAGTCACTTGACTATATGCTACATACTTGGACAGCACAGTGTGTAACACAGGCAAATGGGGATATATCTGCAGCTCTGTCTAGGGGGCCCAAAAGCAATATAAAGAGAAATCTCTGCTTTGTGATCTAGGACCCAAACTAGGGTTCTCCTTGTACCTCCTTGTCAGTCTCTATTCACAGGATCTCCCTTAACCTCTGGCACCTTTGAGGACTTTTCTGAAACATGAACCCAGAGCTGCACACAAGTCTTTATGGGTTAGGTGAGTACCTCTTCAAGATGAGACAGGAAGGTCTGTCTATCCTTGGCAGGGGAAGCTGCAGGGCTCCTCTTTTGGATACCAAAATGTCTTTTGCAAACTCCAGGCAAACAAGGACAGTGGAGAGGGCAAGAAGTTTAGTAAGCCCTTTGGTCATCTTTCTGGGCCATTGGCCCATGAGTTCCAAGGATGCTAAACAGCCTGAGGAACTCCTGAACAATCTCCCAGCTCAAAAGTTCTTATCCACAGAAACAAATGTAAAGGAAATGCCCAGGCCTCAGGACAGAAGCACTGTCCCCAGGATACCTGGGCCTAAATACACCACGAAGGAGTCTGCACTTGTCAAGGACCCTAGAGAAAAAGTGAGTGATGACGGAAGAGGAGGGACAAGAGGTGGCTACATGTGCATGAGCAGGGCCTGAAGCAGATGTGTCAACACAGGGCTCTCTTTTGAGGGTGGCATTTCCAAAAGTGCCCTCTGGCTACAGCAGGAACAGGTACTGAAGTGAGAACAGAGGATTCCAAGCAACAAGTCAGGAAGCAACTAGTGTGGCTCTAACAAGTCAGCAACCTGGAGCAAGGCTATTGCCTTTTGCTACATGAACCCCCACGGATAGGCATCAGCCCCACCCCCATCCCAGACCCCTCTCTGACCATCTTCTGACCAGTATTCCAATAGGACTGGCTTACTACCATCCCAGGAATTCTCCTTCCCCTCAAATCCTAGGCCCTCCTTCTTGGGTTTCCATACCCATTGCAAAGCTGCTTATACCCTGGAGGAGTGAAGTCTTGTTGCATAGAGGTGCAGCTGGCCAGGAGAGAGGATTAACATTGAGTAGGACCTGGATATCTTGCTGGGAAGTACAAAGGGGCAATCTAGCATATAGGTTGTGGAGGAGGATGGGTCTATAGGGAGGGAGGTCATGTTCATTGGTTTAATTCTGGGAACAGGGATGGGTGGGCACTGTCCCCAAGAAGCTCAGAGTATAACTCCATGACCATCTCTGTACTGCAGAACACATAGATGAGATTCTTTCTTATTTTGTCTTAAAACATGTAAGAGATTTCTATTTCTGTCATGGCCCACTCCTGTCTCTTTCAGAGAACAGCTGTGTTCCACAGATAACTTTGCACCTGTCTCCAGGGCTCTCCTAGGATGAACACATAGCTCAGGCTGAAACTCACTGAGGTGATCACAGGTGCCCTGGGCCTCTGAAAGGGAGATGAAGCACAGCTTTGGTGGGCATTTGCCTCCTCATGGCTGAACAAAAAGATTAAGAAAGTGTACTGGTTAGTTTTTTGTTTGTTTGCTTGCTTGTTTGTTTGATCAGCTTCACACAAGTTCAGCTCATCTAAGAAGAAGCCTCAAATGAGAAAATTCCTTTATCAAATTGACAAGTAGGCAAGTCTATGAGATAGGTTTTTCATTAATAATGTAGGAGAGCCAAGGCCATTATGTTGCTATCCCTGGGCAGGTTGAGCAAGCCATGGTATGTAAGTATATGTCAGTAAGCAGTATTCCACCATGGCCTCTGCATTAGTTCCTGTTTCCAGAACCCTTCTTGAAGTTCCTGCCCTTCATTCCCCTAATGATGGACTGACATAGAAGTGTAAGCCAAATAAACCCTCTTTCCCCATGCTGCTTTTGGTTATATTGTTTTTATCAGAGCACTGGAAAGCAAGCTAGAACAGAAGGCAAGCTGCCAAGCCAAGGATGTGTCCCATGGGCAGCTTCATTTCTGGCTCAGAAGCCCACGGATGAGGTAGAGGATGCTCATCATGTCCCTTTCACTTCTCTGAGATGGCAAGAGCATAATCAAAAAGTCTTCCTAGCCAAAGAAGCAGAATGGGCAAACCAGGGGACAATGGCAGCTCACTAGCGCCATGGTGCAAAAATGACCTCTTTAACCAATATCTGAAACACAAACTACAATGGATGCTGGTTTCAGAGATTTGAGATGTGTAGAAATAATGAATGTGGAGGAATTGCTCTAGACTGTTCTGAGGAGTGTCATGCACCCAAAACATTGTTAAGATGCTAAATCACAACACTAAATCACACGGGCAAACTTGGGATGCTTTAAAATGGCAAAAGGATCACATTTAAGAGTGGCCAACTGTCACACATTTCCTGTGCTAAATGTTCACCACAGCAGCATTTAATGCAAAATAATTTTTTAGAAAAATATGAAAGTAATATAATGGTAACAGTTAAAATAAAATTTCATGCAAATACACTTAATCATTGGTTTCCAGATTCTTTGTGGGGGGGCTCTCCTATGTGCTCTCCTGTCTGAATGTTACCAACATTGTGCTAAAATATCCAGCCATGTAGGGTCTAAAGAGGGAGGCTTAAAACTGGCTGCAGCCATGTCTAGCTAACTATAAACATAGACAAGGTGACATGAAGTACTTACAGCCACTAAAATCCAAAAGAATGTCACTGAGAGATGTGGGCCTGAGACAGCTTCATCTACATTTAGAGCGATCACACCCCCAAGTACAGCAGAGACACCAGCAATTACTTCTACCACCTAGGAGGAAAACGACACAGTCACCTTGCTAGATCACCACACCAACAGTCTGCCCCCATGGAAGTCTCAGAATGCACTGTATAGATAGAGGTCTCCTCAGGACAGACCATGGGTTCAGTAGGTGTTTATCTTTGGTCTCTTCACATTGACCATGGAGAGACTACTAGATACAGCCAAGGAGGTGGGTGGTGGTGGGAGCTGCCACCGGACCCACAGTGAGGCTCACAGGCAGAACTGAGCCTGAGGGGGATGGACATGGAGTTGCCCCACTCACTAGGAGAACCAGCCCAGGGTTGTGATAATGGAGCTTATACTGTAACCCACCACAGGGAGGCTGAGTTAGGAGGGTGGATAGTTCAGTGCAAACCTAGACTATATAGCCAGACCCTGTGCCAAAGCAAAAGAAGAGAAGGAAGATGGAGTTTTTTTCTTACGGAGTAGGATTTTAAGACCCGAGCAGGAAAAGTCACTTCATCCAAAATGTTGGTGCCATCTGAGATGGAACCCTAGGAAGAAGTAAACCCTTATGGAGCCATAGAATGCTAAGTATGGGTGCTGGCTGCTGTATCAGGAATTAACGTCTAAAAGCCTCAATGTCACAGCCCTTCAATCTAGAGGAACAACTCAAGTGCAGACATCTCCTCTTGCATATGGACATGTCCAATCACTGCAATTGGAGCTTACCAGCATTTTCACAGAATGGGTCTTCCAGTGACAGTCCTGCAGATGGTACAGACGGGAGGGACACTAGGGAGGCAGTGGTGCATTACCATCACCCCCTAGGCTCAGCTATCAGTCTCCCACCCACGCCTGTCTCCTCCCACTCATGGTCTTCCACAGTCAGGCCCAGCTCAGGAACATGAGAAGGTAGTTTTGGGAGACCCACCTTCTTCTTCTTGCAGGACTCCTCACTGGATCTTGCCGAGATGATCACTGTGGCTGCCATGAGGAGCTCCAACAGCAAGAGCAGGATGAGGTTAAAATTAATCTGCAAAGGAAATGTGTGCCTCAGCCACACTATCCTTACCCCCAGAAAGTTACCATCCTGCTTCAGCTGGTTAATCCAGATCTACTCTCTTTGTTGTAGGCCTGAGTAAACCATGGCAACATACTGCCCCTCTTTTGTGTGTGTCTTTTTTTTAGTTTGGCTGATTTTTCTCTCTTTCAATTTCTCTCTCTCTCTCTCTCTCTCTCTCTCTCTCTGTACATTGTTAAACTTTTTGATAATTAAATTTATTCATTGGGGTGTGGGCACCAGTAGTTCCATGCACATGGAAGTCAGAGGACAACTTGCAGGAGTCAGTTATTTTCTTCCACCTGTGGGTCCTGGGGATTGAACTCAGGTCATCAGGATTGACAGCAAGCACCTGTATCTGCTAAGCCATAAAACTGGCCCAGGTTCTTGTTTTTAAGACTACTCTTAGTGAATGGCTCTGCAAAGACATGCCATAGGCCACTGGGCCTAAAAACCAAAGTTCTCTATTTCAAAGCCACACCTGGGCTGGAAATCTCTCACACTGATTGAACAGAACTTCATGGTTGTGGAAGATTGGAATGTGGTAGATAAAGAGCCCAAATCACCTGGGCCTGTCTTTAGTCCCTAAACAGCCACTCACTGTCAATATCTATGACTTCTGACCTAACATCTCCATGACTCCTCTGGAAAATATTTGGAATGTGCACTTAAAAGACCTATAGCTTCCAATACCATAAAGCTAAACATGTTATAACATCTGCAAGGTATAAAAGTGACTTCTCCACTCCTTCATCGCTTGCCTACCTATCGCTTGCCTACCTGATGCCCACACCAGTGTATCTGGTAAATGCATTGACTTAGGACTTTCTTTTATTCTAATTCCATAAAGGTTCATATAACCTCTTCTACAACAGACCATGCCATTGGAGGTAACCTGAATTTGTGTTCCTGGGCCTTGGTTGCTTCTATCTTACTTGAGATAAACTACTTTTTTATTCCTTTTGGAGATGAACTGCCTCTTATATCAAGCCCTTGAACTGTATCTCCCACCCCATTCTAAGCACACACAGAACACAAACACAAATGTTCAGAGCCTGTTCAGCTCCATATGCAGTTTATAGAAATTGCAAATACAAGGCTGGGGGTGGGTCACAGAACCATCTGATCCATCCTTTTCTGTGAAGGCCACAATTGAGATGCTTGCCTATTTCCCCATTACTACCTGTGCTTGTACATTGCCCTGATGCTTCCCTGGTAGCTCTGATGGTGTGGGTGTCCCCTGCTCTAGAATCTGTGAGGGCAATAACTGTCTCTTCAATGGTGTCTCCGAAACTGCTGTCCTTACCATTCTTATATAGTAATATAGCCAGCATTTTAAAAAATGCAATTCTCTGTGTAAATAAAGCAGATCATTCATTCTTTGAAAACTCCTATGGAAAGCTAAGAAAAATTCATTTTGCCACATGGTGAGCCTTGGTAAATGCCAAAGAATCAAATGCACCCTGACTATGTATTCATGTCATGAGGTAATGAAATAAGAAATCAATAATATGTGGATGGTATTTAAAATTAATTCCATGTGTCTGCTTCATTGGGACCCTGACAATGAACAGTCAGGGGAGACTCAGAAGAGGATAGCAATTCAGTGACAATCCTCAGAAGTGTGTTCTTGGACAAGAGGAGCCTGTGATGGTCAGAGTAGACTGTCTCAGGGACTGCAACTTCTCCAGGAGCTCTAAGCAGGGTGGTTGCAACTGCATACAGCCTGCCTTGTACACCCAGCCCTGCCAGACCAATGGGCACAGAGCCAGAGAAAAATATGTTAGCCCCTCTGTAATGTTCAGCCACCCCTGGGGCCAGGCTAGGGAATACTGGTAGACAAGCACAGCTTGCCCCCCCTTCCCCAGATCTTCAGGGGCAAGGACAGCCAAATAGCAATGAAAAATGAGAATTTTCATCAAAATCTAGAGCAGACTACAACAGAGCTGAGGCAAAAACCTTTAACCAAGTGGTTGGAGAAACTGAGGTTCTGAAGTCAGGCAGAGTTGCTACAGGTGTGAGAAGTCTCTAAGGGGCTGGATATAGAAGTCTTTGTTTCTTGTTTGGTTGGTTTGGTTTGGTTTTTCAAGACAGGGTTTCTCTGTGTAGCTTTGGAACCTGTCCTAGAACTCGCTCTGTAGACCAGGCTGGCCTCGTACTCACAGAGATCTGCCTGTCTCTGTCACCTGAATGCTGGAACTAAAGGCGTGCACCACCAAAGCCCTGGATAAGAAGTCTTAACTGCAGAGCTGTTCAGGCAAAAGGATGTCAAATGTAGGTCGCAGAGGTCAGTTTCAAGGGTCAAGGGTCAGTCTGAGGTGGGCTGGTGTGATTAGCAGAAGAGACTATGCTTAAGCTGGAACACAGGGATGGGGGGGCTGGAGTTCTTTTCTGTGACAGTGAGTGAGTCTTGGTGAGTCTCATGGAAGTGACTGTGCCTTCTACACTTTGGTCTTGGGTGCTCCTTCTTTTATAGTCCCAGGGAGGGGATTCCATCTAGTAGGATTGAAAAGCTCATGTGTGTCTGGTGTATCTGATACACTCCAGGTGTCATTTACCATTTACCATTTTTTACATCTTGGCAAACAGTGTGTTTTCTTATTTGTGTAAGCAAGATGTAGACTGAGGCATTCTTTCTTGCCACTTCCATTCAAAATAGAGTAACTCTGGTCAAGACTGTTGCTTTATTAAATGGGAATAACCCAAGGCTAGGCACAGCCTCAAAGTGAGTATTTCATATAATGCAGATTTTGAACATGCTACCTCACCATCCAAAAGCAAGTTAAAGTGTAGCTGTTTTCAATACCCTGGACATTAGCATCACCACCTTGAAGCAGACACACAGGAGACCCTTGTGAGATCTGCCCTACTAACATTCCCTCTGAGCCCCTCCCCAATTATAAAAAAGGTTACCCTTGTTTCTGTAAGTAACAGATGAACTTAATTATTCACCAAACTGGGCTCATTTCTTTGGTCTGTAATTTTTTTTCTATCTGGGGTAAATAGATGATTCTTCATGTGTCTTTTGGAAAAGTCTATGAAACTTGTCCAATTTAGTGCTAGAATCCTAGAGAGGTGCTAGCTTTTGGTCTATATTGGAATCCCCCAAAAGTGGGTTCTAATATGAACAAAGGAATGCCTCAGCACGAGCTAGCCTCACCAGCACAAGTGAGACCAAGTGGCAAAAAGCAAAGGCTGCTTTATTATATGTCTTTTATGTGGGCTGACACCAGAAGGTGTGACCCAGATTTAGAGTAGGTCTTCCTACCTCAAACTATCTGATCAAGAAAAACTCGTCACAGCTGACCCCAGCTGCTTGGACTTTAGTTAGTTCCAGATGTACTCAAGTTGACAACCAAGATTAGCCATCATGCCAACATGAGGAGATGGGTAGAGAGCAAGAACAACTGTGCCCTACCACCAGGGAAAGCAGTGTATAGACCCCAAAGGTTTCCCAGCACTTACGAGAGCCCAGAGTATCTGGGGAAGGGCCTACAGGACGGTGTGCCACAACCCACACAGATGGAGCCATGTTCCTGAATGTCTGTCCACTTTGTGGCTATATCAACACTTACATAGATGTCCCTGAACATAGTTTCTGAGCAGGATTGGCCCAAATTCTGTGTTCTTCATGTTCCACCTACCCCAGCAAGCTCATTCTCTTGACACAATAACCATAAAGTCTCAGTGTGATTGGGGCCACGGAGAGTCTAGTTATTTATGGAGTCTGACACCTAGCCCAGGGGGGACTGAAGTTCTGTGGGTCTAAGTCCCAGGTGAGGTTGGGGCAGCTGGTCCATTGCCAATGCGCTTAACTGCTGAGCCATTGCTCCAGCCCCCCATGCATGCTTTTTAATCATGGGTGTGCCAGTGTTTCTCCAAGGTTTGCACTTGCCATGATGCAGTGTCTTCATTTGAAGAAGGTACATACAAGGATCAAACAGTTCTCCAAAGCGCCTGCATCTGTCATCAGAGAGTCTCTCTGGGAATGCGGGGAGCTACCTTGCTGTGTGGTTTCCTCTTCCTTGGGCACCAGTTTCTCTTAGGGATCCTAGTGTGTAGTGTGTTGAAGGTACCCTCTGTCACTTCTGTATCTATTGCTCCCACCCTCAGGGTACTCCTGCTTGGGAGAGAGCAGCCTCTCCTAGCTGTGCCTGTACAGCTCAAGATCTCATCTATGTGGCAGGTAAGAGATAAGGGGTCCATTTGGCTAATCCATACTCACTGTAACCCAGATCACAGCCTGAAGTCTTCAATTTGATGTGCCTCTGGACTGACTGACTATGATGGTGCCTGTAACCCCATGCCCAGCCTACCCTTTTATTAGGATTGCTTTCTAGTATTTTGGCTGTGGGAGGATGCATCCCCACCTGTCTTTGAGGGACCCCTTTCCTTCTTTGTGCTCTACTGAACAACCCTATGCAGACTTTGGAGAGGAGCCTCTCACTGTGACCTGCATTGCCTTGTGGTCTCACCCTCTATTTGTTCTGGATGTGTATGTGACATTCAGCCTCTCCTGGCCTCCAATGTCACCAGGCACACACACAGTGCAGACATATATGCAGGTAAAACATCCATACACATAAAGTAAAATATTTATAAAAAAAAAGATGTATCGTAGTTTTTAATCTCTTGTTAGACCTATTCCCAGGAATATGTTTTATTTGGTTGGTTAGGGTTTTGTTTTGGTTTTTTGTTTGTTTCTTGAAACATGGTCTCATATAGCCCAGACTGTTTTCAAACTAGCTACACAGTCAAGGTTGATCTTGTACTCCTAATCTTCCTCCTCCTATCTCCTAAGGGCTGGGATAATAGGCATATGTTAACATACCCAGCTCTACGCATTTAATTCTGTAGTGCATCTTTGTTTAGAGAATATTTTCAAATTTTGTGGCACAATTAAAATTTTATATTTATTTTTCATATCAAACAACTTACTACATACATTCAATAATAAAAGTGTCCAGTCTGCTGCATCTCCAAAAGGAATAAAAAAAGTAGTTTATCTCAAGTAAGATAGAAGCAACCAAGGCCCAGGAACACAAATTCAGGTTACCTCCAATGGCATGGTTTGTTGTAGAAGAGGTTATATGAACCTTTATGGAACTAGAATAAAAGAAAGTCCTAAGTCAATGCATTTACCAGATACACTAGTGTGGGCATCAGGTAGGCAAGCGATGAAGGAGTGGAGAAGTCACTTTTATACCTTGCAGATGTTATAACATGTTTAGCTTTATGGTATTGGAAGCTATAGGTCTTTTAAGTGCATATTCCAAATATTTTCCAGAGGAGTCATGGAGATGTTAGGTCAGAAGTCATAGATATTGACAGTGAGTGGCTGTTTAGGGACTAAAGACAGGCCCAGGTGATTTGGGCTCCTTGAATTTTTGTGTGTTCTCACAGGAGTAGATAGGGCATCCTTATTTCTGGGGAGATTTTTTTTTCTCATTGAGTATCACAATTTATGTAATCTTTTCCCATTTTTCTCAGTAGTGCAAAAAGTAACCAAATGCCTTATAAACAACACCATAGACTGGATAAAATACAGTAGTATGTTGCTATTTTTTAATGTGTGATAGTGGGCTAAAATATGAAGCATTGCACATATTAGAAGTGCATGCTCTGTCCCTGAGCTGCATCCTAGGCCTGTCACTGTTAGGAAATAGACACTAACATGTCATTCATCAATAGGTTTGCCCAATGGAATAAACTCAGAAGTCAGCAGAGATGATTCTTTCATTTAGAAGCATAGGCAACAATCTTCATTGCTTGCCAGCAAGAGCAACACATTTTCAGTGGATCTCTAACCAGGATCTACCCATGCTCAGTGGGAGCAGCATTTGACATCAGTGGGAAAACATGACTCAGGTAAAAACATATTGTGACCCAAATCCCCTTCCAGTGACTCACGTTTATTGCTGACGGATTCAGGATCAGTTTACATCCAAACCAGATTAAGCAGGTAGTGGTGACAGCGAACGTGGAGACAAACAATATCTGAAAGTTGGGAATCTGGAAAACAAAGCAGGAGGCATTTCCTTTTTTAAAAAATACTGAAGAAATCAAGACAACATCTGCTTTTCACAGCTCAGAGCTGTGGGGTCTCCAAGTCTGCAAAGAAGGCTTCACGGAAGGCTTAACTTACCGCACTGACGTTTCTCCTCCCCACAGCGAAGCTCACAATGGCTGAGGGGATGCACTGAAAAGAAACCAGAACCTGAGTTACCTGAGTCTTGTCCCCTGGATATGGGACAATCTTGAAACAGTGTGTTGCAGGCCAGGTGTGAGCTCAGTGTTAGGGCTCTTGTGCTACAGACCTTGGGTTTTACCTCCAGCTCAGCACACAATTAAGGCAATGATGGGTTATAATGTTTAAGCCTCTACAATGATCTGAGTCATACTGGCAAACCATAATTGTCAGCCTACTGGCTACAAAGAGCTCCCCAACCCTAAAAGTTCCTTGATATTTCAAGAAACTTAATTTAAAAACAGTATTTATGAGGAAGGGGCTCACCAGTCCCTACCCCGGCTGAGGAGCTCTTGATAGCTGATGGCTGTTGGGGGAGGGAAAGACAGGTTTTTGCTGCTTTTAATCTTTTTATGACATGGCCCATGGTAGGTTGACTCAGCCCAAATTGGACCCAGTGGGTTATTAAAAAGAAAAAAAGAAATGAAGTTGTGAGGAGAAATAGGGAGGTCAGAGATAGATCTGAGAGGATAGGGGAAGGAGTGGAGGTAGTATGTGTCCAAATACATTGTATGTGTGTGTATGAAATTCTCAAAGAATTTATAAAAATGTTAGTTTTCAAAAGTTAATTAAATCGCATTTGGTTGGATGAGAGTGGAAGTCATACTATAGCTTGGTATTGTTGAACAATTACTCAGAAGGAAAAAGTATCTGTGTGGCCAAAACAGAAGTGACCCTTCTATTTAGGGGTCCCTCTATCTCAGTAGCTGTCATCCAGGCCATGTCTGATCCTACTGTGACTCCAAAGCCAGATCAAGAACCAGGGGAGGAGGTTAGTGAGGATGTCAGGGGAGCTGGACGGGGGTCAGCCTGGGTCTTCCAGGCCATGGTATCAAGCATGTGGGCAATGGGACCCTAGTCCCCTGGAAGAACAGCAGAGGAGACCTCAAAGGATATTGAGCTCACAGGACAAAGGCCAATGGGAATGTCTATATAGGCCATACAGTGGATGGTAGGGGAGGGAAGGAAACCTGTGTTGAAACCTGAGGTAGGGCTTGGGACCCACTCAGGTAACCCAAAGGCCAAACAGTAGCATCTGGGAAGACAGTTGCCAAGGGTGGAGCAAGGCAGGAATGGGTGTTCCCCACCTTTGGGACTGAGCGGGTATTGCCATGCTGAAGCAATGTGGATCAGAATCACTGTGATCCTGCTCCCATGATGAGGGCATGGTAGACATATCCAGAGAGGAAGTGGCAGGGAAGAGTTCACATTCTTTCAAGGAGTTTTATTATAAAGGAGCAAAGAGGCCCATGACAACATGTGCACATGGCTGGGTTGTGGGGCTAAAAGAAGCTGGTATCCTTTGTCTTTCTTTCCTTCTTTTTTAAAAAAGAATTATTTATTGTATATTATGTGTGTGGGTCTTTTGCCTGCATGTGTGCTCGTGTACCACATGGATGTCTGGTGCTCATAGGTCAGCACAAGGCATTAGATCCCCTGAACTAAAGTTACAGATGGTTATGAGCCATCATGGGTGATGGGAACTGATTCCTGGTCTTCTGCAAGAGCAGAAAGTGCTCTTAACTACTGAACCCCATGTGTTCTTTGTCTTTTAAGATAACTCAGGCTACTGATGGGAGCAGGGTCCTGTGGGAGGGGGAGGGGATCCTGGCAGGGGGTTATGGAAGAAAAGACTCCCAGGAGTCTGTGCCAGCCAGTCACCAGCTGAATAGCAAAAGGAACAGGGAGTGAATCTGGGGATCTAGGACCTCAAGGACCATAGGGTGTGTGGTGGTTTGAAAGAAAATGGCCCCCAAAGAGGTGTGGCTTTGTTGGACTAGGTGTGACCTTGTTGGAGGGTGGGCTATGAGGTCTTCTATGCTTAAGCTACAGTCAGTGTAGAGACAGTTCTGTTGCCTGTGGATCAAGATGTAGAACTCTCAGCTCTTGATCTAGCATCATGCCTGCCTACATCCCACCCGCCATAATGGTAATGGACTCTGAAACTTTAAGCCACCCCAATTAAATGTTTTTCTTTACAAGTTTCTGTGGTCATGGTGTCTCTTTACAGCAGTAGAGATCCTAAAATGGGGTGGTTCTAAGGAGGCCCCCACAGCCCAGCTACCACACACTGACCCAGAGTGTCAGCTTGAACTAGTCAGATACTGGGGAGGCAGGAGACAGAGCAATTCCTCCTGTGAGGACAGTATCCTTTGGCAATGGATGAGATTGTAAAAATATGGCATCAGGATTTGGGAGGAACGGGGTATAGTCTTGTGACTACCAAGGGCAGAAGCCTTAGTGGCACCCAATATAGCAGGAGCAGGAAGACACCACAACATCCCAGAATAAAAAGTGCTGTTTCCCACATAGGGGTCAGACCTGATAAGTTTCAAAACTATTGAAACTAGTCACACGAGTAGCTAACAGAAACCTACAAACTCCAGGTCACAGAGGCTTGAACCTGTGTTGGGAGAATCAGGGTGCTGGTGTGACTGAGGAGTTTGCTTACAGAGCCTGCTGCACAGCGCAAATAATCCATCTCGGAGGGGAACACGTTCCCCAAGTAGAGCGAAAACCCAGAGGTCACAAGAAGGCAGCTCTGCAAAAGAGTGACATAGATTCAGGTTATAACTGGCTCTATCTGATGATGAGACATCTGAGGAGCAGCACCTAACCCTTTGACTGCAATTTAACTTTCCCCATATTAACCAACTCCCTCCCATATTTATTTTGCCTATATCTGGGTCCTGTATGGCTGCAACTCCTCTTGGCAGGACCAGCACAACCCAAGAAATGAAACTTCCCCTTTCCCACCTCTGATGCCATACTGGTGTTTTGTTTGTTTGTTTGTTTGTTTGTTTTGTTTGTTTGTTTTGGTGGAGGGGCTAATATCTGGGGATTCAGGATCCTTCTCCAGGTCCAGGCTCAGCCTGTAAAACAAGTGCCTACCCTACTGCCTCTGCAGAAACTGATCCAAACTGGAATCTGTAAAAGGTCTAGAGATGTGGAAAGGGAGAACTCCCCATCTAAATATTGGTTCTCAGAGGAGAGCTGCACAAAACTCAGCTCCAGACATAGAAAAGAATGCATGCAGTGGATTGGTCCTCAGCTACTGTGCACACTCAGGGCCAAATGACACTTAAAGCACCCAGGTTAGCTGCAAGACTATGTACACATGTACTGGGGCACTATATGGCACCTCACACCCTGCGCTAGCTTAGATCTATTTTCTAGCTACACCCAACTTAGCCCTCTCCATGGTTCCCCATTATTCTTCCCACCCCATAGTTCTTAAGGTTTCTGTAGCCCTTTCTGCTCCACAGTCCTAACCCCAGCCTTGGCCACAGCTCTTGTCATTCACTCCACAGAACCACCCTGAAATATGAGATGGCCTCCAAACCTTCACAGACCATTGATGTACAGGAGTACAGGGTCATGCCAGCACCTGACTGATGACCTATGGTTTAGGGGTATAGCCTTCACTCTCCAGCAGATATTGAGAAAAGTAACTGATAGGACACAAACAAAAGAAAATGTTGGCACTCAAGAGGCACCCCACCAACATGGGAGCTGTTCCTGCTTGACCCACCTGAGACAGATTGTGTCCCAGTCTATGGGCCTTATACTCTATAGAACATGGTCAGCACTGGAAGGATATGGTGTTTGCTGTCCTCTGAAACAGTGTTGAACTACTCACCCCCATTAACACAGAGAATACCCATGTCTTGTAGCTGAAGCATGGGGGCAACCTCTTCGACAGCTGCAGGTCTTTTGGCTTTGAGTCAGGTGTGTAGCTACCCGCGTCCTGCCGTCCTGTATCCTGCCGACCTCTCTCCAGTGTGGGCATCCGGTCATAGCCCAACTCCTCCCTGAACTGCCCCTCCCGTGTCATGGCACTGGAAACAGGCATGCTGTGAGGGCCACACATAGTCACTCTGAGACTCATGAACAGACTTAGACCACCATTCCCTTGTACACAATGAAATCAGCATGGACTTTGACAACTGAAAAAAAAAAAACCCTCCAGTCCTAATGAGTCATTTTCAAGAAATCCCTTCTCTGGTTTTAAACTTCTACATAAGTAAATACTACTGTCTGGCTTAAGCAAATGCTTTCTTACACAAATAAATATGTGCATACACTATGGTTGTGAACCTAAAAAGGAATAAACACTTAATTCTCAAAGTGAGTAAAATCACCCAAACCCATCTAGATTCAGAGCATTTAGATTTCATCTGAGTCTTTAATATAGTACGTTCCAACTTCCACCACAACTTTATGAGTCCCAAACGGGGGGGGGGGGGGATGGGATGGGGAACTCCACCTAATCAACATGAAAGATTACAAAAGATGTACCTACTTTGTAATTTAATGTCTTCATGCTTACCTCTGTTGTCCGGCTGTTGGGAGAGCCAGCCTCTGGGTGATGGACTTCCAGCAAGAACTATTCATAAATGGAACAAAAGCTCAGCCAAACTGCACTTCAGCCAGGAGCAGGCACACAGCTTCCTGAATTTCAATGAGATCAAGGGACTGGATCCTAGAAATGTCCGCCTTGGTTGCATAAGTACTGGCTTGGGGCTTTCCTAACACAAGGAGGGAAGAAAGAGCCCCTGCTCCCACTCTGCATTCTAGCCAGGAGGCTGCTTCGGAAAGAGAAGTACTGCTAAGAACAGTGCAGCACTAGTATGGATCTTGACCAGCCTTGGACCTGGAACAGAAAACTACTCTGAGGTGACATCATGCATCTCCTTGAGCAGTCTTTCCTTGTCTCTCATTATCACATGATGGAAATCTCCTTCGTCAGACCACATAAACCTTTATGTTCTCGATTTGGCAAGGCTGGCCCCTGAACTGTTGGAAATTCCACCACGGGTTCCCATGGTAGCCCCAAGGATTGGCAAGAATGGTCCCACTGCACCCTTTATTTCTGCTCACTAGGCAGAGAAAAGGGACATGAATGTGCTTCATTTGCCTGGAGACATTGGCACCCTGGCAATCACAGCAACAATTTCTTTGTGAGCATTGCAAAAAGGCTCAGTACAGAGAACTTGGAAAAACCAGGCCCTTGAACAGCAGAACCGCATGCAGTCTGGGCTCAGCCACTGGTTTCTAATCGGGGATATTCAGTTATCTTAGTTTTTCAACCAAACAAGAAGGATTAGAAACAGTTTACCTCGGGCTGGAGAGATGGCTCAGAGGTTACAAGCACTGGTTACTCTTGCAGAGGATCTTGGGTTCAATTCTCAGCATCCATATGGTAGCTTACAACTCCAGCACCTACATGGCATCTCACAACCATCTATAACTCTAGTTCCAGGAAATCTAATACCTTCTTATGGCCTGGGTAGGCACAAGACATACACACTGTACATATACATGCAGGCAAAGTGCCCATACACATAAAATAAAAATATATTAAAACAAGAAACAAGTCACCCAAATTCCCCTGAGACATCTAGAACTTCTTTTGAATGAGTTGAGAAACCTCCCAAATTTACTGAGTTTTAATATCTGTAGGATTCATGGAAATTGGACCAACTGGATAGAACTCTTCTACGTTTTCTTTTGGGGAAAAAAGTTGAGTAAATTTTATCATTTTCCTGACTTTCAAAAGTGTTTTCTACTAAGAAATGCAAACAAGCTGCTATGAATCGGAGAGAGAAAGTGCTCCTTGAGCTCTCCCAACTCCCAACTTGAGCTCTCCCAACTCCCAACTTGCAGTGACTTGGAAGTATGTCTTCATTGCTACTAGTTTCTAGAGCAAGAGTCCTGTTTTTCAGTACAATCTTCAAGGAACTGCCCTTCTCCCCTCTGCCCACTGAATATTTACAGGCCATGGTTCTCCTGTGTCATGTGGCAACAGATTTGACTTTCTCTGTGTGAGGATGAATAGACTTCAGGGAGACAGTGGATAGCACTAAAGGCACAGAGGGCAGGCAGAAAAGACAGCAGTCTGGTAGGTCTCAAGGCCCTGGAGCAAGCAGGAGCACAGCTGGAGGAGAGTGAGCCAGCAATTCTGGGAAATAATGCAGAGGCCATCCAGGTGCAAGATATCCATGGGCATGGGAGCCACTTGACTTTGACCCTGAGGTAGACTTGTGCAAGGTGACATGTGGTTCTGGATGGATAAATAAGATGGGGAGGAGGTATGACCCAAAATGATGAGAGGGGATCAAATTCCAGATAGATATGGATGAGCCAATCCACCCCATTTGATATCAGTACTGTGGACTATTTTAGATGGGCAGGGGAAAGGTCTTGGAGCAACATCACATTTTCTTTTAGATATGATGTACAGACAGTCACAATGTCCATAGGGTTTCTGCATGGAAATGTAGAAGAGACTGATGTAAGGCAGAAGTTCAGGTTGGCAGCGTCCACAGACAGTCCTGAAAGGCAGTAATTCCTACCATATACCATGATAGGAAGCCTGACTGGGTTATCCAGCCATTGTCTCTAAAGATGACTTCAACCTTATAAATTCTCATGTCCTTGTCTATTTTCCGCTGTATTCCCAGCAACACACCCAACAGGAAGCCTTTATGACAAGCCCCTAAATGTTTAAGGGATAGATTTCTCTCTCCCATTGAAAGACCTGCAGAGCGTGGACCTTCACATTCCCACTCAGGAAAGGCAACATCCCAAATCACTCACGAGAAGTAGTCTTGATGCAAATAGCATGAGGAGTTTTTATTCCAAGAGCACTGGGGTCCACAGTCATACGCCACGCAGGGGTAGAGGACTGAGGACCTCGAGGGCAGAATTGAGCAGCTTTTATAGGATTTACATCCAAGCTAACAAGGCCAGTTTCAAAGCTAGTCTGCTATTTTCACTAGGACTAAAAGCAAGGTCATGGGATAGTTCAAAACTTGGAATAGTTAATAAGGTTTCCTAAGTTACAGAGATTTAGCACACCTGCAAGTTTAGGGGGTTTTCTTTCTCTAGGATCAGTGGGCTCAGAGGCCTTGTCCTTGAGCGATTGGGAGAATACTTTCCAGTCAGGGAGTTATCCATATCTATTGGCAGAGGCTCTTGTTTTCTCTGTCTTTCTCTTTTTGCCATGAGTCCCGTTCCTTTTAGTTATTAATTTTCTTTGGGGACAGGATGACCCATAACAGTTCCCAGACTGTTGTGGATAACAACATTCTTCAGAAACTAGATGATTATGAATAATAATAATAATAATAATTTCCAGAAACTGGTCATCGTGACCAAGCTATTTCATGTGTTTTTCTTTTATCCTGCTTTGCATGCAGCTAGGGTGATTTTTAAATACATGCTGATGGACTTTTTCTAAATTTCTTTTAGTGGTCATTAGAGAGTTAAGCTGTATTTTCATCCTTTCACCATCTCTCAAGAAGACTGTAAACTGAATGGACAGATCATATATTAAAATAAAAAAATTAATCTAGAACTAAATTAGACCCCTAACAGAATATATCTTGTTTATGACACAATGAAACTCAGGAGACTAATGTGGTGGGGAAACTCTTGATATGGTTTGTGTTTTATTTCATCTTGAGACAGGGTCTCACTATATAGTCCTACTATGCCTAGAATTATGCAAACCAGATTGGCCTGGAATTCACGGAAATCTGCCTCCCTCTTCCCCCCAAGTACTGGGGTCAAAGGTGTGGGTCACCATACCCTATTAAAACAGAAGTCATCCAGATTTGACTATCTGGGGCCAAGTTAAATTAGATCAGTAGCAAAACCTCTCTTAAATAGTCATATATTGACCACATGACTAGAAGCAACAGCAAAATAAAAACTCCTATACAGGTCAAGAAAACCACAAGAAAAAAAAGGAAATTGCAATTCAAAATTTGTAGGATGCAACTTAATCAAAATTTAAAAAAGAAATCTATAATTTAAAAAATAATTATTAAAAAAGAAAAACAAAACCATTTCACAGGCTGGGGAAGCAATGCTTGCCAAGCATGCCAGGCTGTGGATCCGTAGCACCACATAAAATAGTGTGGTAGCACAAGCCCGGCTTGGGAAATTGAGGCAGGAGGATCAGGAGTGCAAAAGCCTCCTTAGTTACATTATAAGTTCATAGACAATCTAGGTATATAACGTCCTCCCCTCAAAAACACAGTAAAACTCTTAGGAAAATTGAAATAGAGGGAGCATCCCTGACCTGATAAAAAAAATTTCTACAAAACCACTCCTAAGGTCACACTTGGTGTGACCTTCTTCATCTTTCTGGATTTTTGTTGTTGTTGTTCTTGTTTTTCAAGGGGGAGCGGGGTGTTTCTGTGTTCTGTCTTGAACTCCCAGGTTGGCCTCGAACTCACTGAGATCCGCCTGCCTCTGCCTCCCGAATCTTGGTGTTAAAGACGTGTGCGCCTCCACCACCTGGCCTCCTCTATGAACTAAGCAGAAATGCCCACACAAGCTTCATGCCGCGCCCATCTGACATGAAGTCCCGCCCCCCCTTGCCAGGACACTGCGCATGTCAGACCTCATGTCACCTCCACGAGGAATTCCGGGCTCCTTCACGTGCTAACCGCCAAACTCTCGTTGCTAACGGTCGTGGCTCATGGCATATGCAAAGATCCTATTGGCTGAGCCCTATGATAGGCAGGCGCAGGCGCAGACACAAAAACCCTATTGGCTGAGTTCTAGGGAAGGGGCATGCTTAGTGGCAATGGGCGGGGCTGTGGCGCGCGCGCGGGAGCGCCTGGGGCGGAGGTGGAAGCTGAGTGGATGCCATGCTGCGTCTCGCGGCCAAGCTGGTGTCCTTCTTCTGGAGAAGAGAGGACATCCCTGAGGAGGAGGTCGGGCAGCCCGGGCAGGAGCTGTCGGAAGGTAAGGGTTCAAGGAGCAGGAAGCCCTGCAGGTCTGTGAGGCGGGGCGGACTGAGACCCCCTTCAGGCCTTGCAGTCTTCATGCTCAGGTTATTGGGCGTTCCCTTCCTTTCGGTGTAGTTAGAGACCAGGCCTTTTAGAGGTTTAAGCTTGACCCTCGCTTCTTGCTTTTTTGTTGTTGCGTTGTTTTACTTTGTTTTTGTTGTTATTGTTTTGCTTTGAGGTTTTGGGGGGGTGTTTTCGTTTTTTGGGGTTTTTAAATTTTTTTTCTTTTGTTTTTTGAGACAAGTTTTCTCTGTATAGCCCTAGTTGCCCTGGAACGCACTCTGTAGACCAGGCTGGCCTCGAACTCACGGAGATTCACCTGCCTCTGTCTCCCAAGTGCTGGATTAAAAGGAGTTTGCTTTTAGGCCCAGCGCCCCTCACTTCTTTTATAAACGCAAATGAATTGTCTCTTTCTTAGTCATGGTTTTCTCAGAGAAAGTCGGAGAAGTTTTTGCACGTGTGCCTTGTTACTCTTGGATTGGTACCATTAGCTTCCTCATTGCCCCTTACTTTCACTGTGAGTGGTACACAAGGTGACCAGATGTCTCTTGCATGTTTTTGCCTGTTTCTTTTCCACTGACCTCTCAAGGGGTCTGGAAACTATAATCCCACCACCCAAAGTTACCCTTTGAAAAAGTGATGAAAGCATTCCCCGTGGAATCTTTACCACCCCCAAGCTTAAGCAGGAGCACCCTTGCAGGTACTACCATCTATGTTTGCTGATGGTGAACATGGCATGGTAAAGGCCTTCTATGTGTAGATGTAATATGCAAAATGTAACCTGGGGAAATGTCAACCTTTCAAAACAGTGATTCTCATCCTATGGGTCGAGACCTTGTCAGAGGCCACATATTTACATTTTGGTTCATAACAGCAAAATCACAGCTATGAAGTAGCAATGAAAACAATTTTATGGTTGGGATCCCCATAACATGAGGACCTGCAGCATTAGGAAGGGTGAGAACCACTGTGACGACAGGGGCTTTCAACAACAGCTTGGGCTGTTTAAGGATGTGCTGTCCCCACAGGTGATCTGGTCACAGGAATGGGGTAGTGGAGACTAAGAGACGGTGGTTGCAGCTCCAGATCTTGATAGGTCACTCCACTTTCCTTGAAGTAGATGGCTCTTTCTTGTGCCTCTTAAGATTGTGGCTATGATGGTGATACTATAACAGATAGTATGTGTCTAGGACTTCTCAGATGCCCGTGTAAGCCTGGTAACACACAGGATACCCTAGCTCTACCCGAACTCAGAAGTCTGCATGGTGCACATAGGTTCTGTTACTTAATCGTCCAGCTGTCATGTAGTGGTAGCTACTGACTCCATTTTATAGGTGGTAACTGGCATGTATGATGAATAAGGACCACAGTCAGGGTTACTTATACATGACAGAAGAGCTAGAGTCAAGCCAAGCAGGGCAGTCTGGCTTTGGAGTCAAAGCCCCACCTTGCCTACCTTGCCTTTCTCAGTTGAGTTGAATTGTGGGATTTGACTTTTTAAAAAAATTTCTGAGTGTGTGTGTGTGAGCGAACAAGAGAGTGCTCTGTGTGTGTGGTATCCACCGACCTGCAGAGACCAGAAGAAGGTATCTGGTCCTCAAGGCTCTCCCTCTCCCTCTCCCTCTCCCTCTCCCTCTCCCTCTCCCTCTCCCTCTCCCTCTCCCTCTCCCTCTGCCTGCCTGTCTCCCTGTTTCTCCCCAGTTCTCTCTGGCACTGGGATTATTTTTTGTTATTATTATAACCTCTTTGCTCACTTGTCCCAGGTGATACCAGGTTGAAAACTGTGCAGGGTGTTGTGACAAGATACTGCAGTGATTATGGCATGATTGATGATTTGATCTACTTTTCTAATGATGCCGTGACTAGCAAAGTACTTCTGAATGTTGGACAGGAAGTAATTGCAGTTGTTGAAGAAAACAAAGTATCAAATGGACTGAAAGCAATCAGGGTAAGTTATAAGTTAGCCTCTCAGACATGTTTAAACTTTTCATTTTAGTTTGTCTTCTCAACTGTTGATTCCGAAGTATTCTTTTTTAATGGGCCTTGAGTTGACAATCTTCTGCCTTAGCCACCCAAATGCTAGAATTAAGCTGTGCTTCCATGTCCAGCTTCTTTTTGAAACCTAGTTTCTTTTTTGTATTCTTTATTGCAAGGACATAGAAACAAAACAAATTGTTTTGTGCCTGATACCTTGCCAAATTCAGTTTAACCATTTGGGGGCTTTTTTAGAATGTGATATCTTTAGGAATTAGTAGTTGCAGGATCCAGCCAGCTGTGAACAAAGATAATTTTGCTCATTTTTCAATTTGGATACCTTTAGTTTCTTTCTTTTTTTTTTTCCCCCTAATTATTTGGTGAGGACTTTCAGTGCTGGATGGAAGTGAGGAGAGTGGGCACCCTTGTTTGTTTCCTGATTTGAGGAGGAAAACTTCATCTTTCAGCATTGGGTTAATGTTAACCATAGGGTTTTCATTTATAGTCTTCACTATGCTGGAAAAATTCCCTTTTTACTCCAACTTAGTTGTTTGTATTGTGAAAGATTGTTGGAATTTTTTGTTTGTTTTGAGACAGTCTCTCTTTGTATCCCTGGCTATCCTGGAACTTGCTATGTATACCAGGCTAGCCTTGAGCTAAAAAAGATCTGCCTGCTTCTACCTCCTGAATGCTAGGATTAAGGGGGTGTGCCACTACGCCCGGCCTGGAAAATTTTAATACTAAATTATTGTGGCATCTATTCCTTGTATAGTGACAATTTTCATAAAGACATTACATTTTTGAGTATTTTATAAAATTTATGTGTATAGGTGTTTTGCCTGCATGAATGTCTGTGCACCTTGTGTGTGCAGTGCATGAAGAAGCCAGAAGAAGGTGTTAGATCCCTTGAAACTGGAGTTAGAGATGGATATTAATTGCTATGTAGGTGCTGGGAATTGAATCCAGCTCCTGTGAAAGAGCAGTCAGTGCTCTTAACTGCTAAGCCATTTCCTCAGTCCAAAGACATTTTTATACAAGTATGGCATATGCTTTGGCCATATTAGATTCTATCCTTTCTTTCTTCCCTACCCCAGAAGGTTTGAATTTTATCACATGATTTTTATTTACCAATGGAAATATTTGTATAATTTTTTTTCTTCATCCTGTCAATGAGATATGTTGACTGAATTTTAAATGTTTAACCACTTTTGCATTCAGGGATAACCCCGTTTGTTTGTGGTGTATGTTCTTTATATTACACAATTACATTCAGTTTATTGTTTTCTTTAATTTTTTATATTTATTCAGAAGAGATTGCTATACAGCTCTGTCTCGAAAATTATGTTAAATTTTGACTCCCATGGTTGTTGGAATCATACAGGTAAGGCTTTAAAGGAGTGATTGGTTCATGAGTAGGATTCATGCCCTTATAAAGGACAAGCCATAGAGATCCTTAAAGATCCTTCAGGAACTGGAGAAATGGCTCAGGAATTAAGAGTGTTTGTTGCTCCTGTACTGGATGCTCATTTGGGTCCCAGCACCCACATTAGCTGGTTTAAAACTACCTGTTACTCCAGCTGCAGCAGATCAGATATTGTCTTCTGGCTTCCATGGGAAACTGCATGGATGTATACACAGATACACACACACATACCCAGACATACAAACTTAAAATCCAAAAAGAAATGTTTTTTTTTTTATTTTGTTTTGTTTTTTTGGGTTTTTTTGTTGGTTGGTTGGTTGGTTGGTTTTTTTTTTTGTTTTGTTTTGTTTTGTTTTGTTTTGTTTTGTTTTTTGTTTTGAGATGGTATCACTATGTAAACTTGGTTGACCTGGAACTCACTACATCAACCAGACTGGCCTCTAAGAGACACACCTGCTTCTGTGTCCTGAGTGCTGGAATTAAAGCTGTGCGATACCACATCCAGCTTAATCTGGGTTTTTGTTTGTTTGTTTTAACTTTTTTAAACCCTTCAGGAGGCACTTTCTGTGAATCAGGAAGCAAATCTTAACCAGGCATTGATCCTATCATACCTGATCTTGAATTGCCAATCCAAGATCGGGTTTTGCCTGTAATTTTTTTCTTAATCTCCTTTATAATGATGTAAAGAGTTGCTCATTTGTCTTTCAGGTGGAAGCTGTCTCTGATAAATGGGAAGATGATAACAAAAACTCTTGTAAAGGGTTGTCAGACTCCAGGCCCAGAGTGCTGATTGGCTGTGTGACTTCCATGTTAGAAGGTGCTGGTTACATCAGCCAGACCACATATTTCTCTCTGGAGAGCGTGTGTGAAGGTAGCTAGATGGATTTCTGTTTCATATTTAAAACGAACTTTTCTGTCTTTCAGTAATTTTTATGGATTAAGTTTGAGTTGGCTACATGTATTATTGAAAGAGTCATGTTTAGGAACAGCTGCCAGGTATTGGCCTCACACAGGGGTTCTTAAATGTTGGATGGACTTTGATTATGGCGGGGAAGAGGGGATTTAAACTCCGCTTTTAGTATTTATCTGTCAAACACATTCACTGGTCACTAAGTTGCTAATATAAGGACAGTGTCTTGGTCAAAGAAATGTCCTTTTCTTTTTGTTTGTTACGACCAGGTTGTAGGCCAGACTAGAGCTTGCAGTGACCTACCTCTCCTGCCTCTGTCTCCTGAGTGCTCGGCCTGAGTACAGGTCTAACTAAGCCTCTACATTTGGCTTAAGAAGAGTTCTTTTTAAAAGTTATTTATTATGTATACAGTGTTCTGCCTGCATGTATGCCTGTACAGCAGAAGAGGGCACCAGATCTCATTACAGATGGCTGTGAGTCACCATGTGGTTGCTGGGAATTGATCTCAGGATCTCAGGAAGAACAGCCAGTGCTCTTAACCTCTGAGCCATCTCTCCAGCCCCAGAGCAGTTCTTTCTAAGACACTTTGCATTCATTAAAGTAAAACTTGGATCACCTTGCATTTTCTCATTTTCCATTTATAATTACATTTATTTCTAGCCAAGCTAAATGTTTACTTTTATGACTAAAGAAATAATTTGCTCATGTCATTCACTAAGTTTAATGCAATGTTTGCTATATACCTTCTGTCTAGTACTGAGTACTGTGCCAGTTGTTGGAGACTAGAACAATGAGAATCAGTTCTTCCTCCGGACAAAAAGATTTACATACTGCAAAGAGGAAGGGAATTGGAAATGTTACCATGGGAGTTGCTTTTGGTCTATATAGCAGTAGGCTACATGTCAAAAGATGAACATCAGCCACCCTGTGGCCTGGGTGCCAGAGGTGGTTGACTTAACATACCAGGAATCTTCTTATGTTACTCTGACTGGTAACCTATGATTCCCAAAATGAAATTGACAGGTAGGTATTGGGGATTTTGAAACCTGTTTTGTCAGAGGAATCTGAAGGTTGCCTGTGATTGTCTAGACCCATGATTATTTATTTAGTCAGCCATGCCAACTGGAAGTCATTCCCAGTGCAGCCTTGATGGGAGATGTCCCCAGATAGAAAAGGTGGAAGGTGTTTAACACTGCAACTATTGACCATATTGATGGATCTTTCTGGGATAAGCACTTCAACATCAGTTGGAAAAGAGATGTCACTAGTGGATAGAAACCATAATTTTTGAAAGGCCTCAGTATCAGGTCTAGTTTGTATTTTCATTTTATACTCTAAAACCAGAAAGTAGGGGGCATGGGGACAAGCTATCATGAGCTGGCATTTGGTTTAGTAGGTTTCGGCCTTGCTTTACCTCAGTCTTTGTTATTCCTCCATTTTTCCCTTTTGAAATAGGATGTGTACTGTGTCCATTGTATAATAGAAGTGTGTAACTTGTCTTTTTGTTTATTATTCTTACAGAGGCTCATGCTTAAAAGAGTTTGCCTGAATCTCAGTGGGGAGACTGTGGTTAGTTTTCAGAAGTTTTGACACTGTTAAGACTTTAGGGACTTATGAAGGTGAAATGGGTGGAATGTTACAGATTTTGGGTGTCAAGTTGACAACAGGTATACTTGTAATTGTTAATATTCACTATTAACTTGACTGGATTTAGAGCCACACAGGAAATATCTCTGGGCATAAAAGTATCTCCAGAGAAACTTAACCAAGGACAGAAGACCCACCCAGCATGTGGGTAGCATCATTCTATGGACTGGGCCCCACCAGTCTTCTTCTCTGACCCTGACTGTGGTTTTGGTGTGACCACTGCCTCATGGTATTGCCACTATTAGGTCTGCTCTCCTATAGTCGTTATGGACTTTGCTCTCAACCTGAGTAACATTAACCTTCCTTCCTTAAGTTGCTTTTGTCAGGTATCTTGTCATCATAACAAGGAAAGTACTTCACTAACACAATACAATTGAAAAACGGACTGTGGTTACACATGTTCACCACCACACCTAGATCTATGTGATTCTGGGATTTTAACTCATCATGCTTGTGGTGTCTTCCCAGCCCAGGCTCTTTGGAGTCTTACTCTGGTTTTGTTTTTTGTTGTTTTTGTTTTTTAAGACAGGGTCTCACATGTAGCCCTGGCTGGCTTAGAACTCTGTGTAGACCAGGCCAGACTTGAACTCACAGAGCTCTGCCTGCCTTTGTCTTCTGAGTGCTGGAACTTCAGGTGTGTACTACCACACCTGGTTAAAAATATTTTTTGATATGGCAAAATACAGAGTAGATTTACTGGGGATGGGATGTGAGATGACAGGCCTAACTTGAGACTGACCATACTGGGTTCTCTACTCTCTTAGAGCAGTGGCTCTCAACCTGTGGGTTGTGACCCCACATGGGTCATATATCAGATATTTACATTGTGATTTGTAACAGTAGCAGAATTACAGTTATGAAGTAGCAATGAAATAATTCATGTTTGGGGTTACTACAGTATGAGGAACTGTATTGAAGGGTCACAGTATTAGGAAGGTTGAGAACCACTATCTTAATCTGGTCAATACCCCAAAACTCTGCCCCATTTAACTAATATAAGAGCATGGATTGCTGGTGAGGTGGTTACATGAATTGGATCATGACAGAAATGAGGAAAGATCGACCAGAAATTATTTCAATGTGTCATGACCTCAGAGTGTACTGCACATTTGAAAGTTACTGAAGTTTTCTCTTTGGCCACTCAGGTTTCCGCCCATGCAAGGGAGACTGGGTAGAGGCTGAGTATTGGATCAGGCCAGGGACATGGAGCAGTGAAGCAATCTCAGTGAAGCCGCTACGGTACAAGCGTGTGGACAAGGTAATGTGCTGATGAGTGAGTGGTTCCTGTGTTTCTGCTACAGAGGCTTCCTGGGACTCTTCTTGATGCTCTAGTAAGCCTGCATATTTAAACCTAGCCTGTGCTTCATTAAGGAAGTAGAGATAGGGCTGGAGTGATGGCATTGGTTAAGAGCACTTGCTGTTCTTCCAGAGGACTTAGGTTGGGTCCCTAACACCCACATGGTGGCTCACAACTGTCTGTGAACTCCAGTTCCAGTTCCAGGGGATCCAATGCCCTCTCTCTTCTGCATGCACATGGTGCAAAGACATTCAGGCCAAGAACCCATACACAGAAAGTAAACATTTTTAAAAGGGAAGTAGAGGTAGCAGCATGCTTGTATAATTAAGGTCTGACTTACAGTATGTACTTAAAGGTGTTCTAGAACAAAGCATATATGTGATGAATTGTGGGCCTTGAGCTGCCTTGTCAGCTGGTGACTTACGAAATGGCATGGGTCATGGAATCATTGAGTTTGCACTGAGATGAGATGGATGCATGAACTGGGCCATGTCAGGGCAGTTAGGAAAAGCCACCACCAGACCTCTTCCTTATCCTGAAAGCTCCTAGGTACTTGTATTTCTGTGTTGTACTGGACTTCACTGGCTATGCAAGGCCAGACTGAGTTAGTCAGAGTCAGAGAGGCACGTGTTGAGAGCTGTGCCCCTTGTCCATATACACTTTCAAGCAATATTGAGCACTGCACTTGCAGGTTTGCATTTCCAGCCTATGTGGGAGGAATGGGGTGATAGAGGACAGCATCTTCTTCAGCCTGGACTCCCTGAAGCTGCCAGAAGGGTACACACCAAGGAGACACGACATTGTCAATGCTGTGGTGGTGGAGAGCAGCCAGTCATGCTACATCTGGAGAGCACTGTGCATGACCCCCGTGAAGAGGTGGTATCCAGACCATTCTTCTTTGGAAATAAAAAGGCCAGTTTTAAGTATAATTTTAAGAGTTGTAATCAACTACTGCCTAACATTTCAGTCATTCTTGGATTGTATATATGATGCTTGTCCCAGAAGGTCATACCACCAGGCTGACAAAATGGCTTAGCAGCTAAAAGTGCTTGTTGCCGAGGCTAATAGTCTGAGTTCAATCCCTAGAACTAACATACTAAGAGAGAACTGACTCTCATAGTTGTCCTCTGACTTTCATGTGAGCCATGACATTTCATACACACACACACACACACACACACACACACACAGAGAGAGAGAGAGAGAGAGAGAGAGAGAGAGAGAGAGGGAGAGGGAGGGAGGGAAAGAGAGAGAATGAATAAGAGAGTGGTAGGTTTAAAATTTTCCAAGATTGTATCACATAGTGACACTATGGCCTGCTTAGGTCTTTGCAAGTATAAGTGTGATATTGACATAAGCATGAAATCACCTGATAACCCATTTCTCAGAACATATTGCTATTTTTAGCATGTATGACTGTACTTTTATTAATAGTTGACATTCCAGACCCTGCATTTAATGCTGATCAAGAAGAGTTTTCTTTGTGGTTGAATGAAGGTAAAATTCTAAGGGTCTTTTTTGTTTGTATTTTAGACAGGGTCTCTTTATTATGTAGCTCTAGATGTTCTGGAATTTTATATATATAATGTTATATAATATATATGAATGTATATGTATATTAGTTGGTTATCTCATTGTTATCATTGTCTTTGTTTTTTAGATGTTTCTCTGTATAGTCCTGACTATCCTGGCATTTGCTCTTTAGACCAGGCTGGCCTCAAACTCACAAAGATCTGCCTGCCTCTGGTTCCCAAGTGCTGGGATTAAAGGTGTACACTACCACTGCCTGATGTAGTAGGTTTCTACAGTGACTGTATAGCCTGTGTCTGAGTTTTTTTCTGTGCCTGTTCTTGGAACAGTGTGGTCCCCGTGTTTGCTTTGTATGTGGCAGCCATACCTCTGCCTGCTGGGCTTCCTTGTGTTTTGTAGCCTGTAGCAATTACCACTAGTAGGCTCCTTAGATGCCTTACATTATTGCACTCACTGTCCTGTATCCTCAATAAAATGCCAGTTCTGTGTGGAAATGTTCCCCGTCTCCTTTTCTGCCCCACATCTCTCAGCCTAGTGTTGGTTAAGACAACTCTTCCCCACATAAGCTGATGGGCAGCAGTTGTCTGATGGAATATGGAGAGGGAATTGAGTTGCTGGGTTGGAAATGATGCCACATCTTCCTGCTGGAAGATACTTGTCTTTGGCTACTTGGAGCACAGTTCTCTTATTCATGGGACCTTGCTTACCTTCTGGAAGAAGAAGCAAAACATGGTTCTCACTTCTCTAAGCATGTTCATCTGTAGAGCCTTGGAGTACAGAATAAGGCAGGTTGGGACCCCACCTTTATGTCTTGATGGGCCTCAGCTTTGTGTCTATTACTCAGCCCTCCATACTCTTCTCCTACAGCCATACATTTTGTTGTTGTCATTGTGTTTTGTTTTGCAGAGAGGTCTTGCTGTGTAGCCCAGGCTGGCCTAGAACTAGCAATCTTTGTCTCAGTTCCCTAAGTACTACAATTCATGCTGTACCTCATGTCCAGCCACCATGAATTCTTGAAGTTCTTTTTCTGCTCCATGACATGCCCATTCTCTTTCAATTGTGGAGTGAAAGCTAGGGCATACTGCCCATTCCCATGCTTGGATCACAGCATGTGGACATAAAGAAGCAGAGGATTCCTTTTTGAGAGAAGTTTTTTTCTGAAGAGCAAAACTTCCCATTGATTTGTTTTCACATACAGTCAGATGTTGCTTAATGCATATATGTTCTGAGAAATGTGTTATTAGGCAGCTTAGTGGTTGTGCATATATTATAGATTACAGTTTTATAAACCTGTTGCTATGGGCTATAAGCCTACATGTTGTGCTACTATGCCAAATACTGCAGGATGTTGTAACACAGTGTTAGTTTTACATCTGGACAAATGCAAGTGTAGAAAAGAACAATGAAACATTTAGGCAGTGGGAATTTTTCATGTCCACCTTTAATCTTATAATAGGACCCGTGTTAAGTATGCAGTCCACTGTAAAGGAAATGTAGTCATGTAGCCTTTAACTGTACTTAACAAATACAAGTTCTCTGAATGAAAGTGCCTCCTCTCCTCCCACCATCCCTTATAGTCTTGGAAGCAATGGAGAGCAGACATCTTAGCACTGTGACCTCTGGGAGTAGGTCAGATGCCACCTCTTTCACCCCTTGCCTTTAGCCTTTGGGAGATTTGTGATACCCTATTGTGAGATGACTTGAGACATTGTGGGGCTTGTTGAGTCCATGATTGCCCTCTCTGTCATGTTATAAGGCAGTTGGTCTCCAGGGAGATGGGAGGAAGGTTAGGAAGAGGCACAGCACTTCAGGGAGGCCTCAGCACCTTGACAGTTTGTTGTTTTCTTCAGAGATACTGCCACTGTTGGTGAGGACCCTCAGGAGCCCTATGGGGCCCTCTTACTGATAAACAAAGGTGATATTGAAGTTACGAGAATGACCAGTTTTGGAACATTGAAGGAAGGAGAAAGCAAGGCAATGGTGATCTGGATAGAGTAAGTATGCCCTGGAGTTTCAGGTAAAGGGGGGAGGGGTACAAGTTGATTTTAAATTAGGATTTAAGTTATTCTATAAAAACAACTGTGTGGTACCTGTTTATTTTTCCCTCTGAAAGTCTATTTTTTAAAAATCTTACCCCTTGGGTTAGTGAGTTGCATCACTGGGTAAAGACACTTGCTATGCAGGCCTGGAAACTCAAATTCAGTCCCCCAAACCCAATGTAAAGGAAAAAAGCAAAGAACCAACTCCCTTGAGTAACTCTCCAGCCTCTACAAGCACACCCTGAGACACATGCCCACACATGTATTAGAATAAATGAATGATTGGGTGAATGAATGAATACTAAGAAATTTCACCTCAAGCTGGTATGGTGACTCATGATTACAACATCAGCGCTGGGGAGGCAGAGGCAGTAGAATTACTGCAAGTTTAAGGCTGGTCTGCAAAACAATACTAGATCACCCTCTCCACACATTTTATTCTAAAATGTCCTTCAAGCTTAACATTGTAAAGGTGTTTACAGATGCAGTTCATTAAGTTGAACTGTGTGATTTTAGTTGACTGTGAAGTCTCAGTTCTGAAGTCCAGACACAGTCCATGTTCTCTTTTCTTTTTTCCAGGAATAAAGGAGAGATTTCTCAGGACCTCGTTAGTTGCAGGCTGGCTGGCTGGGATAAAGCACAACAGTTTAGATTCGAGCCACAGGGCAGTGGCCAGGCCTGTTCAGGGGAGGCTGCTGTTTCTGTTCCTGAGGGTGAAAATGTTAATTCATTGAATCATCACAGAGACAACAAAACTGATGAGACACCAGAGAGTAGTCTGGTGAACAACACAGAAATCTCTCCAGGTAGATGGTGCAGCTGCTGCTTCATAAGGTCCAGGAACTGAGCCAGCCTTATGACCATGAGTTAGTGAGTTTGCCCTATAGCCAAACAACACTTGATGTCTGATCTCTTTTTAGTTGGATACTTGTGCCCCTGTTGTCTTGGGGCTGGGGCTGGGGGAGGGACAGAAACAGCTTGACACAGACCAGCGTGTGCTTTAGGAGATATAGGAAGTCCTCAGTTAGGGAGATGGCCAGGGCCTGAGACCTTTCCCTCGTCCTGGCTAGTCTTGTGGTTACCTCCTCCTTCCCTGCTTCCCTGTTCTGTTAGCCACCTGCAAAAGCTAATTAATTGTGTGTGTGTGTGTGTGTGTGTGTGTGTGTGTGTGTGTGTGTGTTATTCCAACATTGTTAGGAATAAATTACCTTCTCCTAGCAATTGTTGGTTTAAATTTCATTCCCCAGATGACTGCGCTTGTGAAGAAGAAAGTAGAGAAAAAGGGAATACATCAAAGAAACAGGAGCCTGGGCCTGGGGGCCTTATTCCTCCAGGAGAGAAAACTTCCATTGTGGTCACATGTGATGCCAAGTATGTGCTTGGGGCTGGGAAGAGCTTCCTGTACAGTACTGGTGCGTGTTTCTCTCATGGGTCATCTGTAATGCTTTTGTAATTTTTTCTTTGAGACAGGGTTTTTCTGTGTATCCCTGGCTGTCCTGGCACTCACTCTGTAGACCAGACTGGCCTCTAACTCACAGAGATGTACTTGCCTCTGCCTCCTGAGTTCTGAGATTAAAGGTGTGCATGACTACCACCTGGCTATGTTGTGTATTTTTAAAGCATTCATCCCCGTCTCTGATGGAATCAAATCACAAAGACAAGAACCAGTCCAGAAAATGTCCACCTAGAATAGCTCATCTTCAGCAGACAGCCTGACTCCATCTTTACAAAGAAAATAGTGTTCATGTAGATGTAAGCTCCCTCCATTGCTTTTGAGCCCTTCTAATGGTAGCCATCTTGAGCTAATTTTTATTGTGTCCTGGTGTCTCCAAGATTTTAGTCCATTTACACCCCTCCCTCATCCTCTGGGCATTTTGTCAAGACACTATAGTGAACGAGAGGTGGAGTGGAAAGAAGGGCAAGCCTAAACTGGCAAGTTGTATCTCCATTCTCCTTCACCTGGTTGGCTGTAACCAGATAGCAGTCCCCAGCCTTTCACTCAACCCTCCTTTCCTGTTCTCTCTCCTCATGTTCCCACTACTATTCTTGCTGCTCAAAAGCATGTAATCACCAAAGTTGACATTTAAGTCCAGGCTTCTTTCCATTGATAATCATTTAAATCGTTTTGATCTGACTACCTTGCTTCAGACTCATAAGATTGTAGGTGAGTCACCTATGTAAAATGAGACAGCTGAGTTTTAGCCCTGACATAACAAGAGTAGTTAGGTTGAGAAAGCAGAGGTTAGTGTATGCAGCATAAATAATAAGAGTCACTGCTGGGAATGAACAATCAAGTAAGCCTGGTGCCATTTTAGTCACATAGTTAGAAGTCTTATTTGACTTTGGGAATACTGAAAATGTTTTCCCTGTTCAATTTCAGATTTTTAGAAAGGGTTATTTTAAGTCCCTGAATTTATCTTGATGTATTAGTTACTTTGCCTGTTGCCATGATAAAATACCTGGAGGAGGAAAAACAGTTTAGGGATAAGGGGTTTATTTTGGATCTCAGTTTTGAGTTATAATCTAGCAGGGTGTGGTGGTGAATGCCTTTGATCCCAGAACTCAGGAGACAGGCAGGCAGATCTCTGTGAGTTTGAGGTCAGCCTGGTCTACATAGTGAGTTCCAGGACAGCCAGGGTTAAGCAGAGAGACCCTGTCTCAAACAAAACAATAAAGTATAATCTTTCATGGCAGAGATGTCTCAGTAGCAGCAGGAGATTTTGACAGCATCAACCTGACTGCTATCCTATTTGAAGACTTTTGCTGAGCAAAGAAGTTCTTATCTTTAAATTCAGTTTTACTCAATTTCTCAGGATAGAGGCAGAGTGAAATCAGATTCTTAGCCAAAATATCACATAAATGGCCTCTAGCCCAATTCCTGATGAAAGGTCTTTGTTTCATTTGGAAATCTCATCAGCCATACTTTTATCTGTATTTTTATCTTCCATCCTACCTGAATGACGCATTAAGCCCTGCTTCCAGCATTCTAGGGATTTTCCTAGCCTTAAGTATCAAACTCTTCCACCTCCCAGCCACAGAAATTTCTGAAGGTCTAAGAACCACATGGTCAGATTTATTACAGCATTGGCCCACTTCTCAGTACCAATTGTGTGTGTTAGCTACTTTTCCTGTTGCTGTGTTTTAAAAAAAAAAAAAAATAGACCAGTGAAAGCAGTGTAAGGGAAATATGGTTTGCTTTGGTTCAGAGTTGAAGGTTTCAGTCCATTGTGCAGAAGTGTCATTGCATGAACATCAAAGCAGGGGGCATGGTGTCCTGCTCAGCTGTGCCTTTTATATAATTCAGAATCTTATCCCAGGAAATGGACACTAATCAGTCTATCCAAGAACATCTGTAAGCATCCCGAGAGGCCTGTCTCCGTAGTGATTGTAGACCTTAACCACATTGACAGCTAAGAATAACAATCACACTTGGGAAATACTACATTTCTTGTTTTATAAAGTAAGCTTTTCTGTGTAAAAGAAAAAAGTTACTAAGTAGTCAGCATGGCTGTTACAGCTTTACAACTTCCTCAAATACTGAAAGGGAAATCTGATTGAATCTGCCTCATTCATAACTAAGACAAAATTTCTTTTTTTGTTCCCCTCTCTTTCAAGAAACCCTGGCCGTTGCAAAGAACTCCTTCTGCTGTGTTTCTCTAATTTTCTCATTGGGCGACATCTCGAAGTGAACGTCGTGAGTGGTGAGGAGGCATTGATAGCCGTGCGTGAGCCATTTTCTTGGAAAAAACCTAAAAGTTCCCAAACATTAGTGTCTGCAAAGACTACAGTTGTTGTGACCACACAGAAAAGGTACCATGTGATGAGTGTGTGATTTTCTGTATGTTAGCTCTATGGGAAAGCAGAGGTGTCAGCTGTCATGTCACCCTTCCACCCCACCCTCAGCTAAGGAGGTCACAAGGGCAAGGCAGGTGTTTGAGCTTATTTCCATAATTGTTCTTGAGGCAGAGTGCATTCCCATGGAACCTGTAAGGGCACAGTCTGTGCAAACCAGGCCCTGTGCATCCCTTGGCTTTGCTTTTTCTTGGCAGATCTTAGGATCACTTTGAAACCAGTATGGATTGGCTCCTGCCATCCACTTCTGGACGTCCACTTTGAAACTAGTAGTGGATCTGTGCTGTGCTGGCTGGTGTGGCTTTTAGAGCCGTTCCCAGAATTGCCGTTCCCAGAATTGCAGTGCAGCTTGTGTTGAGCCCCAAGATTGCTTGGTCACTGGAAACCTTTTGGAAGATCTGATAGCATTCAAGAATAGAATCTGTGAGTTGAGCATAGAAACTTGTGGATGACATAGTTTCTGCCTCGGTTAGGTTCATTTGCTTTTGTCTGAAGTAAACAAAGCATAAAACTTCCGAGAAACATGTTTCTTCTAAGTTTAGTCCCCCCCCCCAAAAGAATAGGACCTTTGTGTGTGAGGGTATTAAATGGCTTTGTCCTGAGTACTGAAGACATTGCCACATCATTATTACTACTGAGAGTTTGAGTCAGGTGCTGCCCACAGCCCATTAGGGCAAGACTATTATTTTTCTAATATTGGAAAATTCTGGATTTCAGATCATGTTAACCCAGTAACAGTCTAAGACAAAGGATGATGGACTTCTACCAAATTGTAGACTGAAAGGAGAAAGTATTAGCAGACAGTATTATGGGATTACTGAACTTGTCCTTGACCATTGTTTAGAAGGCACTGTGGACACCATGCTTTTTTAGACCATTGTTTGAATCACAGCACTGCAACCAAGAAGCTGTGTGGCCTTGGGAAAGTATATTGACTTCTCTGTGCCTTAACTTCATTTGTAAGTGATAGTCCCTACCTCATGTGGTTTGAGGAGTAAATGGTATAGAGCATGTGAAATGCTTAGTTTCCTGGCACAGAGCAGTAGTAAGTGCTGATGGTTCCTGCTCACTTCTGGAGCTTGCCTAGGGGAAAAGCCCAGAAAGGGAGCAAGGTGTTAACCATGTATGCAAATGACTGGATGGTGATTAAGCAAATACTCTAGTTCCACACAATGCCCAGTTAGAGTTGGCTCAAGAGGAAGCTAATATATAGACGAAGCACAAGTGTTCTGATACCCTCTGTCTGTTTCCTTGAGAGTATTAGCAGATCTGTGTATGAGAGTTCTGTAGAGCAGTGGTTCTCAGACCCTTTAATACAGTTCTTCATTAAAGTATTTTTGTTGGTACTTCATAACTAGCTAGTTATGAGTTAATTTTGCTAGTTATGAGTTAAAATGTAAATATCTGTGTTTTCCTTTTTATTTTTTGGTGGGGGGGGTTGGTGTTTCTTTGCCTGTATGTATGTCTATGTGGGGGTGTTGGATCCTGCAATTACAGACAGTTGTGAGCTGCCGTATGGGTGTCGGGAATTGAACCTGGGTCCTCTGGAAGAATCAGTGTTCCTAACCACTGAGTCATCTCTGTGGCCCCCATTATCTGTGGTCTTAGGTCACTACTGTGAAAGGGTTGTTCAGTCCAGAAAGAGGTCTCATCCCACAAGTTGAGAACCTCTGCTCTAGAATAAAGCGGTTGGTTTCCGGGCAGCATGGACAGGAAGTAGTAGACACTCACTCCTAGCTGTCTCATGCTTGCATAGTGACTCCCAGGTCAGTCAGTTCCAGTTCTCTGTCTTGCCCATGTTGTAGCTATCAGGATGGGGTCATGTACTGCAGTAGACCTCTTTATATTTCTGTTGTTGATGATGTTTTTTGTTTTTGAGACAGGGTTTCTCTGTAGCCCTGGCTGTCCTGGAGCTCACTCCATAGACCAGGCTGGCCTCGAACTCAGAGATCCACCTGCTGCTGCCTCTCTGAATGGTGTGTGTCACCATGCCCAGCTCTCTTTCATTGCTTTAAATAAGTGTATAAAATAATGAGTTTCTTTGTGGTATTTTTAAACATAGATAATTACACCTTGAGAATACCTGTCCTTTCCCCCTCTCCTCCAGTTGTCTGCCTCTGCTTTCACATTTGAATTCCATTTTCCCTTTAGACCCTTTCCTGCCTTCATGTGGGATGTGTGTGTGTGTTTACAAATATGTATTCTACATAGGAGACACAATTTCCCCCTTTTAGCCTGGCTTGCTTGCTTGTTCGCTTGCTTGCTCCCTCCCTTCCTGCCTTCCTGTCTCCCTCCCTCCCTCCTTTCTTTTTTTCTTCAGATAATGATCTCCAGTCCATCCAGGTTCAGCACATAACACAACTGTTTTCCTTTTATGGCTGGAAAAAAAAAAAAAACTCGTATGTGAATATTTATGACACTCTGTAGTCAACTGTTGCTGGATATCTGACGTGATACCATATCTTAGCTGTTGAGGACAGTGAAGCAAAAAACATGAATGTACAAATGTTTGTGGTGTGCTGTTTTAGAGTCCTTTAGGCACAAATCTGGGGGACTCCTGGGCTAGTTCTGCTTTTAGTTTTATGAGGGATCTCTTCCTTAGTGGCTGCTCTACCTCACAGTCCTACAGCAGTATAGGGAGCCACATCTTACTGGCTCTCTCTGGCCTCTGTTCTCATCAAGATAGTGAGATGGAGTCTCTGAGCACTTTAATTACCATTTTAAATGTTCATTAGCCATTTATATTTCTTCTGAAAAATGTTTAATTCATTTGCCCAAATATTGGCCAGATGGTTTGGGTTTTTGTTTTGTTGTTGTTGGGTTTGGGTTGGGGGGGGTGCATTGAGACAGGGTTTCTCTGTGTAACAAAATCCTGGCTGTCCTGGAACTTGCTTTGTAGACTAGACTAGACTGGCCTCTGCCTTCCAAGTGCTGGGATTAAAGGCTTGTGCCTCCACCACCCAACTGTTTTTATTTTTATGGTTGGTGTTTGAGGGTTTTGTTGTTTATACATTCTAGATTTTAATTCCTTGTTAATTGGTAAAGTTTTGCAGGCTGTCCCTTCACTCTGGTTGTTTCTTCTGCAGTATAAAAGCTTTTAATTCAATGCAACTCTGTCAAGCATTGCTACTATTTACCGAGTTATTGTAGTCATAGGCACTTACCAGTGCCTGCACTTTGAAATGTAGATACAGAGTTGTGGGTCTTATTTTAGGGTCAGTCTTAAGGTTTTTATTGCTGTGTAGAGACACTATGACCACAGCAACTCTTATAAAGAATTAATTGGCATGACTTACAGTTTCAGAGGTTCAGTCTGTTATTATCAGACCAGGGAGCATGATGCAGGCAGACATAGTGCTAGAGCTGAGAGTCCTACATTTTGCAGGCAACAGGAAGTCAGCTCAGACACTGGGTGGTGGTATCCTAAGCATAGGAAACCTTCACAGTGATAAGAAGGCCATTCCCACTCCCACAAAGTCACACCTCCTAACAGTGTCACTTCCTGAGAAATTATGGGGGCAGTTACATTCAAGCGACCGCAGGATTTTTGATCCTTGAAGTGAGTTTTGTAGAAAACAGGAGGTGGATATCTGTCTTATTCTTATACATGTAGCCCCCACTTCCATGACTCATCAGGGACTGTCTTTCTCTGCTGTTTTCTATACCATTGTTGAAAATCAAATGGTTGTTGCTGTATGAGTTCATTTCTGGCTTCTCTCTTTTACTCCATTGTATGTGAGCAAGAACTCTTTTGTGTTTGTTTTTGTCTTTGAGACAGGGTCTCACTGTGTAGCTTTGGCTACCCTAGAATTTACTATGTAGACCAGGCTGGTCTCAAACTCAGAGAGCTGCCTGTATATGTGTGTTGATTGTCTTAATCCCTCCATATCTCAGTAGTTTTTGCAATTAGTTCATTAGCATTTACTAGGTTGAGTACCCTACAGCTGCAGAGGTGAACACAGCACTGCGTTTGAATTAGCAGCAGCAGCTTTCAGTACTGCTGGATAGCCCTGTAGTAGTCTGCAGAGTTTCCACCAGAGGTACACAGTCAGGCTACCTGCAGAATACTTAAAGAACATCACTATACAGTGATGAAGTTGAGAGACTGGGAGTACACCTCTGCTCCCTCCACTCAGTATAAACTGCATCAGAGGTTGAAAGGGGGAACCTGGGGCTGAGATGCCTGTCCTGTCCTCATTATCTCTCCTCATTACTTCCCAATTTTTTCCTATAATTTCTGTTACTCTGTTTTTTTGTTTTTTTTTTTTGTTTTTTTTTTTTTGGTCTTACTTGATACAGAATTGCTGTGAATTTGAATGTAGCTAACTAGATAAAGGCAGAAGCTTAAGGATGGGCCTAGATTTCTGCAGAGAAGCATAGCATCAAGAACTAGCAGAACAGTTGAAGCAGGCCACATGGGCAGCTTCTACCAAGGGCGTTCTTTTCTTCCTTCCTTCCTTCCTTCCTTTCTTGCAAATTTACTTTTTCTTCTTTTAATAACTTATCTTTATGGTGTTTTGCCAGAGTGTCAGATCCCCTGGAACTGGAGTTACAGACAGGTGTGAGCTGCCATGTGGGTGCTGGGAATTAAACCTGGGTCCTCCGGAAGATCAGCCACTTAACCACCAAGCCATCTTTCCAGTCACCTCCAAGTATCTTTTTTCCCCCTTTGGTTTTTTGAGACAGGGTTTCTCTGTGTAGCTTTGAAGCCTTCCTGGCGCTAGCTCTTGTAGGCCAGGCTGGTTTTGAACTTACAGAGAGCCACCTCCCTCTGCCTCCCAAGTGCTAGGATTAAAGGCATGCACCACCACCACCCGGTAGTAGTGTTATTGTTGATGTGTCAGTATTGTTTTTAATACTCATGTCTTCACTAAAAGTGCAGGAATAAGAGTTTAGCTCCTTAGATGTTAAAAAACAAACAAAAAACCTGTTTTCAAACTCCATGGTTTGAGCAGGTTCCCCTACAGCTTGTACAGCTCTGCCTACCTCTGTTAAAGAGACTAGAGTGCTGAGCCAGAGTTTATGTGGAGACAAGATCCTGAACCCAATGTGCCCTAGTCTGGTTCCTCTGTGAGGTATTTCCATGAACTAATGAACTCTAGCCTTTTTGAAACAGGACAGAATAGCAAAGGGGAAACACCTCATATAGGTTAAACATCTTTAACACAAAACCTGAGGTCTTTTGAAATCTGAAAGTGTCTGAATGTTGACCTACAAGTTTCAGATCTTGTTGCACTTCAGAAAATCTGTAACTGGTAAAAAAAAAAAAAAATATATATATATATATATATATATATATATATATATATATATATGTATATGTATATGTATTGCAAAGTGAACAATAATGGGCTAGAAGTGGACCTCAGTGTTAGAGTGCATAGCACATATGAGCCCTGGGTTCAGTCCCAGGGAAAAAAGTCTAGAAAATCTGAAACATTTCTGAACCCATACACTGTAGATCAGAGATGCTCATAAACATGTAAAAGTCTAGAATAAGAATTACTTTTAGTTCAGTACTTGCTATAAAAATAAAAACAAGTCACTGTGGTGTGCCATGTTATAATCCCACCCCTGGAGAAGTAGAGACAGGCAGATCCTGAGGTCACTGGCTGGCCAGCCTCATCTAATTAGGTAATCTTAGGCCAACCAGAAACCACGTTTCAAAAAACTCAAAGTTGATGCACCCAAAGAACAACATCCAAAATTGGCCTCTGGCCTCTGCACGTGAATGCGCACCTGCCCCCTATACACACACTACATGCATAATATAATTGCTTTTGCTTTAACTTTTTTCTTTTAAGGAACTCAAGGCGACAACTTCCAAGTTTTCTTCCACAGTATCCAATACCAGATAGACTAAAAAAATGTGTGGAACAGAAAATTGACATCCTGACTTTTCAGCCACTTCTTGCAGAGGTAAGAAAACATCTGAAAATAGTAAGTGTTACTCGCCACTACAGTGCAGTTCAAAAAACAGGTGAGACATTGTATTCAGATCTCCTGTCAGTACTTTCCACCATAGGTAACTAGGAATTCCAGGATGACCTGGTGTTCAGAGTGCTCAGAAGAGGAGTGGGAATGGGAGATTCAAGCCAGTCTTCTACTCTGCCAGGTATCCTGTGCCAGGACTGGTAGGCTTTCCACGCTAAAAGTGGACAATGCTGGTGCTAGATAGAGGAGCATTGACAATCAAGTCTCTGGAAAGACTTGTGTATGTACCAACTCAGGAAGTGCAACCCTTCTGAACTTAGCAGTGGGGCACAAACATGATATGGAGTCAGCTGCTTTAGCCTAGCTCTAGATGGAGATGCCAGTCAGCCCCACAGCATCTGCTTTTGTTCCTCATTTTCCCTTAGGATAAGAAGACCTATGACCTTTGCTGAAATTCTCTTCCCAGGGATGCTGTGAGAGCAGGCAGGGAAAGAACAGTATACTGCTTGCAGGGAAGGTAGAGGACCAGAGGCTGCAGAGAAGTATAAAAAGAAAAGTTTAATTAAGGGAAGTTTGCCCTATCCCGGGAAGTATCTGCTATGCAGTTTTTAATTGTTTGAGGAGCATTCAATTGGGAATGTATGGGCTAGAGAGATAGGGGTGTCTATACAAGCAGAACTTGAGCTTTTCACAGGCTTCTACATAGATTTCAGAGGGAATCTTGGAATGATAAGCATTTGTAGAAGCAAGCAGTGTAAAGGATTCAGGCATTATGCTGGCCTGCCCCTGTCACCTGGCAGAATGCACTCAGGCAGTACTCTGGTCAGCCCAGGGTTCCATGAGTACTGCAGGCAGGTGTAAAGTGTCCCTTTAAAAGTAAGACCCCTGCCCACTCACGCTCTCTTTTGCTTTCTCTTTTGTTCTCTCTCTTTCTCTCTCTCTCCCTCTCTCTCTCCTGCCTTGGGTTGGCCACCAGCTACCTACCCCCTTCTTCTTTCCCCCCTCTCTTCTCCCCCTCTCTTCTTTTCCAGGGCCTCTCTGTCTCTTCCCTTCTCCATCACTCCCCTTTCTAAATAAACTCATTTAAGCTCTATCTGCCTGACATGTTATTCCCTCCACCTCCCGCCTTGATCACTCTCACCTGCTATGGAACCTGCTCTGCTCTCCCACATGGTCCCTTACCTTGGGACCCAACTCACTTGGGACCCTCACCTGGGACCACTCCCAGCCCTTCCCTGCCTTTTATTCTTATAACTGTTTCTAAAGAACAACAAGCAGTAAATTCCCTGTGAAGAACCTTCAGAGGCTGATGCCTGAAAATTTAAGTGACGCTAGAATAAGGAAGGTTTTAGACTATTACATGTTATGAATGACAATGTTGTTTACTGTACGGATGAAGTTTGCTGCTCATAAGAAACATAATAATTTAATTATGGAAAGGGAAGACTTAATACTTTTCTACCATTATTTATTAGCAAGTATGTATTGGATTATATTACGTTAGAATCTATTTGCTTTTAAAACTTACTATTTGAGTTTAATTTTCACTTTCTGAAAAATTAGAGCTGGGGAGATGGCTTGGTGAGTAAAGCATTTGCCATGCACTCATGAGGACCCAAGTTCATTTTCCCATCACCTAACTTAAAACAGAGATATAGCAGGGCATGTCTAACCACAGGAATAGAGAAAGAAATTCCAGGGCTCTCTGGCCAGGCAGTCTAGCAAAAATGGTGAACTCCAGGTTCAGTGAGAGACCCTGTCTCAGAAACTAAGATGGAAGGGGCTGGAGAGATGGCCTGGTGGTTAGTAGTAGCACTTGCTCCTGTTGCAGAGGACCTGGGTTTGGTTCCCAGCACCCATATGGGACTCAGCGTTTTTTTTGTAACATCAGTTGTGTGGACTCTAATGCCCTCTTCTGGCCTCTCTGGGAACTGCATGAATTCAATATACTTTCATACATGCAGGCAAACATTTGTACACATAAAAATAACAAGGCGGGTGGTGGAGGCACACACCTTTAATCCCACCACTCAGGAGGCAGAGACAGTTGCACCTCTGAGTTTGAGACAAGCCTGGTCTACAGAGTGAGTTCTTGAACAGCCAGAGCTGTTTTACAGAGAAACGGTCTCAAAAAAAAAAAAAAAAACAAAAAACAAAAGATAGTGACTGAGGACATTCTGACATCATCAGTCTCTGGACTCTATGTGTACCTAACATAGGCAAATGCAACTACATGGACATGCATGGATGCACTAACTATTCCTGAAGTGGTTCAAACATACTTCTACATTTGAGTGTGTGTATGCAAAGCTTTCTCAGCACTGATGACATTGATTCACAACACTTCCTGTCATGGTTAGTTTCAGTTGTCAACGTGATGCATTCCATAGTCACTTTGGAAGAGGGACTCCCAATTGCAGAATTGGCTCCCTCAGATTGACTTGTGGGCATATCATGAGGCATTTTCTTTCCTTTTTTTTTTTTAACTTGTTTATTTAATGTGTATGGTTTGTTTTGTCTGCATCTATGTCTGTGCACAGTCTCTGCTTTGTCAGCAGAGACCACAAGAGTACATTGGATCTCCTGGCACTGGAGTTACAGACAGATGTGAGATACCATGTGGATGCTGAGAATTGAATCCTGGTCCTCTGGAAGAGCAACCAATCCTTTTAGCCTCTGAACCATCTCTCTAGCCCATAAGTCATTTTCTTTATTGCTAACTGATGTAGGAGGACCCAATGTGCCTGCCATCCCTGGTCTGGTAGGCCTGAGCTATATGAGAAAGGTAGCTGAGCAAGCCAGAGGAACAAGCTAGTAAGCAGCATTGCTCTGCTAGTTTCTGCTTAAAGTTCCCACCCTGGATTCATGTACTTAACTAATTGCTATAGAAAAGACCTCTAGAAATAAGTAGAAGTGGTGAAAATGAACATCTTTGCTTTGTTCCCGATCTTAGTGGATGCTTTTTTTATCACTGAGTTTGGCTTTTAAAGATCTACCTTTATTGTATTATCAATAGAAAGTTTTCCCCTACTCTGAGGTAATTCTTTTTAATCATGAGAGATGCTGAATTTGGTCAGATATTTTTTTCTGTATCTAGATGATCATGTTCTTCCTTCTTTCTGTTAAGCAGTTTGCTATATTTGTTAATTTTCATAGGGTGGCCTATCCCTGCCTCCTAAGAATCAGACCCCTTTGACTATACTGTATAATCCTTTTAATATGCTACTGCATTGTTTTCTAGTATTTTGTGACAGTCCTTGTATCAATATTCATAATATTGGCCTGTATTGGAGAGGGAGGTGTGGTTGGGTAAGTTCTGTTTGTTGTGTTTTGAATGGAGTCTTACTGTGTTACCCAGGATAGCCTCAAGCTCTTGAGCTGAATTGACCTTTCTTTAGCCTGCTGAGTAGCTGAGAGACAGACCACTCTTTCTTTCTCACTCCTACCCTTATCTCTAACTCTGCTCTTTGCCTCCCTGTTTCCTCTTCTTTCCCCTCTCTTTTCCCTTCCTTCCCTTTCCCTTCATCTTCTTCATCCCCAGACCCTCATGTCACTGTGACACTATGCAGCACTGGCTTGTAACCCTCCTGTCTCAATTTCTTGAGCAATGGGATTATAGGTGTGCACCACATGCTTTTTCTTTCTTTATAAAGACTTTTTCTGACTCTGACATCAGAGTAATGCTTACCTCTTAGGATGAATTATACAATATTCTCTTGGGATTTTGGAAAAGTTTGAAAGGGGTTTCTGCCATTTCTTTATATGTTTTATAGAATTTCCTCATGAAACCAACAGATCTGGGGATTTCCTTTGTTGAAAGTTTTTGGTTCCTGATCTAGTTTCCAGTTCTTAGGTGATTGCATTGTTTGTGGTGTAATCTTGGTGTAGCTTTTATGTTTCTAGGAACTTAACATTTCATCTAGATGTTTTCACTATTTCAGATGGGAAGGAAGGTGTCCATTTGTACTATATCTAGGCCAATGGATAGCCTATCCTCTTTGCAAGCATCTATAGAAGTTACACTGCCCTTTCTAGAAGAAGCTGAAAGACCTGACAGAAAGATTAGGGACAACAGAGTTGACTGAGGGCCCAGAGTATGCTAGTGAATAGATGTTTTGGCCAATGAAGAGCCAGAGTGCTGTGATCCTCCATTAGCCCAAGGATGGTGGTATGCAGACCGGGTTCATAAACTCTAACCCCAAATCATCCTGTCTGGAGTAGATGTCTTGGATGTAAGTGGTTTAGACATTTGGACTCTAAGCATGCTCCCTAGACATAGACATGGATGTGCTGTTCTGTCTTCACAGACTGGATGATTCTATTTTTCAGCTTTTGAACATGTCAAACTATAAGGAGAAGTTCTCCACTCTGCTGTGGCTGGAGGAGATTCATGCAGAAATAGAACTAAAGGAGTATAACATGAGTGGCGTTGTCCTGAAGAGGAAAGGGGATCTGCTGGTACTGGAGGTCCCTGGGCTTGCTGAGAGCCGACCTTCCCTCTATGCAGGTAGATCTCACTGCAGGTTACCTGAGGGACAGCAGAAAGATCACACTGGGGAAAAGTAGTTTTAACTGGCCACATACTTGGATTATCCCATTTCTGTCTTTTGAAGCAACATTTACCTAAAAGGAAATCATTTAACATGTATGTTATACATGTTTCTTTGTTACAATTATCTTTAAGCAACAGATGGAAATTTTATATTATACTTTATTAAGACTTGATTTCAAAGTGAATCAGGAAATTTTTGATTTTGTGTTTGATACATAATATTTTTTACCTAGGTGACAAACTGATTTTAAAATCTCAAGAATACAATGGACATGTCATTGAATATATCGGCTATGTCATGGAGGTGAGATGATACTCCTCAAAGAGTGAAGGTCAGACTGACTCACCCACCCTCACAGAGGGAATTCCAATGGCTTTGTCTGTATTGTGGAAATTTAAAGACACAATGATCTTTGAATAATTTTTGTGGTGTAAAGGGAACTTCCTGTCTAAGAAAGAATAATTTTCAACAATATAAAACTACTTGTAAATCATGTTTGCATTCAAACAGCTTTGGACACTGGGCATGATCTAGAAGAGCTAGCAGGTAAGACCCTCAGGAGGAGGATGAACTAAGTAAGTATGGTACTGAGGCATTCAGTAGGATGCTCTGCTCCATAACATCAGCTGCCCAGTCAGTGCCTGCTTTAGTCTCAGCATCAATTTTTCTGGCCAGAGCATGGGGTAGGATACTTAAGCTGACACAGAAGGCCCAGATGGTACAGCTGGTAAAGAAGCCACATCTGAAACAAGTACTTATGCTGAAGTCAAATTTGCTATCTTCCTGCCAGCAGGGCCTTGAAAAGTAGTGCCCTATTAAGAGAACCAATTTGGAGAGTTTGGGGAGAAAAGACTCAGGTGCTGAGTCCTTGCTGAGAGCTACCTACTTCTAACTGACCACAGAGGATCTTCCTGACAAGTGTATGCTACATGTCTTAATTGGGTTTCCATTATTGTGATAAAACACCATAACCAGGCTGGGGAGATGGCTCAGAAGTTAAGAGCATTGACTGCTCTCTCTTCCAGAGGTCCTGAGATCAACCACATGGAGGCTCACAACCATCTATAATGAGATCTTCTAGTGTGCAAGCAAACATGTAGACAAAATATTATATACAAAATAAATAAATCTTTAAAAAGCAAACAAAACCACCAAGACCAAAAAGCAACTTGAGGAAAAAAGGATTTATTTGACTCACAGCTTACATTTTATCATCAGAGGAAACCAAAGCATGATCTCAAGATGGCAGCAAATGCTGCTTATTGGCTTATTTCTCATGGCTTGCTCAGTCTGATATATCACCTAGGCAACCTACTCACGGGTGGCACTACCTATAATGGGCTGGGCCTTCCCAGATGGATCATTAAACAAGAAAATGTCCCACAGACTTGCCTACAGACCAATATGAGGTGTTCTCTCAGTTTAGGTTTCCTCTTCTCAGATGACTAGCTTGTGTCAGATTGACATAAAAGGAGCTAGGATTCTAGAGAACACAGGCTCGCTGCCCCACCCACTTGCAGCCTTCCCAGTACCTCTCTTACTTTTACTTCTGAATACTTTGGCTGTTGTAATTTTTTAAGTTGTCTTGTGCTTGCTTTTATGAATCTTTCCATTTTCTTATTTCATTTGCAACTTTTTAGATAAAAGGTCAATGTAGTCTACAATATCTTAAGCTGCTGAGGATCATGGTGCCTCAGTCTTAGTAGTTTGGTGTTAGTGTGCTTAGTGACCTTAAGTTGTAGATTCCCTTCCAGAATCCTGTGCTGGGTGACCTTCCTGGGAAAGGACTGTGGTAGCATTGTGTGAGAATGGGAGGACTCTGTGACAGTCTGTCCCATTGTTTACTGTACATCTCCTGCCCACAGTCTCTGGGTCCTGATCTCACTACAACTTCTGACCTTGCACAGTGTCAGGCCTGGGCCTGGGGAAGACACACCGCCTCAGCACTGATTCCACCAAAGGATGTTTGCGTTCCTTGGCAGCTTTGCCCCATGTGTCATCAGAGGTTTCCTTTCTTTCCTTCAGGAGGAAGTATGAAATCTTACTTTATGCAGGATCCAGCTTTACTCTCCCCTGTACTACTAGAAAGGGGAGTCCTGAGCAACTCTCTGTGAGGCTTTAACTTGGTAGGACCACCCTGATGACGACTTGGAGTTGTTGGCAGGTTGATCTCTTGAGTCTTATGTGCTGTATTATTGGTGTACTTGGTTCAGGGAGAGACTGGTTAAGTGTTGCTGATGTAAATGGAGACATCACCCCTGTTTGTGTAGTTTAAGAATGATTTACTCATTTTCAGTTAATTTTGCAGGTACTTATAATACCAAGTTTTGGCCCAAATCTGTGAAATGATATTTTCATGATGTGTTGCTAGGTGCAGATGCAAGATTGTCCCATGAAATCCAGTCTAGTGTGTAGAAGTTGAATCATTCATTTGTTTTTTTAGATTCATGAAGAAGATGTAACTCTTAAACTTAATCCAGGATTTGAACAAATGTATAACTTTGAACCTATGGATGTGGAGTTTACATACAATAGGTAAGGTTTTAGTGAGTTAATAAAAATGTTTTTTCATCTTCCCAGATGGTCTGTCCTTGACTGAAATCAGTTAAAGCCTCCATGAGTGTGCAAGAGATGGCTTGTTAGTATCCTGCCCTTTGTGGGTGATCTGTGTGTTAGGTCCCAAACCTCCCAAAAGGCAGCTGCACTGATTATGGCCCAAAATGACAGTCTGGGGCCAGCTCAGGCTACATGCTGACAGGGAAAATGGAACGATTGATGGTGGAGAGAAAAGTCTTCACTCAGAGGTCTTCAGAAACCTGTGAAACAGATTTCTTCCTGCCAGATTATCTCCCTTGCCTCTGGAGAATGGGGCATGTATTCTTTGTTGCCATCTCTCTGTGCATATCAAAGCCACTTCACTCTTCTGTCTTCTGGCCTGCAAGCCCCCACAACAGCTTCCTGCCTAGCTCTGCTGAAAACTAGCCCCAGCAGTTGCCAGGTTGCTACTCTCTCTATCCCTGAGAAGTAGCCAGGGCAGCTTTGGACTCTCCCCAAGTGCCTCTGACTCTTCTCTCTCCACCACCAGAGAGATAGCCACACAGCAGTTTTATGTTTACAGTAAACCTTTCTACCCATGGAGAAGTCCAGTTTGGTGGTTTTATTGCACCCTCAGTTAATCTGGTGCCAAACTTGGGGGCAGAACAGTGGGCCCCTTTTCAGAGGACCCAGCCCTCCTAACCAATCCAGTGTTTCTGAGAAATTCTAAGTATAGTCTTTTATCTCTTGGTAAGTTTAAGGAAAATTGATGCTATTGGGATGCTTTTTTTCTTTTGAGACAGGATTTTCTGTATAGCCCTTGCTGTCCTAGAACTAGGTCTCTAGACTAGATTGTCCTTGAATTCAGAGATCCACATACCTCTGTCTCCTGAGTACTGTGATTAAAGGTGTAAACCACCATGTTGTGCCTGCTGTCCAGCTTTTTGTTTGTTTGTTGTTTGTTTGTTTGTTTTTTGAAACAGGGTGACAGGGTCTCACTGTATAGCCTTGGCTGGCCTGAAACTCTGCTGTGTAGACCAGGAAGCTCAAATTTACAGAGATCCACCTGTCTCTGCCTCTTGGATGCTGGGATTAAAGCTATGCACCATTACTCCTGGCTCCTGGCCCTGTTTTTTAAAAGTTCAATACTATTGTAAACAATATTACCTTTAATTTCCAATTGTTTGCTCTCTGTATTTCCTCTTTACAAGGAGTTCAAGGTGACATGGAAGGTTTTGATGTATCCTTCTAGCAGACTGAGGAGATTCCTAGTTTACTGGTAATTTTTAGACAAGAATAGATACTGAGCACTCAGGAGGCTGAGTTCCAGGCCAGCCAAGCCTACATAGTAAAAACCTGTCTCAAACAAACAAAAAGAATAGACACTGATTTTGTCAAATGCTTTTTCTATATCTTTCAAAGTTATGGTGGTTTTCTGTTTTGGGTTCACTAGTCAATTTTCTTAAATTGTTTCTAATGTAATTTCATCTTTGTAATTTGCCTCCTGAAATGAATGATATTTGGTTATGATGTGGTTTCTTTGTGTGTGTGTTAGATCTAATTTGCTAAAATTTTATTCATTTTTTTATATTTATGTTTATGAGACATATTGGTCTACAATGTACTGTATAGTCTGGAAAACTTTGTATAGAGTAAATTTAATTTCTTCCTTAGATATTTATTGGAGTCCCTTCTGAGGGCTTCTAGATATGGAGTTTTCTCTGTGGTAAGCTTTTAAGCTATGTAGTCCATTGTTCTACTAGAAAAAGGATCATTTAGGCTTAGTACTAGGTTCTTATTTGCATGCATGGCATGCATGTATGTGTGCCTGTGTATATTTGTATGTATATGTGTACACACATGTATGTAAGTGTGCATGATATATGTGGATGCATGTGTCAAAGTGTACATGGAGCTCAGAGGAAGACTTTGTGTAGTCAGTTCTGTTCTTGGACCTTTACTTGAGTTTGGGAATTAAACTCAGACTTGAGTGGCAATTCCCTTTGCCTGCTGAGCCATATTTCTGACCTGATTATTAGGTTCCTGTAAGCTTTAGGAGTCTATACATTTTAAGACCTCTGAACTTCATCCAGGTTGTCTTGTTTGCATTTAAGTTATTTACAGACTTTTCTTACTATGTGTTTCCTTTATGTGTCATCTATAGTGATCTCACATTTCTAATTCCTGATGTTAGTGATTTTTTGTATTTTTTCCTCATCAATATCTCTAGAAATGCAGGGTCTTTAAAATTATTTTTTATTTCATCATATGTGTGTTGAGTGTCTTGCCTACATGTATGTCTGTGCATTATATGCATGCCTTTTTCCCATGGAAACCATAAGAGGGCATCAAATTCCCTAGGACTGGAGTTACAGATGATAGTTAGCTGCCATCTGGGTGCTAGGAATCTAACCTTGATCCTCTACAAGAGCAGTCTACTCTTAACTAGTGGGCCATCGCTCCAGGCCATGACCTTGTCAAAGACCTCACTTCTGGCACCCTGGCATGCCATTCTTTATTCTTCTGCCCCCTGTTGTATTAAGTTTTGCTCTGATCTTTTATTATTTCCTTTTTCCTCTTTTTGGGGGCTCCGTCCGCTTTTCTTTCTCCAGATCCTCATATGTTATAAGGCCTGCCTTTTTTTTTTTTTTTTTTTTTTTGAGACGGTTCTCTGTATTGCTTTGGAGCCTGTTCTGGAACTTGCTCTGTAGACCAGGCTGGCCTCAAACTCACAGAGATCCACCTGCCTCTGCCTCCCAAGTGCTAGAATTAAAAGTGTGCATCACCAACACCTGGCTGAAAGCCTTCCTTTTTGTACTTCATGTGTTTGGTGCTGGATGGATATTACCCTGAGTTACTTTACCACTCTAGCTTAGTTGCTGGTCATCATTTAGTCCCCAGTGAAGACATAATAGATTCTTTTTTAAAAGTCAGTCTCTCTCTTTTTCTCTCTCTCTTCCTCCTCCTCCCTCCTCTCTCCTCTCTCTCTCTCTCTCTCTGTCTCTCTGTGTATGTGTGTGTGTGTGTGTGTGTGTGTGTGCGCGCGCGCGCGCTAAACAACTAAGCCATCTCTCCAGCCCTGAGAATCTCTTATATAAAGATGCTACTACAATAGACAGTTGACATCTGGCAAATCTTCCTCTTGAACCACTAGTTCATACCTAGGGAAGTTGTTTTTTGTGATCCTTTCTTTCTCCTGCCCTCCTTTGAAAGTTTTGTATGTTGCCCCCCCCCCTTCCACACACATCTACTTAATTTTTCTGATTTTCTATCTCTTTGTTACAGTTTGGCCAAAGCTCGGGGTGATTCTATCCCAGCTCTTATCTCTCTTTATAAGGAGTTTATTGTATCCCAAGCAGTTATCTTGCAAAGATAGGAACACAGGGCTTACAAAGGTTCAGTACACCTCACAGAGTTATCAGAATAAATACTTCCAGTTTTGTACTGCAGAAATGGATCCTGATGGTGGCTTTTAGCAGTAGTAATAGTTGAGAATGTTCAGGTGTCTTATGTTGTGTTGTGTCCCATCACCATAAGAGTCTTCAAGAAACCTGTCCTCTCTCTCTAAGGCATGAAGCAGCTCTGCTCTGTGATAAGAGCCAGCTTACCCAGTAGAACAGATAATGCATCTTCATTTTTGCTTTTGGAGTATTAGTAATCTTGATTTATTGAAAATGGTTTTTAATTTCCTGTGTTTTTTTTCCAATTTCAAGTGAAAAAAAAACTATAGCAAAATTGTTTTTCTCTTGACACAGTACTCTTCTATAAGAATGGTGACTGTTATCCTGAATCCTTAGTTGTCTCTGTTTAAACTTTGGTATAAAACACCTAATTGTCTGATATTTTGTGTGGGTACACTTTCCCTTCACATAGGGGCAGAAACATACCTTAATGGCCCTATAACACCTGGCCTCTATGTAATCTTTTATCTACAAGCTTTTCATAAAGTTTGTGTTAGTGTTATTGATGAAAGTTTATTGTCTTGTCTGTTTTCTGTTGCTATGACAGATACCACAGACTGGGTAATTTATTAAGAAAAGTTTTATACTCACTGTTCTGAAGGCTTTACAGCATTGGTGAGGGCCTTCTTGCTGCATCAAAGCATGTCAATAGAACACTGAAGAGAACACATGATGAATGGGCCAGAAGAGAAAACCAAAACAAAGAGTTTGAATTCATTTTGTAGCAATGTTTTTCACACACACAAGTGATTTGACCTCATGACCTAATCTCTTAAAGACACACAAGCCATCATAGAGGCAATTAAATTGTAGTCACTCGCAAATAAACAAAAATTTTATCTAAGTTTTGGAGTTTGGAATTAACACTCAAATGGAATCAAATTTTTGTAAGTTCTAAACTTAGGGTTCTTTGTTTTATGTTTTCTTTCTGGCAGGACCACAAGCAGACGGTGTCACTATGCACTTGAACAGGTCATCCATTTGGGTGTAAAAGGTGTGTTTTGTAGATTGGTAGTATTAAATCTCCCTAAAGTAAGTTTATATAGTTCATGGAAATTTTGTGCAAAATGGTCTCCTCAGTTCTTCAGCCATGTGTAATAATTAAAATTATATGACAGCATGTTTTTAATCTTCCTGTTGGCCTGTTTGTCTCCCCCTCCCCCTTCTTAACTATTTTAACTGTAAAAATATACTTAAGTAATTGAAAATTAGTTCATTGCTCTCTATATTTACTCCTGGTAATGTAATTCATCTTTGTTCTCACAAAGAAAAGTAATGGCTTGTTGCAAGGTCTATGTAATACTAGAAAAAGAGGACTTTGAATAGAGTGGAATGTGAACTGTTTTAGAATCAGCCATTGATGTTTAGGTTGTGTTCATTCATACTTTCAAATAATATCTGCCCATTTACTTTTTCTTATTTCAAAGTGTTGTTTCCAGAAGAAATCATTTTACAGTCTCCCCAGGTGACAGGGAATTGGAGCCTTGCACAGGACACCAAAATTGATGGACAATCTATCACCAAGGTAATGTTTCGATGACTTTGGTATTTAAGTAGAATATATGAAATCAGTTCTCATTTGACTGGAGTAGAGGAATGTTATTCACAAATAATCCAAAATTTCAATTAAAATGAAGCTAAAATTGCTGGGTGTGGTGGTTTATACCTTTTAATCCCAGAACTTGAGAGGCAGAGGCAGGCCTCCGTGAACTCTATGAGTTCAGGGCCAACCAACCTAGTCTACAGAGTGAGTTTCAGGACAGCCAGAAATACATAGTGAAACTGTCTCAAAAATGAAGGAGGGGCTGGAGAGATGACTCATTGGTTAAGAGTACTTGTTGCTCTTGAGGAAGACCCAGGTTTGACTCTCAGCATGCAGATGGCAGATAGCAACTCCCATTTCAAAGGATCTGATGCCCTCTTCTGGCCCATAAGGACATTGTATGCACAGGTGCACCCACATATTCACAGACAAATCCATACACATACAGTAAAAAATAAATCTTAATAAAATACAGGATATGTTTAGTTTAAATGTATATACTATCATTTGTAGGACCAGGGTGCTGCAATATATTTAAACAAGGAAAAATTAAGATATGGATGCTCACATGATCATACCAATTTATTTTAAAGTTATATGCTTTTAGATGATGAACACCTTTAATTCTAACATTCAGGAAGCTCTTTGTGAATTTGAGGCCAACCTAGTCTACAATAAGAATTCCAGGCCACCTAGGGCTACTTAATATAGCCCTATCTGGAAGAAAAATTTTGGCACTCTTTATATACACTGGGGGAGGGGCATTTATGTGCTTGTATATGCATAGAAAATGTCTAAAAGGATGTACACCCAACATGTCTTTACATTTGAAGTCTATAAGCATTGCAAAGATACTGTATTTTTTACGTCTCTAACCCAGTGCTTCTTTCTATAAATGTTAACTTAGTGCCTTTGTCTTGGAGGTAGTGTACTAGGCACTTAGTACATTTTGTAAATAAAATAGAAATAGTTTTTTATTTATCATTGTGTTTCTCATAATATAAAAAGTCATCCATTTCAGCTTGAGGTTTGCAAACTACAGTTGTGTGCTGTTGGAATGTGATTTCATGGGAATGTCTTAAGTGTATAATAATATAAAATTTTCAAATTACATGTAATATTTAGGAACTCTTTTACTCTTCTATACGTGCTCTCCAAAAGTTCAAAGGTCTTGTTGCTTAGAATCCCTGTTAATTGCTTTACTTTCTAATGGTTTAGCATATATATTAATTATTTATTAATGTCATTATGACATTTTCATACATGTAATAATATATTTTTTTAGATTTATTTATTTATTTTATACAATGTTCTGTCTGGCACCAGATATCATTACAGATGGTTGTGAGCCACCATGTGGTTGCTGAGAATTGAACTCAAGACCTCTGGAAGAACATCTTACCCTCTGAGCCATCTCTCCAGCCTCCGTACATAATATATTTCAATCACAGTCACTCCCATTATTCTCTCTTATGTTCATCCCACTCACTTATCCTTTTCTTGATACAGCCTCTCTTCCCCATCTACTTTTATTGGGTTGCTTACAGGAACATGACTAAGAGTTAGTTCGTTTACAGTCGTATGAACATCTTACCAGTTACTGTACCACTGAAGAAAAAGTTTCTCCCTCCCCTTTCAGCCATTAACTGTGCATAAATTTTCTAGGGAGGTAGAGTGCATGAACCTCTCTCCTCCATGATAGGCTCAGGATAGTCGTGTACAAGTAATCACAGCTGCTGTAAGCTGAAGAGTGCAATGGTCCTGTGCCCAGAAATCTGTGATCCACATAGCTTCCCACCTTTTCCCTGGCTCTTATATCCTTCTAGCCCCTGATTTAGTGACATTATCTGAGCCTTGAAGACAATGACACAGATGTCCCATTTATGGCTAAACATTCAACAAGATACTTATTCTCAGTAATCATTGACTAATGTTAACAAAAAATAAACTTCTCCAACAATGCTGACAATGGCATTTATGGTAAGCATTAAACATAGTTATTTAGGAGCAAAAGTTTTACAGCTGTGGATACAGCTCAATGGGTAAAGCACCTGCTGCTCAACCATGAGGACTTGAGTTCAAAACTTAGAACCCACAAAAAAATTGGGCTACAGTAGTGCACAAAATAAGAAAAGGTCTGTCAGAAATCATTAGCTGGGGGCTGAAGAGGTGGCTTAGTGGTTAAGAGCACTGACTGCTCTTCCAGAGGATCTGGGTTCAATTCCCAGCATCTACATGGCAGCTCACAACTGTCTGTATCTCCCAATTCCAGGAGATAATACCCTTACACAGACATACATGCAGACAAAATACCAATGCATATGAAAATACATTATTTAAAAAAGAGTACCAGACAAATCAGATTATTTAGAAAATAATCTTGAAATAAGGAAGCCCTTTAAAGAAGCAAGAAGCTAAAGTACTTTAATGAAAAATCACTAGCTGGGAGCTGGAGAGATGGCTCAGTAGTTAAGAACACTGACTGCTCTTCTAGAGGTTCTGAGTTTAATTCCCAGCAACCACATGGTAGCTCACAACCATCTCTAATGGAATCTGCTGCCCTCTTCTGGAATAAGGGCATACATGCAGCTATATTCATATATAAATAAATAAGTCTTCTTTTAAAAAAAATCATCGACTATGTATTTGCTTCTAGACATCTATTTTGATCTAAAAATAGAAGTCTTTATTGGGCTCTGTAAAGCTCTGTCTTTTATCACCTTACTCCTGGTTCATTCCATTGTCTGATTCTCAGGAAAAGTCTATGTAGGAGATGAAAGGACGGGATGAAGAGAAGCTACTGCTGTGTAGATGAGGATTTCCTAACTGGCTGAATTGTGGTATTCCTAAGTGTAGAATATTATTATGAGCCAATTTCTAAACAAATTCTAGCATTCTATCAGTCAACCAACATGGAATTATAGGAGCTGGAGAGAGAGCTCAGAAGTAAAGAGGTCTTCCAGAGGACCCAGGTTGGACTCCCACACCATTTGGCAACTTGCAATTGTCTATAATCCCAGTTCCCACAGATCTGACAGACTCTTCTGGCCTCCATGTGCACTACACACAACATGGTGCAGCCAAAACACTTGTATACATAAAACATAAATATTTTAAAGATGGAATTATATGGAAATAAAAGAGCTAGAGATAAAGCTCCAGTGGAAAAGAGGCCCCAAGTTCAATCCCCAGTACCCTCTTCAAAAAAAAAAAAAAAAGCTCATACAAAATACATAAAACAGTCATTCAAGACATTGGATATTTGCTATATTAGCACATACTCCTGAGCAAGAAGAAACAAGCGATTTGAGCAGCATTGTTGAGAACATAGCATTTGCAGAGCAGAAAAAAAAAATCCAGAAGAGACACTTTACGAGACAAATTTGAAAGATAAAGTTGACAAAGCAGAGTACTGACGAGAGAACAAAATGACAGGCAGACTTTAAGTATCCCTGGAGTTTTCCCTGCCAGTCTTTTAGCTTATGAGAAAAATACCCAAGACTGGAAGATAACATTCCCAAAGTTGACACAGTACTACAACCAGAGAAATCTAGCCTTAGTGTCAGGACCATGTTCATAGACCAACAGGATGTGAGCAACCGTTTAAATTCCAGGTGCTGGATGGTGGTGGCACACACCTTTAATCCCAGCACTTGGGAGACAGAGGCAAGAGAATCTCTTAAGTTTGAGGCCAGTCTGGTGTATAGAACAAGTTCCAGGACTGTCAGGACTGTTATACAGAGAAACCCTGTCTTGAAAAAAAAAATTCCAGGTTGTTGATCTGCATCCTAGAGTAAAGTATTGACTGAGCACAGTGGTGTAGTCTATATTCCCAATAGAGGCATGAAGGTATAGAGTCCAAGGTCATTGTCAATTACACAGTAAGTTTGAGGCTAGCCTGAGTCCCTGTCTTTAAAAATACAAGCAGGTGCTTGAGAGATGATTCAGCATTGAAGAGGATTTGCTGCTCTCACAAAGGACCTAGATTTGATTCCTAGCACCCACATGGTAACTTACAAGTGCCTGTAACTCCAATTCTAGAGGGATCTATTCCCTTTCCTGACCTCCATGGATAAAAGGCACTCACATGGTAAACACAGACATGGAAGCAAAGTACTCACATAAAATAAATCTTTTTAAGTTTTTTTTTTTTAATTCAAACAAAAAATATACTCTAGAGCTCAATAAGTAGAAAATATATCTAGATCTCAATAAGTAGAAAACCCGTAATGTCTGACATCTGGTTAAAAAAAAAATAACCTGGACTAGCAATAGAGCTCATAGAGACCCTGCCCAGCCTGGGCTCAAACCCAGCACTGCAAAACAGACTTAGTACAACAAGAATGGAAAATTTTAATTGAAACCAGACTCTACCCCCAAATAACCCAGTTGTAAAGTTAGAATACAAGGGCATTAGAACAGGTATTAATTAGTCAGGAAAATAGAAGACACTGGATCAGGCATGGTGGTATACACCTTTAATCCCAGCTCTTAGTAGGCAGAGGCAGGCAGATGTCTATGCATTAGAAATCTCCATAGGGAGGTACAGGCCAAGTAGAGCTACATAATAAGACCCTGTCTCAAAAAGACATGAAAACTTTAACTGGGGGACATGAAAGATAAATTTAAAACAAAACACAACTCCATCCTTTAGGGATGAAAATTTCAGTTCCTAAGGTAAACAAAATGTAATATCAGAGTAAGTGGTCCAAATAAAAAGTGGTGAACTTAAAGACATAACACTAAAAACTATGTAAAAACAACAGGAAAGATTTCAAAGAACATGAGGAAAAACAGTTTCTATTATTCACAAGTTCTCTTTCTAAATTGAGTGACAAATATCAATTCATAAAACAACCTCAAGTGGTCTCACAAACTTGTTATTTGCCATTCAGAAAAGGAGGAGCAGGCAAAAAACATAAGGAAGCATAATGGGGCCATGTGGTATCCCACACCTGGAATCTCAGCCTGGGTTACATAGCATAGTATTGAAAAAGAATATTTACACATCTTCATGTCAAAGTATATCATCATACTAGACTATGCTCAGATAAATATAATTAAAAACAGAGCCAGGCACATGGACCAAAACCATACTGGTTATCCTCTGCAGTACCAATATGATAGTGATGGGAGGTCATATTGGGAAATCCTGAAATAAAATTTGACAATGCATATATTTTAATGAAGAAATGTTATGATGCATTGCTTTTACAAGATTCGTTTTATGAAAGGCACTGATTGCACAAAGATACATGTGCAAAGCTATGAATTAGAAAATGTTTGTAATAGAAGGATTAAAAACTCAATTCCATTAGCCCAGAGCAAAGTCTATCAATATTTAAAACTTGCAAAACCAGTTCTTCTGTAGGCTTTGAACATGGTTGACAGGCAGCATTGGCTTTCTGTGTTCTCAGGAAAGCATAGAGATACTGCACAGCAAAGTTCCCATTGCCTTCAGGAGAGGTTTTTCCCAAGGTTGGCTAGCAGAGTCTTCCCTGCTTAGGCCAGCCTTGGAAGAGGCAGGATGTATGTTAACCAAATAAAACTTGGATCCTCTTTGTTTCAATTTCAGCATGACCAAAATCAGTTTATTTATATTTACTTTTCAAAGAGCTAGGGAAGAAAAGCATAAACTTTTAGGCAGGTTTTTATTAACTGTCTCATGTTTGAATTATGTTTCAAGGGGTAGACCTGGACATATCCAAAGAATTGTTAAATGTGACAGCAGAATGTTGTTGGTAGGTGTGTTTGCTGCTGTTTAAGCTTGGGTTCACAAAGCTATTGATGTAACTACTTTCTTCATGATTATTTCCAGAACAAGAAAACAGTGAAGGACCAAACTAAACACACAACAAAGGAGAGGCACATGGATACCTCAGACCTGCCAGAGAAGGCTGCCACTCCTACAGATACTAGTGAGTTGGGTACAAGTGTATAATGGGATCAGAGAAGAACAATAAAAAAAAAAACCTGTATGTGCTTGAAAGAAGGTGCCTAAGAAGCACACTGGTTGGAGATACAGTCATGACATTGTCCCCAGAGAAGGCTGAAGCCCTGTCTACCTGCTCCCAAGGGATGTCTTGATGCTTTAGAAAAACTTAGATTATGTATTATTCTTGCCATGTGTGCTCTTAAGTTGTTGTTTACTCTGTATATTTAAATCAGAGTCTTGCCCTGTCATCTAAGCTGGTCTTAAATTCATGGACTCAAGTAACCCCTCACGTAGCCTCAGTAGCAAAACCTACAAGCAGGATTCAGCACACCTGAGTTGTAATAGTGACAAGCACAAATGCCTAGTAAACATTTAAAAATGTGTTCAACATCTTTAGCCATCAGGGAAATACAAATTAAAACTACTTAAAATTCTATCTCACCCCCAGGCAGAAAGGTTAACATCAAGAAGACAGACAACAAATACTTACGAAGAACCCATTCTTACTACTAGTAAATCAGTCTAGAAATTTAAAAAAAAAAAATAGGGCTGGAGAGATAGCTCATTGTTGAAGAAGCACTGGCTGTCCATGCAGAGGACCCATGTTTTGTTCCTAGTACCTACATATCAGCTCACAAACATCTGCAACTTCAGTTCCAGTGAATTTGACACCCTCTTCTGGCTTGTACAGACACCAGGAACTCATGTGGTGCACAGACATACACGCAGGCAAACATTCATACATACAAAATCCTTTTTTTTTTTTTTTTTTTTTTTCTTTTTTGGTGTTTTGAGATAGGGTTTCTCTGTATTGCTTTGGACTCTGTCCTGGAACTTGCTCTGTAGACCAGGCTGGCCTCGAACTCACAGAGATCCACTTGCCTCTACCTCCCAAGTGCTGGGATTAAAGGCATGTGCCACTACCACCTGGCACAAAATAGATCTTTTTTAAAACTATAATTATAGTAACTATCATATTGTCCAGCTATACTACTAGATATATGCCCCTAGAAATTTAAGTCAGTATACAAGAGATGCTTGCAGATACATACTTACTATTAAACTAAAACATGGAATCAACCCAGCTGTCCATCATCAGATGAAACATAAAATATACTACATATACATAGATGAATTAAGATAAAGAAAGTCATGACCCTTTTTTGGAAATGAATGGAAATTGTTAAGTAGTTTCCCAGACTTGAAAAGACAGATACCAGGTGGTTTTCTCTCATACATAGATCTTAAATTTTCATTATTAGACATGTATATATGTTGGTATCAAGGTCATAAAAATAGAAAGTGCTGTGAGAAGGAATGAAGTCTTAAGGAGTGTTAGTGAAAGGAAGAGGGATTTAGAATACATGTGACATGAAAGCAGAGTGTGGGCAGTGAGGGAAGAAAGGGGGGCAGTAGAAGTGTGGTGGAGTGAAGACTGGGGTCAGGGAGGTCAACCCAAATGAAGTGTGTGTGAAAGTGCCACAGTGAGACTTATTGATTTGTATGCAGACTAAAACAACTCATTTAATGTTTGGGGAAAATCACCAACAAAAAAAGTTTTTAAACCCTGTATGTAATATTTCAGGTGATATTGTATCTATAATTGACTTGGAAAGCTACTTACTTTCCCTGACTTTGCCTCAAAAAATATAGATGGTTTTGGAGCATGGTCTTCTGTCACACTGAAAATTATTGATTGTCAGGATTTATTTGACCTTTATAACATCTAATAAGGTCTTTGATTAGGCTGTCTTTCCACTTGAAATGCAGTAGATGAAATTCAGATCCCTAAAGCAAGAGATAAGGAGTTCTTCAATCCGGTACTCAATGAAAACCAAAAGCTGGCAGTGAGGAGAATTCTAAGTGGTGACTGCCGACCCCTCCCATATATTCTTTTTGGACCTCCTGGGACTGGGAAGACTGTGACAATAATTGAGGCTGTTTTGCAGGTAAGGATGGTGGTGCTGGTTGTTGTAGGTCTGCTGTATTCATGTGTTTGTATCTGAGGAGGTATTACTTTGAACTTTAGAGACATTTGTAAAGAACTAGAGAGAGATTTAGCTCCTAACATTATCTGTTTATGTATTAAGATTTTAAGTTTATTTTGCAAGTATAGAAGGAAACTTCATCTCTAGAATAGTAACCCTTTGATCTCATGGTGAAGCTTTACTGAAGAAGTTGCCAGGACAGTACTGAAGCCACCACTCTTCAGCACTTGTTGTTATTTCTTTTGTATACCAATTAAATTTATGAAAATACTGTGTGTATAGGATTACAGTGTCATTCTGGATTTTGATTAGCAAACACACTATGAGTGTTCTATGCTATATTGCAAGCTGGGCTTGAGAGATTGATATAACTTGGTGCTGTCTGTGGAGATATCTGTGGAGGTGTGTAGAAGGTTATGGTTGCAGAGCTGGGGTTATAGCATATACAGGCTTTGGATAACCCTGCATTCTCTCTTTCTCTGTATGTATATGGAAGTAGCGTGTGGGGAAGGGTGGCTACCACTTGATTACATCTCATCTGTGGCCAGTGAGGCAGAATAGTCACTTTGACATTGCAGGGAATGTTTCAGATGCTTAGGGATTAGTATCCAAGCCCTCACCCCTATTCCCTATAAAAAGAATCTGTATGTAGTATACTGACTCAGAGTTTCCACTCCATGGCAGTAATATCCCTGGTCTCTCACTTCTTAATGAAGGTACATTATGCTTTGCCGGACAGTCGGATTTTGGTCTGCGCTCCCTCCAACAGTGCTGCAGACCTTGTGTGTTTGCGACTTCATGAGAGCAAGGTGCTGAAGCCAGCTGCCATGGTCCGGGTGAATGCCACCTGCAGATTTGAGGAGGTGAGCTCCAGGCATGGGGGTGGGCACTTGGAATCCTTCCATGAAGAATGCCAAGGCAGGTTTAAGCAGGAGGTAATTAATAGCTTGGTAGACACCAGACTATCATAGAAAATTGTAATGGAGAAATTATTCTGTCTTGTGATACAACTCAGCAACATGGTCTTATTCCTGCAAATTCATTATGGTCTCACCCTCTATCTGTATTCACAATGCTTTTGTGAACATTCTCAGTTTTGTCAAATTCTCATGTTATGCTTTCATTTAATTTTTAAAGTATAGTCTAATTTCTTTTTCAGTCTGATTGATTTGGTTACCACTATCCCTTTTGGAAAATTAGAGGATTCTAGTTCATTTTGAATAAAATATTGATTAAAAAAAAGAAATTGTGGGACTGGAGAGATGGCTCAGAGTTAAAAGCACTGGCTATTCTTCCAGAGGACCCAGGGTTCAATTCCCATCACCCACATGACAGCTCATAACTGTCTGTAACTCCAATTCTAGGGGATCCAACATCCTCACACAGAGATAAATGCAAGCAAAATACCAAAGTACATAAAATAAAAATAAATAAATTTTAAAAAGAAATTGTGACTAGAAAACTATATTAAGTTGTTTGTTTTCTGGGTTACATAAAGGATTATAGTATATTCATGCCTTAGAGTCCATAAAACATGGACTTAATATGAAAATATAAGACATTTTAATTTAAGTTGATCATTAACAATTAGTCATTACTAAGAAATAGCAAGAGGGCAAGATTATCTTGTAGAATTCCATCCAGTATTGCTGTTTTGTTCAGTTTAAGGAAATGATCAATAAATTGAAAACCAAACTGACTCTAATTCTTTGCCCCAGACTATTATTGATGCCATCAAACCATATTGCAGAGATGGAGAAGATATCTGGAGAGCATCACGCTTCAGGATAATAATCACTACATGTAGCAGTGCAGGACTGTTCTACCAGATAGGCGTGAGGTGAGCACCACATAGGCGTGAGGTGAGCACTACATAGGAGTGAGCTGAACACCAGATTAGAATGAGGTGAGCACCACATAGGAGTGAGGTGAGCACCAGATGTTTGAGGAACAGAGTTCCCCCTCACAATTTGTATTCCCCACAGTTATGTCAGAAGAGGTTGACCAGATGGAGATTGGGTAATGGAGGGAAGTGTCAGCCACAGGATAAGAGCAATAATGAGGGGGAGGGGCATCTTTTCTGAGGAAACAGGATTATTGATGAGACCAAGGAAACTCAAAGGGTTCAGTAGTAGAATGGACAGGCAAGTGGGCTAGCAACATATAAAGATCCTGTGGTTAGAGAGCCCTGAGCATGTTTACACAAAGAAAACCTCAGAGTTGAAGCCTAGTAAGCAAGAATGGAGAAAGGGGCTATAACAGGAGGCCTGGCTCCAAAGGCTTGAGTTTTTAGAAGAGGCATTAGGATATGACCTTAGTTTAGTAGAAGTCCACTGAATGAGAACTTAAAGTATCACTGGAAGACAGGCTACATAGGAAACAGCTAGGTTTTGTGAGATTAGTCCTGGGTGGGGACAGCTCAAGTACCCAGTAGTGGTGTCTCCCCAAGAAGATGGAGCAGTGATAGTACAGGAGGCTGAGGACCAGAGAAAGCTTCCCAAGAACATGTCTCAGTGCTAGGAGGGATGTCCCAAGAGCTGCAAAGAAGCTGAGAGAGGAAGCTTCACACCAATGCATGAGAAGTGAGTCAGGGAAGCTACAAGCAAGTTCTGGTAGGAAGAGGAGGTAGCACAAGCCAGGCTGAGGAAGGAGGAGGAGCAAGGCTCCCTGAGAGTGAGACCCAGCTCCTGAGATACTGAGGACAGACCTTTCTGCAGCTTGGTACAGACTCACTCCAGGATGTAGCTGTGAGGATGATGATCTAGGTCCACACATGCCTCACCTTTCTGGCCTGAGTTCTAGGCATCTGAGAACAGAGAGAGCCAAGTGCAGCTAGCCACACACAGGTTGCCAATTATTTCATAACTATTCTTTAGTTACCTATTTTATCTATTTTCAAGCTAGGAGTTTAATATTTTTTAAAGATTTGCTTATTTATTATGTATACAGTGTTCTGCCTGCATATATGTTGTATGCCTGAAGAGGGCACCAGATCTCATAAATGGTTGTGAGCCACCACGTGGTTGCTGGGAGTAGCACTCGGGACCTCTGGAAAAGCAGCCAGTGCTCTTAACCACTGAGCCATCTCTCCAGCCCAAGTTTAATATTTTTAACATTTTATTTTGTATGTGTGTATATGGATACAAATGTAAAGGTCAGAAGATACCTTGAGGGAGTTGGTTCCCTCCTTCAACAATGTATGTCCCAGGGACCAAATTCAGGTCCTTAGGCTTGCTTAATGGTGCATGCCTTTATACTCTGAGCCATCTTGCTAACCCTACAATATCGTTTTATTATATAATCAATATGAAATCACTAGTGAGACAGTCTACATTTAATTACATATGAAACTTAGAGCTTTTGTATTTGAGACTAGCCATTGTAAGAAGCTTAAGAGCCACACATGGCTAAGAGGCTACTGGACTGGGAGAATGCAGGAAACTGCAAGGGCAGAAGATTTTTGTGATACAAGGTGCCAGTACTTTAAGGTACCAGGAGGTTCTCAGGTTTTCCTCATACCCAACTTCACCCTTGATGTCCTTCCAAACAAATACACAATCTGCTTACAGAATACCAGCTGCTGATAGGAATTCATGTGAATATCCTAGCAGGACTGCAGCTATTGACCCTAAGTGATGTGATACCCATACCTCTTGGTCTTACCTTCCCTGGAGAACCCCACAATGATCCCAACACCCTAGGACAGAGCTTTGCCAGTATGTGTTCAGTAGCAACTGCTAAATGATACAATGAAATTACATTCAGACATCTTTGGCTCTAGAGTTGGATACTTCACACATGTATTTGTGGACGAGGCAGGCCAGGCAAGTGAGCCAGAATGCCTAATTCCTTTGGGACTGATTTCAGACGTCAATGGTCAGGTAAGGCCTGTATCTTGTGTGTGTTTCTTTTTGTTTGTTTGTTGAGACAGGTTTTCTCTGTAGCTTTGAAGCCTGTCTTGGAACTCACTCTGTAGACCAGGCTGGCCTTGAACTAGCAGAGATCCACTTGGCCTCTGCCTCCCGAGTGCTGGGATTAAAGGCGTGTGCCATCAATCACTGCCTGGCTTGTGTGTGTTTCTGTCTTAGTGTTTTCCCTTGATGACAGTCATAGCCTTCAAGTGAAAGTACAATAGGACCCTGAGAATGTAGCAGGCCAGAGTTATGCTTGTTCATCACAACATCAGTCTTTTGTGGCTGGGAAGAAAGGTCCTTGCTTGTTATTATTTACTCACTTGCAAACAGAAGCTAAGAGCCATTGTAGGTACTGGAAACACAATGGCAGAGTCAACGGCTAAGTTTCTGGTGTGGATGTTCCGCACATGGCAGAAGGGAGAGGACAGGGCCTCATGCCATTCTATGATCTGACTGCCATTACCATTATATTTGTCAGGGGTTCCTTACTCAAACCCACAGCTCCTCCAATTCTGTGTGTTCCTGGCAGATCCCTGTCTGATCTTCTCTCTGGTACTTTGTATAGTGACATAGATTATCATCTTAAAGAATGTTTCTTTCAGTACCCCTACCCCAGAGGTCATCTGGCATCCACTTATGAATTTGTCAGGCTTCCCACCATCTCCCCTCAAGTCACCAGGCTGTGAGTCAGTACTAGGAGGAACTAAAGAACAAACAAGGGCTGGTCTAATTAGATCACTTAAGAGACTGAGAGAATGATATTAATGTGTGTGAAGCCTACCAGCAAAGGGTACCATGGAAAAGGGCCAAGGGTAGTTTCCCATGGCCAGGCAAGGCAGAAAATTCCAGAACACAAGCTGCCTCCCTGAGGCTTTTGCCATGTTGAGATAAATGGAAAAGGCAGCTGACTGATGTACCAGGACTGATAAAAGCAGGTAGTAACTCTTAGTGGAGAAATCTAAGTCTCAAGCCCATCTAGTTTCTCCTTTCCCACTTCTCTGTCTAGACCATTGCCTCAGCATTTTCCCTCATTCCACAGAACCAGAGTGTGCAAGGGAACCCTGCCTGCACAGCCCCAACCCTAACCTATTCAGAGACACTTGCCTGTGGATTCTTACAGCTCTTCTACTGTGGTTGAACGGTGTGCCTGTCCACTTACCACTAATCAGGCATCCTTGTGTGTGCTATAGATTGTCCTTGCTGGAGACCCTATGCAGCTTGGCCCAGTCATCAAATCCAGGCTGGCTATGGCCTATGGGTTGAATGTGTCTATGTTGGAGAGGTTGATGTCCAGAGCAGCATACTTGAGAGATGAGGATGCCTTTGGTGCTTGTGGTGCCTACAACCCTCTTTTGGTGAGTTCTAACCTCTTCTGCTTGATCACACAAATAGAGAAAGAGTGGTTTTTTTTTTTAAGCAGGCAGTGCTGGCTGGTGGAGGGGGGGGGTGCTGAGGGCAGACTAGCAGGGCAGCTGCCATACTGCTCTCACCCATCTGCCCTTCCCATGAGACAAGTACATGAGCAGAAGCCTCTTCACAAGAAAGCTAGAAGTGTCCCCACCTCCACAAACATCCACTTGGTCCTTGTCCTCCTTACCATGTGAAGCATAGTGATCCACAGACATCTGGGGAGGTTGGTCAGCAGCATGTGTGGCTTCCTCCACTTCCCAGATAACATTTAAGGCACTTTCTACCTGCTCGTCCATCTCATAGGGACTGCTGTTTGGATCAGAGGCTGCCATGGAGTTTTAACACTGATGGTGGAGAGTTTGGGGGTTCAAGACAATAAAAGAAGTTAAATTTGCCTTACTCCATAAATATAGGAAATGGCTTTTGTAACTCTGTGTGAAGGAAGAGATAGCCTGCCTCTGAAACCTGGAGGGATGTGTTCTGTGTGGTCTTCTGACCTAGGTGCTCATGTGGTGGAGCACAGCTTCTGTGTTTAAGCAAGAGCTCAGTGAAACCACCAAACCAAACCCCTCTATAAGTAGAAGGAAAAACTTATCTAAAGATCCAAGTCTATCTCTTGGCTTTGGGCAGAGAGAAGTGAAATAGTGGGAGAGTCCTGCCAATTATAAGGGGTTATGTTGCAGCAGGAGGTATGCAAGTTAGCTGGAACAGCCTGGCAACTAGCATGGGGCTTTGATCTCTTGAAGGCTTGTTTGAGTTAATAAGGAGCTAGATGCCCATTCTGGAGGTGGTTGGCTATAAGGGACAGATAAGGGAAGTAATGGCTTTTCCTGACAAACAGAAATTCACTTGTCAAGGTTTCTGAGGCATGCTGGTTTTAAGCAGCAGTCCATCTGTTTACCCAGTGAGAGTGCAGCCTGAACTGAGCTCATTTAGAATATTGCCAGTGGAACTGCCATTTGGGTGCTGAGGGGGACACTTTGCATCTAACATTGGGCTCACACGCCATCAGTCAGATTCTGAGGGTGGACTTTGGAACTTGTAACCATAGGAGTTCACAAAACACAATGAGCTTGGGAATCTGGACTCTGTATGACATCATTAAGTAGTGAAAAAAATCTACAATTAAAAAAGTCATTATCTAAACTGCCTTATTATTACTAAACTGTTATAATACGAACAGATTTCCATCAGAACTTGTATTCCTAGTGTTGGTGAGATGTAGCAATCATGAAAGTTTTCAGAGAAATGACCCTTTACTCCATTGGCAGTCCCAGGAGTGAGTGTTGAACAGAGACTGGGAAAGTATGTTGTGAGTCTTCAGGCTGAGGAGAATCTCTGAGGAGAACACTCCTAAGAAAGGTGCCTGCTGTCCCAGAAGAAGAGGGCCATGTGCATATAGGATGAGGTGCAACATGGCATCTGCTGGTTCAGAGAGAATGCCTGAAAGCTGTACTGCCCATGGGAGATAGGTTCTCACCCATCTCCTGTGCACTTTGGGACATGCAGTTCCTTTGCTTGGAAAAAAAAAAGTGGTTTCCTCCTCTTTCCCTTGTTCTCTGCTGTTCTGAGCTGGTGTGAATCGTCACAGTGGGACACATTCTGCTTTTTGAAATGAAATATAGTTTATTGTCCTAGAACTAATTTTGCCAATATAATTACTATACATTAGTTGCTCTGACAAAATGCCTGTTGGGAACGATTCGATTTCATGGGGAAACGGATTTGTTCTGGCTCATATCTGAGGGGATAATATGACATGGAAAAGAAGGTGTGGTGAGATGAGGTATCTGCAGTCAGAAAACAGAATGAATACTGGTGCTCATCTGGCTTCCTCTGTTTTCCTTTTTTATTTACTATGGAACTTCAGTCCATGAGTTGGTGCCCCCCCAACATTCAGAGTTCTCCTGCCTTATTAAACCTCTTTATAAACATCTTCAACAGAGTCACCCAGAGGTGTGTCTCCTAGGTGATGACAAATCTAGTCAAGTTGACAGTAACAGTTGACTATCACAGCCAGAAACAATGACAGATGCTTATATTGCACCAGCTTCCCAAGCAGTTGGAGGGAAAAGTATTTTCCTCATGCTGTTGCTATCCCCAGGACCAAGGATGTACCAGGGCTGTTAGAGCAGCAGCTCTTCCTTCCCCCTCCCGCCCAATGCTGAGTCAGCTTTGTAGCACTTCATTTAAAGGCTGAGCTTGTAAGGCAGCAGATCAAAGGCAAAACTTGCTTCACAGAGAACTGTCCAGATATGACTGCATCCATTAAGAGATACTCAACAATCAGGATCTGGGAGAATCACAAAAGAGGCCTTTGGTCCTTCTTGACATTAAAATGGATCTTTGAGATTCAGTCATCTGAGAAACTTGGCCTGGCCTCAGATTTCAAGCTAATAGATTAGAGAGAGTCAGGAGCAAGGGGCTATCCCATGAAGTCAACAGTAAGATGACTGGTTTCAAGTTTGCCTTGCAAGGACAGCAGGAACAAAACCTGGACAGACACTCTATGGCTTTTGACTCTTTGTGACCTGTGTCTACCTTTTCTCTTCAGGTAACAAAACTAGTGAAGAACTATAGGTCCCACTCAGCCCTGTTGGCACTGCCCTCTCGCCTGTTCTATCATAGGGAGCTTGAGGTCTGTGCTGATCCCAAAGTAGTGACTTCGCTGCTGGGCTGGGAGAAGCTGCCCAGAAAAGGCTTCCCTCTCATCTTCCATGGCGTGAGGGTAAGTCTGCCTTGATTGCTGAGTTCTTGCACCTAGTGGTACAGGAAGAGGGGGAGGAGGTGTCTTCATTCAGAGAACAACCATAATGTATGATTCCCAATGTGTGTGTCTCCTGTCTAGGCTACATTAGCCAAGCATTCCCTGTGGGCCTGAGGTGGGGGAAGATGGGTACTGATTTCTTAAGTGTAAGGTAGCAAGAAAGGACTGCTGCTGACCTCTCCTGTCAGAGATTCCATACAGAAAGAGGAGCTTAAGAGTGGATATTGCAGTCCCTGTCCTTTGGTGTCTGGATTAGATAAATACAGAGTTCCGAAAGGAAACACAGGCTAGTATCAAAGAGCTCAAAGTGTGCATTAGAAGTCTGGGAGGATGGGCTAGAGAGTTGCAGGCCTCTATTCAATTCCCAACACTCATATTGAGTGCCGTACAACCACTTGTAACTCCAGCTTTAGATCTGATGCCTTTAAGCCTCCATGAGCACCTACACTACCATATACATACAGACACACAATGAAAAATAAAAATCTTGGGGAGGGGGAAGGGCTGAGAAGTAAGGCAGGAAGAACCAATGGGAGCTGGGCACCAAGGACTAATATCCTGACAGTGCTTGCCCTGCCCTTAGGACCAGTAAAGCTGAGAACCCACAAGAACCAGTCAACTAAGCCCTCAACCCCAGGTCCAGAGGCAGGGGGACTGGCAAGGACAGAGTCTCCTTCCTACAAGACCTTACAGAGTGGGGTTGAGATGCCCATCAGCTAAAATGAATTGCAGGTATTCACTAAAATCAGGTTGTTTGTATTGGGAAATTAATTGTCAGAACTAGAAATCACATTTTATATTCACCCTCCCAGAATTAGTATCATACCCAGAAGGGAAGGTAGAGTCAAAAACCCCTTCTTTCCCATAGCCTGGTCTTATAGGTATGTGAACCCATACACAGCTGCACCCATGCACAGTCCCTGCCTCAGTTCTCTCTAACCCTGTGAGGAGAACAGGTGCTCTGAATCTGTTCGAAGTGCATTTGAAGAAATGTGTGCTGGTGGCTCTTGACCTGCCTTTCTAAGGCTTTTGGTCAGTGCCTAGTCCTAATGTGCTGGCTGCTCCTACCCAGGAATACCCTTCCTGTGGTCTGGGTACAGAAGCCTCTAGTATACCAAGATAGACTTTCTGTGGCTGTTATAGTGGAAGGAATCTCTTTAGAGTGCCCAGGGATGAATCTTATGAGGCATAACTAGTGTTACTGTGGAACAAAGGCACAAAGACATCAAAGATGTCAGTTATTTCTTAATTAACCTATATATTTAATACAGTCTAATTTTAAAAATTACCAGGCATGGTGGCGTACACCTTTAATCTCAGCACTCAGGAGACAGAGGTAGGCAGATCTCTGAGGCCAGCCTGGTTACAAAGCAAGTTCCAGGACAGCCAGGACTGTTATACAGAGAAACCCTGTATTGAAAAACAAAAAAAAAAATTACTGCAAGCTTCTTTATGAAAACCATTTTAACGATAGTTCAAAATATTTTATAAAAGAAAATGAGTATAGCCCTAGATTCAAATTTTAATATTGTCAAAAAAACTAGACAAATGAATCACTAGACTTGATATGTTACAAAACATACTATAGAGTTAGAGTAAATAAAAGTGTCCAGTATTAAATATATATTACATATGCAGCTTAGTAGTAGAATACTTGCCCAGTGTTTATAAGACCCTGGGATCAGTTCTCAGTACCACAAAGTATGTGGGATGTGTGTGTGTATGTGTGTGCATGCACACATGTGAACATGTATGGTTGTCTATAAAGGTACAAGTTGGTGGAAGACAGTCCAAAAATACCAGCGGATATAGAAGATTTTTCTTTTTTGACACTGGCCTCTGCTGTGTAGCTCCAACTGCCTTGAACCCACTTTGTAGACTAGACTGGCACTGAGCACTTAAGAGATCCATCTGCCTCTACCATCTGAGTGCTGGGATTAAAGATACGCCCTACCATGTTTGGCCCAATATAGAGGATTTTAAGAGAAAAGTGCTTATCAGTCACTGGGAAACAAGTTGGAAATACAGATTTGGGAGTATATGGCAACCTAAAGGTAATGTATGGAGGTCAGGGAACACACTCTGGGAGAGGGAGGAGGAGGGACCTGTGGACCAATGTCTCCTTTTTTAATCCAGGGTAATATCTCACTAGGTTTCTCATGGGCAGGTATTTTGTTGTTCTTTTAAATTTTGTTTGTTTTTAAGATTTATTTATACAGTGATATAGTGTTCTGCCTGCACGTATCCCTGCAGGCCAGAAGAGGGCACCAGATCTCATTCTAGATGGTTGTGGGCCACCATGTGGTTTCTGGGATTTGAATTCAGGACCTCTGGAAGAGCAACCAGTGCTCTTAATCTCTGAGCCATCTCTCCAGCCACTCATAAAGTTTTTTGAGACAGGATCTTGTGTATATCATGTTTTTCTTGAACTTGGCATATAGCTCTGGATGATGAAATTTGTGGCCCAACTATTTCTACCTCTAAGTGCTAGGTTTATAGGTGTGCACCATCATACCTGGTTTATTTAGTGCTGGAGACCAAACTAAGAATTCCATGCATGCCTGGCAAGTGTTCTACCTAATGAGTCATATCCCCTGCCTTGTTTGTTTGTTTGTTTGTTTGTTTGTTTGAGTGACAGTCTTGCCAACCCAGGCCAACCTTGAACTCAAAATCCTATTCCCTCAGTTTTCTTTGTGCTGGGATTACATATAGAAGCCCCCATACCTGGCTTCTATGGGCACTTTAACTGGTGGGTCTGGATCAAGCAAACAAAATTGCAGATCATATAGCAACAAGAGGTGGACACTCTTGCTTGTCTGTATAGTCTGTGCAGTTGTGAGGGTCAGCAGGGACAGCCAGGCAAACTGCATCTAGCTGTGTCACAGAGAGGTGGTCACTGGGGAACAGCTGGATAAGACACTGGTCTGGATAGACCATGTGAAAGACTGAGAATAGACTCAGACTTGGAAGCTGTTGACGGAATAACAGCTTCCTGCTTCTACTGTGAGGACGTCCATTTGTGTTCTGAAGGATACAGAGGTGGTGGAGAACCGTCAGCAGTCACTGCAGGTGGTTTAGTTACATTTCAGTATTTTCCAGATACTAAATATTCCAAGTTCAAGGTCCTGAGAATATGTGGTCCACACCCAGTTTGAGCAGAACGAACTATATCACTTTGTGAATTGGCTTCAGTGTTGCTTGGCCCTTGTTTACTGAATGCTTGGCTTCCTCTGGGAACAGCAGACTCCGTATCCTTGTGCCTGCCTGTGCCTTGGATATACCAGATAGAATTGCTCAATAAGGTGTTTATGACACGCTTAGGGCAGGGTTGAGCATCCTAGATAGGCATGCCTCTGGTGTAGCTCCCTATGAATGTGACCACTCTGTAGGCCTTGTGTAAGTGGACCATACAGTTATGCTCCTATGCCTGGCTGTGTCTTTCAGCATTCCTCAGGGCTTATCCTCGTAGAACTTCAGGATTTCCTCCAGCATTGGTGGTATAGTGGTGAGCATAGCTGCCTTCCAGGGTTTCCTTTTCCTCCTTCTTTCTTTCTTTTCTGAGACAGGTCTCACTATATAGCTCTGGCTGTCTTGTAAATCATTATATAAACCAGGCTGGCCTTGAACTCATAGAGATCTGTGTGTTTATGCCTCCCAAGTGCTAAAATTAAAGGGATGTGTCAGTATTGCTGCCCTTAAAATGGCAGGTTTATACAGCATTCCTTTTCTTTACATGTATAGCAAGTAATGTGGTTCTAGGCCAGGCATAGTGTCATAGGTCTTTAATCCCAGCACTTGGGAGGTAGAGACACATTAATCTCTGAGTTTGAGGCCAACCTGATCTACCTAGCAAGTGCCAGGCCAGCTTGGTCTATATAGGGAGATTCTGATTCAAAACATTTTTGTTAGCTAAGTGTGATGGCACGTTCCTTTAATCCCAGCATTCAGGCCAAGACCATCCTGTTCTACATAGCCAGTTCCAACCTAGCCAGGGTTACATAGCAAGACCTTGTCTGGGGAAAAAATTTCCCATTATTTAATGATAACTGGTCTGATGGGTTATAAATTCTGTATGATGGTAGAGATTTTTTTCTATTGTGTTTACTATGTATTCCCAATCCCTTCTTGAGCTCTTTAATCCTTGATAAATATCACTGGGTAAATGGCAAATTATGTTCTCACTATCTCAGGGAAATGAGGCTCGTGAAGGGAGAAGCCCATCGTGGTTCAGCCCAGCTGAGGCTGTCCAAGTCATGCGCTACTGTTGCCTCTTGGCCCGAAGTGTCTCCAGCCAAGTTTCTTCCAAGGATATCGGTGTCATCACACCCTATCGGAAGCAGGTGAGCCCACCAGGACTCTGCCCTTCTTATACATAGCCACTATGGCCCTTGGTCTTTGATTTCTGAAGGGCAGAAACAAGCTCATTCTGAACATCAGCAGGTGTTCAGAGAAGCAGAACTATGTTCTAGTGATGCTGAAGATATGAAATTTGTAAATCATACAGCTCATAGTCATTATTAAGCAGCCACCTACCAGTGTTGAAGATTATTTTTACATTTTAGGTAATTATGTCATAAATTTTTACATAAGGACTTGAGGAATTTCTTGGTATTTTGTCCCTTTAAAAAAAAGCTTTCAGCTGGTCATGGTGACATACACCTTTAATCCTGGCACTTGGGAGACAGAGGCAGGTGGATTTATGAGTTTGAGGCCAGCCTGGTCTACAAAGTAAGTTCCAGAACAGACTACAAAGCTACACAGAGAAACCCTGTCTCGGGGGGAAAAAAGGAAAAAGGAAACAGCTTTGGAGGGGGGGAGAGGGGAAAGGGCTGGAGTGATGGCTCAGAGGTTAAAAGCACACTGGTTGCTGCTCTTTTAGAGGTCCCAAGTTCAATTCCCAGCAACCACATTGGTGGCTCACATTCATCTGTGGTGGGATCTGATGCCCTCTTCTGGCATAAAGTCAATAAATCATTCATATAAAATAAATGAATAAGTCCTTTAAAGAAAGAAAGAGCTGGGTGGTGGTGGCAGACACTCTTAATCCCAGCACTTGGGAGGTAGAGGCAAGTGGATCTCTGTGAGTTCGAGGACAGCCTCCAAAAGCTACAGAGAAACCCTGTCTTTATTTTAATTATTATTTTAATTGAACATTTTATTTAATCACTGATGAAAGATATTATCTCTTCAACACAAATTCAGTATGAAAGTTTGCTTCTGTGTGTTATATGCACATATATATGGAGAAACCCTGTCTTGGAAACCAAAAGAAAAGAAAAAGAAAAAACTTTTAGCAGGACAGTGGGGGCACACTATTAGTCCATCACTCTGGAGGCAGAGGCAGGCAGTTTGAGTTTGGGGACAGCCAGGGCTACACAGAGAAACCCTGTCTTGAAAAATCATTTAGAAGAAAAAGAGAAAACAAAAAAAATCTTTCAGCTTCAATCCCAGAATTTGGGAGGCATTAACAGAAGGATCTCTGAGAGCAAGACCAGCCAGGGCTATATATTGAGACCCCATCTCAATAATAATAATAATAACAGTAAAAAAAAATCTTTGTATGTGTAGTTCATATCTTTAATAACCATCCTTGGAAGACTAAGGCAGGAGGGTTATTAATGACTAGTCTGGGTTATTTCTATTCTAGGACTATCTGGGCTATAGAGAGGGAGGACCCTGTCTCAAAAAAAGATAAAGCTGTCCACCCCAGCCTTCAGCCTGTATTTCTCAAAGATAATGAATACTGTTGGCATTTGTGAGGGTGACCTTTCCACAAAGGATTGTAAAGCAGCAAGCACTGCTGACCCTATAAAGCTCTCTGCAGGTTGTGACAACCAGAAACTGTCCTTGTTTATTTACCTGTTCTGAAGCTGTACTGTGGGTAGAGGTACCCTCCATACCAAACACAAGTTTCAGGAGTTCCTGCCCCTATGGTATACAAACCATCAAAGCTCAGGCTAAGGGCCCTAGAGCAGTGAGCAAAAGGTTGATTGCACAGGCAGTTGTGAGAACACATGGTCTGTGCTGATGTGTGTTAGAACGTCTCTTTTCTGAAGAGGTGAGTGTGTAATCCTGGTGGTATAGAGACAGCAATAGCTTGATTAGGAGTACATAACCAGTCGATGCTAGGCTATCTTTCTCCTTGGTTAGTCTGTGACCATTGGAAATACAGATCTCTGGAAACAAGAGCATCTTCATCTTGATGCTGCAGTGCAGCTGACTCAAATCCAAGTCCATATGTTTTCTTTTTCATTTCTTCTTGTCTCATATATTAGTACATCCTATTATATATATTACATCCCCTTCCTTCTCTCCTTCCAGTCCTCCCCTCTCCCCAAAATCCACATCTCCATTTCCCTTCAGAGAAGGGCAGGCCTCCCAGGGATATCAACCAAACATGGCATATCAAGTTGCAATAAAACCTGGCACATTCCCTGATATTAAAGCTGGATGAGGCAACACAGTAGGAGGAAATGGGACCCAAAAGCAGGCAAAGGAAGCAGAGACAGCCCCTGCACACCCACAAGAACACCCAGCTACACAACCATAACATATATGTAGAGGACCTATGTCAGACCCCTACAGGAAAACTCCAACCCAAGGAGATTAACTACACCATGAAAACACAGGAAATAATCTCACACCAGCAAAACCAAAAGAAGGAGCACATACACACACTACCAACAACAACAACATAACAGAAATTAACAGTCATTGGTTATTAATATCTCTCAGTATCAATGGACTCAATTCCCCACCCCCCAAAAAAAGACAAAAGATAACAGTCAGTGCTGTGCACACCTTTTAATCCTAGCACTGGGGAGGCAGAGGCAAGCTAATCTCTGTGAGTTCAAGGCCAGACTGATCTACAGAGCAAGACCCAGAACAGTCTCCAAAGCTACATAGAGAAACCCTGTCTCAAACATCAAACCTCACTTATATATTAATAGGGGGAGACTTCGATACCCCACTCTTGCCAATGGACAGGTAATCCAGACAAAAACTAAACAGAAATACTGGAACTAACACATTATGAACCAAATGGCCCAAAAGGATATCTACAGACCATTTTACCAAAACACAAAAGAATATACCTTCTCAGCACCTCACAAAACATTCTCCAAAACTGACCACAAAGCAAGTTTCAACAGATGTAAGAAAATTGAAATAACCCCATGTATTCTATAAGACCACCACAGATTAAAGCTGGATTTCAACAACAGAAAGCCTACCACATTACAGAAACTCATATAAAATCTCTACTAAATGACTACTGGGTAAAGGAAGAAATAAAGAAACTAATGACTTCCTAGTAAGTCAGTGGGAATGAATGCACAACATATCCAAACTTACAGGACACAATGAAAGTGGTGCTAAAAGGCAGTTCATAGCATTAGTTGCCTTCATAAAGAAATGGAAGCGATCTCTTACTAAGAATTTAACAGCACACTTGAAAGCTCTAGAACAAAAAGAAGCAAACACACCCAAGAAGAATTGACAGCAGGAAATAAACTCAGGGTTGAAATCAACAAAATAGAAACAAAGAGAACAATACAAAGAATCAATGAAAGGAAGAGTTGGTTCTTTGAGAAAATCAACAAGATAAACAAACCCTTATCCAAACTAACTAAAAGACACAGAGAATATCCAGATTAACAATATCAGAAATGAAAAGGGGGACATAACAACAGATACCAAGGAAATTCAAAGAATCATTAAGGCATACTTCAAAAACCTGTACTCCACAAAATTGAAAAATCTAAAAGAAATGGACAGTTTTCTTGATAGATACTACTTACCAAAGTCAAATCAAGATCAGATAAACAATTTAAAGAGACCTATAAGCCCTAAGGAAATAAAAACAGTCATTAAAAGTCTCCCAAACAAAAAGAAATGGGCCAGACATTTTTAGCACAAAATTCTACCAGACTTTCAAAGAAGAGCTAGTAACAATACTCAAATTATTCCACAAAATAGAAACAGAAGGAACATTGCCAAATTCATTTTATGAGCCACAGTCACCCTGTTACCCAAATGACACAAAGACTCAACCATAAAAGAGAATTATAGACTAATTTATCTCATGAACATTGATACAAAAATACTTAATAAAAAACTTGAAAACCAAATGCAAGAATATATCAAAAAGATCATTCACCATGATCAAGTTAGGTTTCCTCCCAGAAATGCAAGGATGGTTCATGAAAATCTGTCAGTGTAATCCACCATATATATACAAATTGAAAGAAAAAAAAAACCACACACTTTTGACATCCTACACCCCTTCATGATAAAGTCTTAAAGAAATCAGGGATACAAGGACCATACCTAAACATGATAAAGGGGATTTGCAGCAAACCAATAGCCAACATCAAATTAAATGGAAAGAAACTCAAAGCAATTCCATTAAAAACAAGTTCATATATTTGGCTGGACTTTTTTCCAGGCCAAACTTTTTTAAGATTCATTTTTATTTTATGTATGAGTGTTTTGTCTTCATTATTGTTTGTGTACCATTTGTATGTCTGGTACCAGGAAACCAGAAGAGAAAGAACATCAGGTCTCTTGGAACTGGAGTTATAGGTGGTTGAGAGTGGCAACTGAATCCATCTCTCCACCTCAAGAATGAACAATTTATGTTCGTGTTCATTCCTTTTGGGTTTGATAAATGGTTCATCGGGTTAAAGCACTTGCTGCCAAGCATAACAACCTGAGTCACTCCCAGGTAGAACATGATGGAAGGAGAGAACCAGTCCCTACAGATTGTTCTTTGACCTCCATGTGTATGCCATACATGTGCATGCCCCCATACCTTAGATAAGTAAATATGTAAGTAATAATTTGAGGCCAGGGAGATTGTTCAGTGGGTAAAGTGCTTACTGCATAAACATGAGTACATGGGTTCAAATTCCCTAGAACTCATAGCAGTCCTCCTGCCTGAGAATCCCAAACTCTGGGATTACAAAACAGGAGTCACCTTGGCTGGCTTAACTGCACTCTTTTATTCTGCTGTTGGGTATCTTTTAGTAAATTTATCAGCTCAGACTTTGAATTGTAATTACAATCTTGGCTGGGTCTTTATCATTTCTGTCCTTACTAGAATTTAATGCGGCATCTTTTAGTTATTGAGACACATTAGTAATGATGTCCCTGAAGGCTCTGCTAGATCCAACACCTGCAAACACTCCTGGTTCCCTCATGCCTTTTTTCTTGAGTGAGTGTGGGTCACAGTTTCAGTTCTTTGAATGTTTTTAAACTTTTGTTGAGAGCTAGAAATCTTAGAAAACAGTGAGTTTAGGCTCTGATTTCCACTCTAAAGATTGTTGTACTTTCTTCTTACTTGTTTCTTTGGTTCATAGCTGCCTCTGCTCTGTCTGTGGCATCTATTTTTTCTGGTATGTGTCCTTGCTGAGTTTTATTTTCATTGTTTTTAATCATGGCTTCTCAGAGAACTACAAGCCCAGCTTAGTGGGTAACGAGCTCTCAGCAGTAGACTTGCTTATCATCTTGAGTGGGTATGGCTACCATTCACTAACTATGTATCCTCAGGGGCCTTTCACTACAGACCTCAAGCCATTTGAGTCTTCCCAAGCTGCTGTTTCCCACCAGGCTCTTTTGTGTCTCCAGAGCCATAACACAGCCTCAGCCAGTAATACATTAATTCCCACCTCAAGCTCTTTTTTTTTAAAGTGGGAGAGACAGCTGTGGGTGCTGGGAACGTAACTCTTTTCTTGTTTTTGTTTGTTTATTTGTTATTTGGATTGGTTTTTGTTGTTTTGTTTTTTGTTTTTGGGTTTTTGTTTGTTTGTTTGTTTGTTTATGAGCCTAGCTTTTAATAACTGAACCATCTTTCTAGCCCTCAAGTAACACTCTTGGCTCCCCATGCCTGCTTGCCTCTGAACTTATAGCCTGATGGAAGAATCCAGACTAGAGCACAGACTCCCATTGTTCATACCCAAAGTTGAGTAGCATTAACACATTAGACTGTGATTATTTCCAGAATACCAAATGTGCAAGTGTATGGTTGCTTTGTGGGAGTAGACTTGTCTGTCTCCTCACTCAGTTGTCACCAATCTTGCCCATATCTTCTTTTTACCTAAAGCCCTTCATGGGTACTAGTAGACATCCTTAGGAAACAGATCATGTGACATCAGGCTGGCCCTGTGCCACATGGCATCAACCTGCCCTTGAGGCTCAGCTGGGTCCTCAAGATTGTACTGATTTAGGCTGAACAGCTTTCCAGACCTTCCACACTGATCTTGGTTACGGCACAGCTGTCCAGCATAGTAGATTAGTTCAGGGTCTCTATGTTAAAATGATTATTTCATTATTATTTTATGATTTTTAATGTGTACAAGTATTTTGCTTGCATACATGTCTGTGTGTACCACATGACTACTTGCTGTCCCAAGGAGGCCAGAATAGAGTATAAAAGTGTCACTTATTTGCCAAGAGAAATAAGTAACCTCCACAGTGATGACAGATCTGCTGATAAGCAAGAAACCAGGTTGCCAGTGGTGGAGGCACATGATTTTAATCCCAGCACTCAGGAGGCAGAGACAGGTGGATCTCTGAGTTTGAGCCCAACCTGGTCTATAAAGCAAGTCCCAGAACAGCCAGTACTACATAGAGAAATCCTGTCTTGGAGGGGAAGAAAAAAGGAGAGAAATCATTACTCAAATGTCCACTTGTCACAAAACTGGAGCAACTGCCCCAGTGTAACCCTACTGGAAGGAGCCAGAAAGGCTAACTGAATTCTCCAACATCCCACCCCCAACCCCATGGAGCCTTTGCATTGGCATAAAGGGTGCCTAGCTGCAGAGGTATAGTCTGAAAATGGTGTGTGTCACTGTGTTCAAGCAACTGTAACTTAGAACATGCCTCTCAAATCCCCACATGATCTGAAGAAGGGTGTGAATAATTTAAAGTGTAGGACAAATAGGTTACAACAGAAATGCTGAAGACTAAAACACTTCACTGAAGTTGAGCCACCATTAAGAGCTGAAGTTCTCATGCTAGAGCAAAGATTTGTAAACCACATCAGAGCTCCACTAACTTTAGGCTACAAAAGCAGTGGGTCACAATGTGACAAGACCATAGTGTGATAGCCAATAGTGGGGAGATGTACTAATGACGTCCCAAGCTCTGCATCTGGCCACACAGCCCCTGTGTGCCTTCCTAGGCATCACATAAGAGAGCATTAGGGCACCTGTGGTGTTTTGAATGAGAATAGCTCCATGGGCTTCTGTTTTTGAATTCTTGTTCCCTAGTAGATGGAACTGTCCACACTCTAACATTCTGTTCCTCCAAACTCCACCAGAATCATCCATTAAGCTGTGTTTACAGCATGCTAGCACTTCTGTAGCCCACAGCTCCACAATGTTCCTAAATTCCTCCTGCAAACCAGCTGCAAAGGCCTGAGAATGACATGGTTGGGTTTAGTCATAGCAATGGCCACACTTCTAGCATACTAATTTTCTGTGTTATTCCCATGTCACTTTGAGACTACCTGACAAAACAACTCAAGGGAGGAGGAAAGGACTTGTTTTGGCTCATAATTTCAGAGAATTTCAGTCCATCATGGTGGGGGAAGACATGGTGAATAGCAGGACATGTGGCAGTGTTCACATCACAGGAATAGGAGCAGCGCTAGAAAGGCCCTTCAACAGCCCTCGGAAAACTACTTCTGCCAGCTGAGGGCCACTTTCTAAAAGTTGCACAGCTTTCCCAAAATAAAGCCTCCAGCTGTGGAACAAGTGTTCAAAGCATAAGTGGGGAGAGGGGGTACATTTCCGACCCAAACCATAACAACATTTGGTTTAACTCTAATAGGTATATCTTGAGTTTTACAACGTTATTTTTGATCTTCTGTTTTGAGGTGGAGAAAATAAAAATCCTTCTGCGAAATGTGGATTTGACTGACATAAAGGTTGGCTCAGTTGAGGAGTTCCAGGGGCAAGAGTATTTGGTCATTGTCATTTCCACAGTAAGTTCTAAGTTTGAAGCCAGCTGGCATGTGCTTGAAATTGCTGGTTATTTAATGTGTGATAGATACATTCAAATGGATACATAAAATGAAACAGTGTAACAAAATCCTGTACTGCAAGCTAGACTCTTACCACACTCATGTGCTTCCAAAAGTGGTGACTATGATACATTGTTTAATAAACCCCAAAGATCAGGAGTGCAGGGAAGAAATATACAGGAAGAAATAGCCAGTGCATGGCCAGTGAAAGACTGGTGTGGTGGCGCATGCCTTTGATCCCAGCACTTGGAAGCAGAGGCAGACAGAAAGTGGAAAAAAAAGATAGTGAAAGACAGCTGGCGACAAAAAAAAAAAAAAAAGACAGCTGGCGAGCATAGTGAGACAGATGACAAAAGAAGGCCCCAGCACTGGTCTTTACCCCACCCCACAAGGATAGCTTAACTTTCAAACCACTGTCTTTTAAAATATCCCCATTGCTATTGCATGCTAATTGCTAATAGAAAACTCAGATTTTTAAAAAATGAGCACCATCTACTCAGACCATAACCTGTTAGCATCTGGGGGCTCCCTGTCTGCAGACAGAATAGTGCTGATATCAACCCTGATTCATTTTTTTTATACACAAATAAAGGTCATGTTGCTTCTTAACATTTCTGTATCAAGAAAAAAAACTTAAAATACCATTTGTATTCATCTTTATGCCTTTTTTTAGGTGCGGTCAAATGAAGATAGATTTGAAGATGACCGTTATTTTTTGGGTTTCCTGTCCAATTCAAAAAGATTTAATGTTGCAATCACAAGACCCAAAGCATTGCTTATCGTTCTGGGAAACCCTCATGTGCTTGTCAGAGTGAGTTTGCAGAACACTGGGTTGCCATTGTCTTAATGGAGGAAGGGAAGGATACAGGTTGCAAGAAGTGACCTCTGAGGTCAAACATGCACCTGGCACCAGGAGACTCTGGGCCTTCACTCACTTGGCTCTTTTGTTTTCATCAGGATCCCTGTTTTGGAGCGCTGCTAGAATACAGTGTTACAAATGGTGTCTACACAGGGTGTGATTTACCTCCTGAACTGCAGGCTCTCCAAAAGTGAGCACTCCTGGCTACTTCCTAAAAGGTGAGCAGGCTTTAGGACTCCCAAACCTCCTATATTGGTTCTTCAAGACCTCATGCACCCAAACCACTGAAGCCTCAAGACTAGCCTAAATGTTTTTGGTTTTTTTGTTGTTGTTGTTTTTGTTTTGTTTTGTTTGTTTACTTTTCCTGATCCCTTGGTTGGAGCAGCCACTGTCCTGGACTTTAGTGTTCAGTGTCACCCTACCCTTGTGTACCTGAACAGGTAAACAAAGCACCTCATGTAAAAGAGCCCTGGAGGAAAGTGGCTGCAGGTGCTCACTTCTCCAGTGTCAGGGTCTGTGGGACACAGAAGAGTATGGCCCATTGATGCACAGCACCTACAACAGGGAGACACTTCACCTCGCCCTATGGACCCTCAGATCCAGTCATGCTTCAGTCTTATGTCTCTTGAGGCTTCCTGGTCTCAAGACTGAACTTTGTATATGTGGGACCACTGAGTCAGCTGAGCTGCTCCTGCTTTCTTATACTGACCTTGGTTCAGTTTGTTTCTGCCTGTGGGCAGTCACTGCCACTACCCTCGCCCCAAATAAACACTCCAGTAACCCAATGTGGTGATATTTTGTTTGTGATCTAACAAATAAAGCTTACCTGGAGCTCATGCCCTTTTCCGCTGAGAAGTTGGTGAGGGAAGAGGTGGCTATGGCTGGCTTCTTTGTGTCTCTGATTTTTCAGCATTTATCCCAATACCTGATTCCAGGTTTTTTATTATTAAGACCAATTAGAATGTGTGCTATGACCCCAGGCCCCTTTCTGTGCCTGAATGCACCTGTATCCATGATAAGAGTTTTGTCTTTCATTTGCACCCTGCTGGCTATAACTTCTGGAGTTGGCTCTACCATCATCTGCTCTACACCGATCCAAATGTGTAAGAAACAGCAGGACAGGCCACCGGCTCCACTCACCAGAGAACTACAGGTCACCGCTGAGGAGTGAGAAGGGTGTTGGGTGGAACCAGGCCCACCTAGGCCCTGGTATTTCTGGAAAAGCGCAGTCAGTAAGGACCTGTACTAGAGCCCTACATGTCCTCCCTAGCCTGTCCCTGCATTCAAGTAGATGTCAACTTCTGAGAGCCTTCACGGGTTAGATGAGATGGGCCCCTTGATGGGCCAAACTAGACTTCCAAGTCTGCTCTGGAGGCACCAAGCAAAGAATTAAATTTTCATCAAGTCTTCTCCTTCTACTTAGCAGAGAGGTCAGCACAGGTGGTATGGCTCTACCATGGTCTACTGCTGCCCAAAGAATTGCACTTGGAGCCTGGGTCTTTCAGAACCCATGATGAGCAGTGTGGGGTTTAGCCCTTTTGTGCAAGTGGGGACTGTCTCCTGATGAGGGTCTTCCTGCCCCTTCAGTCCTGCAGCACCCCTTACTATACAGGGCAGGGCAGGACCCTTCCACAGGGCTGATGGAGCCCATGCCCATGCACAAAGAGATCCCCACAGAGGCTTCTTCTCTAAAAGCCTGCACCCATTTATAATGAGAAGCTCTTTGTCCCAGCTAGGTCCCACTGCTGCTTCAGCCCCAAGTAAGCACACAGACTCTATATTAGTTATAAAGCTATTGGCCTATAAAGCTATAGGGCTTCTTATTGGCTAGCTCTGTCTAATCATTAACTTATTTCTATCAATCTATGTATGTTCACGAGGCTGTGGCTTACCTGGTAATGCCCTGGCATGTTGTTACTCCTTTGGTAGCATGGCGATTCTAACTGGATCCTACCTCCTTTCTCAGAATTCTCATCTCCTAGACCTACCTCTCTTCCTGCCTCATTGGCCAAACATTGTTTTATTCATCAACCAATAAGAGAAACATATACAGAAGGACATACCCCATCACCCATTCTGTTACAGTGTTCTCTCTCCACCCCCAAGGACTGGCTGGACCTGGCTAGCTGGAGCATAGAGATGAGGACAGAGGGATAATCCTCACAGAGGAGATTTCAAGGACCTCTACCACCTGAGGACCACAATGTGCAAGGCATTTTCCTCAGACAGAGAATGGAGAGTCTTGGGGGGAGGGGGTAGGGGCTTTGTTTGAATGGAGTTGAGAGTAGCACAGGCCAGCCAGCCTCCAGCCAACTTCTTCCATTCTCTCAGCAGTAGTCAGCCCCTTTACCAGCCCCTCTCCATCTCAGGAAAAACTACAACCTTCTTCCCACCCATGGTCTCTGGGCCCCCAGCCAATAACACATCTTTCTCTAGATCCTTAAAGGTGCTGCCCTCTAAAAGCCAGGTGGCTTGCCTCCTCCATGAGTCTTTTCAGCTTAATTGCTGTCAGGCCTCTTTGGTGGCCTATCTAACATCTGTGTCACCCTCTGCCCCAGATCAAAACTCAATTGCAGTGTGGCCACCCAGAGAGGTCTTTAACCTTAACTATATGAACAAGTAAGGGCTGGAACAATGACAGGGCTAACATCAAGAAGTACTTAGCAGGTCCCAGGAAAGGAACCAGTGACTGGGGATCAGGTAGATCACAGTCCATCAGTGACATGACCTAGTCTACTAAGTACTCAGCTAAGGTTAGTCATGAACCCATGGGCCTCAGCACCTTTCTACCCCAGAAATACCCATCCAGTTCAGAGCTAACCATATCTGCTCCAGCTTAAATGTAACATCCTAAAGCTGAGTCAGGTGTTAGGCACATATCTCAGGGAATCTCTAGAATGCGGTAGGATCAAAGGCAGAGGCAGGATGGGCCAAGATGAGCAGCATGTCAGTTAGGAATAGAAACCAGGATGAATCACTGTAGAGCAGGTAGCAGCCTAGATAATATGGGTGAGAGAAGGAAGCCACAGAAAACAGTACAGAAGGCCCTGCTCTTGGGGATGACAGCACTACCCAGACCAGTGTGACCACCTGCCAAGCAAGGAGCAGCAGTCCCTGTAAGCAGATCGGCACAGACTTTACACTTGGTCATACTGTAAGTGTTATGAGGGATAGGATGGACTTGGATTCTGGCACTCCTCTACCCCTGCATGGTGTATGAGTCTCAACCCCAGCATGCTGGCCTGAGATCTCATTCAATCCTGTTTTCAATAAACTTCCTCGTGTGATTGCAGCAAAAAAAAAAAAAAAAAAAAAAAAAAGAATACTGAGTGTTACAGCTGGGATGGTAATCAGGAACCAAGGAATACCACAGCTCACAGTAAGTGTAGCAGCCCACAGCCCTGCTCCAGGGAAAGTTATCAGTTGTGCTCTAGCAAGGGAGGGCTTCCCCAGCTCCAGGAAAGACTTCTAATGTAACAGCTCTGCTCTGGCAGGAAAGGGCTTCCCCGGTGAAGCTAAAGAAAGTCTTCACCCAAACCTCATTCGAGAAATTTTTTGGGAGGGAAAGATTCAGGAAAGTGGCTGCCTCTGCCAGAGTGGGAGGAGACAGCCAGACAGCCACAGCTGAACAGGCACAGGATTTATATAGGAATTCTTAGGGGGCAGAGTTTTTCCAGGGAGATTTCCAGGGTAGGAACTGATCAGATTTCAATCACTGAACTCAGACTGGCTAGATCTGCTTATGGATTGGTTAGTTTTCTACACAGGTTTAGGGTCAGATTTGGCTATGATTTTAGGGCCAAAGTGTGTTTCTTTTCACTGGTTCTTTTTAGCCTTTTGGCTCTAGTTTTAGGCCAGGGCGTATTTCTTTCACTGGCTCTGATTCCAGGGACAAATTGTGTTTCTGTGGCACTGGTTTCAGGGTCAGGATACATTTCTTTGGTTCTGGTTGCAGGGCCAAAGTGTGTTTCTTTGGCTGGCCCTTTTTTCCCTACACACACTACCCCCTAGAAGGATTGGAAAATGGGTTTCCTTGTTTATTTTTAAGTGCCAGCAGAGCCCAGAAGATGGTATAGGATCCTCTGGAATTACAGTTGATTGATAATTGCCATGTGGGTTCTAGGAACCAAACCTTGTTCCTCTATAAGAGCAGCCAGTGCTCTTAACTACTGAACTACCGCTCCAGCCTCAGTTTCTCATTTTCAAAAAGCTGCTTACAGTATCATTCCAAGCATATTGTAAACTTTTGCCATTCCAAGGCAAAACAGCCACCTATCAGTGTCTTGTGTGAGGTGAAAACACACTAACATTATATACCACTGTGTCCATCAGAGGACATCCTCCAAAGCTAGAAATGGTGCTTTTCCCCTTGAGCTTGAATTTCCATTCTCTCTGGGTTTGAACCCCAGTACAAAATATTATGTTTGTAGGTTAGGATGAAACAAAATGTGAATTTTCTTTTTGGCATGTATTTTCTGTTCTGTACCCAAAATGAAATTTCACATTCATTTTCCATGGCCCCAGAAGACAAAATGATGAGCTCTGACCAAGGAAGCCCAAGCAAACAATCAATGCTCCTGACTGTCACATGCACCTGGCCTCATACTGAAATGACAGCTCCGAATGAGTGATGGGAAGGGGACAGAGCAACCCAGAGTGGGATAACCCTATGCTGTTTGTTTAGGACATTTAAAATGGAGTTATGTGTTGCGTGGAATGGATTCTGCCCACTGAGCTCACATCTTCTCAGAGAGAAAATCTGTACTAGTTGCTTTGATTTGTGATCCCATGAAGCTAAACATGACATGAGTTGTGCCTGTATTGTCATTGTTAAAGTTATGTAAATGCCTAATCAAAATGTTGCCAATATTCATAAAAAGCTAAACACAGAGGTAAAATTGAATTTCAAATGCATCTTGCAGTAGTCCAAATGGAACTTTGTAGTTTTTAATTTTTTCAGAATTTCATACAATGTATTTTACTCATTTTCACCATTCCTCTAATTCTCCGCAGATGTACCTTCCACTCTACCCACCCAACTTTGTGCCCCTGCCTTTCACACATCAAGTCCAATTTGTGCAGCCCATGTATTAGATGTGTAGCCTTCCATTGGAATGTGGCCCACTTACCAGAATAACATTCTTTAACTGACCCTCAATAGCCAGTAGCTCCCCTCCCTGGCTAGTGGTAAGACTTCATGTCTAACTCTTCTCTCCATGCTGACATTTGGTCTAGAGTGAGCTTTCAAGGGACTTACTCATGTTGTCAAAATTGAAGTGCATTTGCATATACAGCTACCCTGTTGTGTCTAGAGGACACTATTTCCTTGTATTTGTCCACCACCTCTGGCTCTTAAAACTTTCATAACCCCTCTTCAGCAATGGCCCCTGAGCCTTGGGAGACTGGATGCGAGTACATGTCCCAATTTAGGACTGAGCATTCCAGTCTCTTATTCTTTGCATCTTGGCCAGTTGTGGGTCTCTGTGTTAATTACTACCTACTGCAAATAGAAGCTTCATTGATGATGGTGGAAAGGCGCATTAAT